GGGTAAGGTGTGAGCACCACCTCACCCCTGCCATGTGGACCTCACGGGATAAACCATCAGTCCTGCTTAATGGTCAACTTTGCTCGCAGGGTCACCCATAAAGACAGTGGGAGGGTTAAGCTGCTGAAAGGCCTCGTTTCTGGCCCGATCTGCTTTATCGCATCCACCATGGGACCATAATCCTCCTAACAGGAACCCATTTATTAGGGATACAGGTCTCGTGCAATCGGCAGTGGCCAAAAACCAGCCATCCACGTCCTCGGCTTCCCGCAACTGACAAATCGCATCATTCAAGCAGTCCATATCACGAGACCAATCACACACTTCAAATTAAACTCCAATGCCAGACCCAGTGTTTCGCTTTTCAGGCCCCTCCCAAACCTCCACAGCACAGGTGAATGATCACTCCCAGTATTAAGGCGTCCCAACCACAGGCCACCGCTGCCAAGTCAGCCAAGACCATCGTCAGGTCGAACTCAGATGAGCTGCGACCATCTCCTCTGCACCAAGTAGGATGTCCATCACTCAGTACAACCAATCCGCAGTCATCTGAAATATCCACCAAGACCTTGCCATTGCCATCTTTACGCCATCCACCCCACAACTCACTGTGGTCGGCCGGTAACCCAATAAACCAAAGTAGACCCACTGATCAAACCACGAAGAATCTCCCTCACCAACCCCATACCCAGATTACAACATTTTATCACCGACACCTGCCCCTTGTCAGTCCTTACAACCATCAACACACACTCAACATCATGGTGAATCCCCCTTTGACAAAACTGACACCCACCCATAGCCCCCACCTGGACTACCCAACCCTCCATCCCCCTGCAGGCAAGCGGCCTCCCAAACCTCCACAGTACTCATCCAAGTGAAGCTTAGGATTGACTCGGGTGCAGCCTTCACTTCCCGCGCCGCATCCAACTGGCCGTTTACCAACTTCACCCTTCACAACAAAAGCCAAAAATAACCTTTGATCGTTCACCACCTTAGAACGTGGCACGAACATGCCAACCGTTAATCATTGGATCTTCAACGCGTTGGCCCGCTGAGCGTCGACACACGACCAAATGCATCCCTCCGAACAAAACGAACAATACCAACAACTGCCCCATTGACTGATATGTGTAGTGGTGAGTACGCCACTTTGTGTCCAATAGCATGTGGAGATTAATCTGTCCTCTTCTGCTTGACCCATCCCACGACCCCATCTGGCAAGGAATCACTCTTATCCCTACAATCCTTCTTAGAGGTGTCCCTGCTGACTGAAAGTGAAGCAGTCCGAACGCCATCTGAGACATTTTCCCCCCATACGGACGTCAAAAGTCGTTGGCCTGAAACAGTCGTACCGTGCCCAAAAAGGCGACTGGCTGACCTACCAGGTCAACCCAAACCAGTTGAATCTTGGACAACAGGCAGGAGTCCCTGCCCCTTCCTAACCTGAACTTTGAGTTAGACCCTCGTTTCTGCCTAAATGTAAGCTGCAAACACACCAGGAGCAGCGTAAGTGAACACTACGCCTGTGATAGGTCTGAGTTCAGAGCACTCACTCTGTTGCGCTTTGCAGACAACGTAACAAAGACAGTAACAGCAAAGTCTCGCTTTGATCAGTTTTTAAAACCTAAAACTTTTAAACCTTTTTATCATCAACTTACTTGTACTATTTATTAACTTATCAATGAAACTTTTTCCACCATGAAGTTAATAATCATCAGAGCCTTGGTCAGGATTATCTCAGGGAGAATGTCCTTCAGCTGCTACTGGAAACACATTAAACATCACATTTGTTTCTATAGTAGCAGCAACTGTGCAAGGATGAGCTTTTCACCTTTTCTTGGAGCACCTCGCATTTATCAGTATGAGTTTGTAACTAATGGAAACTGGGAGCTAGACAATATCGGTAGAAATATCGAGCACCCCTACAGAAGAGTTCTAATTAGCGATCTGGCATGTTTGTATAATTTTTTAAGGGATTTGAACATTCAACAGCAACAAGCTGATGGTGATGGAAGCTACATTGGACCCCTCCCAATCAACACTATTACAGCTGATGATGATGATGATGATGTTTGGTATAAAGTGCAGGTGAAACATCTATGGATGGAAAGCACTCATTATCAGCTCGTGTCTCCTCAGAGGTGTAAACACACACACACACACACACACACACACACACACACAGGAGTAGCTTGCATGTTTGTTGTAACATTTAAAACCGACCCTTCGGTCGCTCCTCAGTAACAAACTGTTTCTCTGCTTTTAGAGAAAATCTACACTCATATTTCAGTATTCCCTTTAATGGAAGGCTGAAAGCTGAGCTCACGGTGACAAACATCCCTTTGCTTTACCTTCTGCAGTGTGTGTGTGTGTGTGTGTGTGTGTGTGTGTGTGTGTGTCTGTGTGTGTGTGTGTGTGTCTGTGTGTGTGAGGCATTAATAAGAAGAATAATTCATTAGTTCTCGGTTTTCCTCTTTCCGATCCGTTTGCTCAACAACTCTGGGGCAAATGCAGAATTGCAAATGAGCTGCTGGAAAAAAATCAAACTAATTGGCCGTCCTCAAAGGCTCGTTGTCAGAATTTGGGCTGACGTGTCAACAATTCCTCCTTAAGAGTCAACTCCAGAAGAGGGGTCAGATACAGAACTACATCAGAAAATGATAACGCGGTCACTTCACTTCCTGCAACTGAAGACTGTGTTTTCACACCGACTACCTCTGTGGTCACGAGACGCTAAAATTAGGAATGGTCCCTCAGATATGAACACATCTGCTAGCCCCAAAGATCATAAAACCTGCTCTGAGACGTTGGTCTGACTGCGTAGATACAACACTGAAGCTTCAGCTAAACACTTCCAGTCTTACTGCACCATCTAGTGTTACAAGCATACATTACACGTTCCTATAATGCAAGAAGTTTTCATTTTAACACGATTTCCTGTAAACCACTCATCACATGAAAAGGACTAACACATGTTCACCTTTAACATCCAGACCCTGCATCCAGCTGACCGAGGAGTTAACAGCTAGTCTGAGCACAGCCTGGACCACAGTGTGCTGCAGCTGATTTTAAAAGCCTCCTAAACATCAATTCAATTCAATTCAAGTTTATTTATAAAGTGCCAAATCACAACAAGAGTCGTCTCAAGGCACTTCACTAATAAACATTCCAATACAGGTCAGTTCATTAAGCCAATCAGAAAAAGTTTCCTATATAAGGAACCCAGCAAATTGCATCGAGTCACTGACTAGTGTCAGTGACTTTACAGCAATCCTCATACTAAGCAAGCATGCGGCAACAGTGGAGAGGAAAACTCCCTTTTAACAGGAAGAAACCGCCAGAGGATCCTGGCTCAGTATAAGCAGCCATCCTCCACGACTCACTGGGGATGGAGAAGACAGAGCAGGCACACACACGCACGCACGCACACACACACACACCAAATAGTGTTTCTATGGTTACATTGTGATTTCTTAGTAAATATTCTATTTGGTGAGAGATAAACTTTATTGTATTTATCCTAGTGAATCTATAATTAAATGGGTAAACTAGTAGTAGCACATCCAGTGTCAAAGAGAGTAAAAAGTTATCAGGAGAGGGAGAATGTTTAAGTGGTTAGCAGCCGATGGCCCCCTCCATGAGGCTACCACAGCTTAGCACAACATCATTGTAGCTTCTTCTGGGGAGAAAAACACTTAAGCCCTTTTCAGATAGACATTGTGGAATATGTGTGGACAATTCAATCCGGTTTTTAACCGGAACTGTGTTTTCAGACACACCACTTTTGTACCGGAACTTGTCCTTTCGGCTGCCTTCACACAGCAGGAAAAAGTTCCAGACGTCTGGGGGGGGGGGGTCGGACTTATGTTAAGCATAATTCTGTGCACACGAAGACGCATAAGAGACCTGGATGATGAAGCTCAGTGGTTAAAGGAATCACTGAAGCGGTGTGAAGCGCTCCGTCACGCGTCTAGATGGTACCGTAGGAGGCGAGCTGCCGTGGTTCGCCGCATGCTACAGGAGCGGGCTATCTAGGTGCGCACAGCGTCCCCCGGTCCCCTCCTCCTCCCCCTCCTCCCTGTCCGTAACAAGTCCGGACCTGTTACTCGGGGCTTCGTCCGGTTAAATTACGGAAAACGTTATCCGGATGTTTGTATTCAGACACAAAGGTCTTACGGACAGAGTCCGGAACATTTCCGTTTTTCATGGCCTGTCTGAAGGGGGCTTTAGAGAAAAAATAAACTGCTGAAATTGCAGGAAATAATACAGTTAAAGAGCAGATTGTAGAAGAAAGTGGTCGAGTGTGGAAAGTGATCAGTGTATCCTCCAGCAGTCTAAGCCTATAGCAGCATAACTACAGAGGTAACTCTGGATAACCTAGCCTTTTAGATGGCGGCATGTAGGAGGCAGGGCAAGGTCAGTGGTTTGTGTTATATAAAAAACTTTTGTAAACTCACTTTAATTAAGTTACTCACAATTCTGTGGTTGTTTCTGGTGCATCCGAGGGTCATGTCCAGCAGACTTCTTATATTTCTGCTGGATCCCATTGTTGCTGCAGCACAGCGGGTCACGAGAAGAGCTCTGTGTCATTTAGGGGTTGGAGCAGTTTTAAGGGTGGTAACTGTACCCAGACTAGCTGTTAGCCCATCAGTCCTGATGCTAGAGAACACTTAATGCAGAAACACTCAAGAGTGTAATCTGTTTGGTTTCAAACACACTAGTGATTTATTCCTCAGCTGCATCATTTTCCTGAAAACCGACCCTCTGATCACGATTAGAGGCCCACATGCTGCTGAAAGCGTTCCAACACCAAAATGGTAAATGGTTGTATTTATATAGCAACTTCTAGAGTCTTACAACCCCCCAAGGTGCTTTACAACACAACCAGCCACTCCCAGCCTGGTGGTGATGCACCCTGGGACACGCAGGCCCCACCGGTCCCTCGGACCACCACCAGCAGGGCGTTATGTTTTAATAATTAGAAAAGCACAAGCTAGTAGGACAGTTTTCTGTTTATTTGTAAAAATAAATTAAGGTTTGTACAAAAAGAAAAACACTACAAATGTAAAAAAGTCACAAACAAGTGTCTCTGTAACTCCACCACACAACCAGCTGGGACGACTGTGGTCCAGGTGTCAACACGACGACGTTCTTCACTTTCTGTGGATCTTCTAGCCGCTGGTCAGAGAACAGACCGGTATTTACACGCAAACATGAGCCACACCGCAAACGCGTTCTCAGGATACACAAACACCCGAACACGCACAGCGAGCCTCACGTGGTCGCCACGACAACTCACTATTTCCTCACAAAACGGAGACCTGGGGAGAGGGAGAGGAGAAAGCCCACAGAATTATTAATTCATCTTTTGTACCGCTTCATTCTGAGTAGGGTCACAGGTGTCTGGCAAGAGACAGGGGACACCCTGGACAGGTCTCCAGTCCACCAGAGGGACACATAGAGACAAACAACCCTGCTGTTAGGAAGCTCTCACCTGAGGCAGGTAGCGAAGGCTCGGCGAGCGTTGCGGTGCAGGAAGTGTATGGGGAAGCCTTTAAAGGTGTGTCCATCTGGCACGGCCCTCCTCACTGCGTCCTGGAACTCCTCGTTACCACAGGAGACACCGGTACAACGCTCCGTCTCATAGGCTGACAGGGCTGAGGACAGCAGGTAGGACAGGTGGTCATCCCAGACTGTGGCCAGATCCAGGTCCTGGAGAGGGAGACCCAGCAGAACCCACAAACTAATCCTCAGGTGTAAGTGGTCCAACAGCTCCTAAAGATCGCTAACAGTTCCACATGTAAAGCACCTGCAGGTCATCGCTAACTTGTGAGTCTTTGGACCAAACATCTGTCCTTCCAGTTGTTTTCCTCCACTGTTCTGAGCCTGGGTCGCGGATGTAGCAGCTCCAGGCCAAAACCACTCTTTCCCCGGTGACCACCAGCGGGATCCCCCAGTTTGCCCTGGTCAACTAGCAGATAAAATCCCAAGTGGACCGGGTGTCCCCTGGTGGCAGACATGCCTGAATCATGTCCCTGGGAGGAGTCAGGAGGCAGACTCCTCTCCATGTGGAGCAGCAGCTCTACTTGAGACTCTCTCAGATACTCCCCACCCTCTCTCTAAGGCTACCACACTATGGAGGAAACTCATTTCTGCTGCTAGTGTTAGCGACCTTTTGGTCATTACCCACAGCTCGTGACCAGAGGTGAGGGTTGAGATGAAGAACCGGTAAAAATAACGGGTCTGTTTTTCTAATTTACTCAGTAAAACATGCTTGTTGGATGAATTTGCAGGTTTCATTCCCCCCACCCCCCTCTCTCTCTCTCTCTCCACCACCAGGCTTTACCTTTCTGTGCTCTGACACCAGGTAGCGCATCTCCAGCTCCAGCTGGTTGCTGGCTGCAGCAGGATCCACAGACGGGGCACAGAGAGGAGGCAACGGGGGCAGAGACGTGTTGGAGGCCGGGGCACAGACGGACTTCAGAGCCTCCTCACTCATGGCCTTCCAGCGTGACGGGTTCTGGAGGAGAAAATATGGCCAGATAAAGAGCCCGCTAGGAATGTGGTGTTTTTCTGCAGGGCAACACAACAGGACAACAGCTGCTGATAAATGAAACTGATGCAATCTTCCTGCCCACAAACTGCCTACTGGGCCAATGATTGAAGATAGCAATCAATGGGCATCTCTCTGCTCCAGGCCAGCGTCACCCTCCACCTGCCCTCCAGTTATCATTATTTACTTGAATAGATTTTCTTAGAGGCGCTTCTGTTGTGCAGCATAAAGAAGATTTCCACACTGAGGCTTATCACGCCAACAGAAGGTGTGTGTGTGTGTGTGTGTGTGTGTGTGTGTGTGTGTGTGTGTGTGTGTGTGTGTGTGTGTGTGTGTGTGCGCATGTGTGGGTGGGTGTGTGTGGGTGGGTGTGTGTGTGGGTAAACCAAACACCAAATCCAGCGGAAACCGTGCGTCCTTCACACACACACCTGCGTTAGTCCTGCTCTGGTCAGTTCGCATCACAGCGTTCAGGTTTAGTAGCAGCAACACACGAGTTCAACACAGCACTTTACCCTTTTTCCTCCTTCACTCATTCACCAACACATACTGGACATTAGCGCCACTAGAGTGACAGCCTGTAGAACTGGTGACGGACCTTTCATGATTTCTGATCTTTTGTAAAAACACTAAATATAGATGGCATAAGTCAATCACCGAGTTTAAAAGTTATACATCGGCCCCAGCTTTCCACCGGACGCATAATCCCCGCCTAACGCCTGTCAAGTGTAATAGCCAACAGCCGACATTAAAGTCAGCAGGTTTGTCTCCATTGGACGTGCAGCGGCGTGTTTTGGACGCGTCCCATAGCGATGGAGCTCCACTAAATTTACATACAGGGTGTATTTTTTACACGCTACTCTTCCAAAGCAAGTCAAGCTCAGCAGTTCAGATTGCACCAGACAGGAAATCAAACACAGGAGCAGTGTGTTGCTTAACCACCAACAAATAATCATCAGCTGGGATGGCCTACTTGGAGGAAAAAAGAACAGAAAATAAATCACAGACATTTGGATATCTGGTGAAATTACGCATGTTCTTGCAATTCTCCTGTGATTTTGGGACCTTTTGGGACCAGTCTGAAATGCTTCTGCTAGCCTAGCCTAGCCAGCCATGCCAATGCTTCTTCATGCATTGAATAGACGGGGGCAAGTCTGGAAGGCCAGGCTAGACTTTGCAGATGCAATGCTCTGAAATGCTCCTGGTAGGAAGGGAAAGCCTGGCCTAGGCATCATAAACATCAGATATCTCATGAGGACAATGCTCAGTAGAAACCAGGTTTAGAAAACGGCTGAGAGCTGGTGAGATGTAATGTTGGACTAAACCTTCTTCAAATCAAGTTCCTTGATGCTGAAAATCTAAAGCTGGACTTGAATTTTACCTCATTAAGTCCCTGCTGCCAAGAATACATAAGTGTGTCCTAAAACTGAGAAACAGATGCAGAGGGCGTTTGGATTGGTTACAACAACAAAGGCTTTAGCCTTTTCTAAGAACAGCAATTAGGCTAATCCTATAAAAATATATATATTCTGGCCACTGAAACCACCCAGCTGTGGGAGTTTCCCTCCTTTCAAAGGCTAAAGAGGGACATAGCTACTGTTTACAACCAGTGAGTTTGGGAAGTTGCAGTCTCCGCCAAGCTAACGCTGCTTAGCCAGCATTTGTAACCCAGCACCAGCAGGCTAAAAGCTCCAGAGTTGTTTAAAGAACCGAAGCCAGTAAACAGGAGCGACCCAGAAGTTGTTTCTTGTACGCCTAAGAAGCCACGGCATCTTTTTGTTTTACTCTCACATCAGGTGAAGCAGATTAGAGGCTAACGTTGAGCTAACAATGCTAACAGTGATTTAGAAGCAAATAGTCAGCTCGAATAATGTCTCAAGCTAACTTTTCAATCACTAATAAGTGGATGTTGCAGTGAAAACTGTGTGAAGTGAATAACGAGTCAATCGTGGCGTTTCACTTCCTTTGATTAGTCATTCCGAACATCAAGCTAACAGCAAGGTGAAAACAAGCACACTTCCTCTGATGCTGGACAAATATTACCGTAATAAGTGGAGTAAGGGCTCCCTACCGTAAAACACCCAAGAGTGCGAACACCAGATATGGCCATTCATTTATCTACTGATCAGCTTACTGGTTATGAATCATCTTTGTTTGTTAGCTAGAATCTTCTGGAGCTGATCCGAACCAGTAGCAGCCTGAAACTCCCAGAATAACAGTGTGAAGTTTCCCTCTTACATACTGCGCCTTTACTATCTATCTGCTCATCTTAAAGAAAAGTTCACGTCTAAATCTCTAAAGCCATGTCGCTGTTCCTGAGCTGACGTCATCTTTACTGGTGGCTCTAGCGTTAAAGATACAACAAATCTGCATAGCGAGCTAGCTTGAAACATTTATATGCCTTCTAACAATGTTCTAACATAGTATAGCTATAAACGTTTTGTGGACATAGAAAAAATGATGAAGTGGTTCTCATATTTGTTTAAAAACCTCCACCAATAACACTTTTTGGACCAGAACCAACCATTGGACCATCCAGTGGTCAGTCTCACCGAACCACTGCACTTCCCTGGGGGCATCTAAGCAGCGTGTTGGGGGCATGGCCTAAGGATGCTAACCGATAGGAAGGGTGAGAGTTCAGTGACCGTGCTTAAAAGCCAGCTTGTTCAGGCCAATGGGCGACCTGCTGAAGCTACAATGGAGCGTGGCTAGACCGACCTGCAGAGCTAATAGTTTTGCTAGTTGGTCTAAAAGCTAAAGGCTGTTTTAAGATAAATTCATTATTATCTTAGTTTGCAGGAGAGATCGAATGAGAGGCGGGCCAAAAGTGGCCCTGGGTCTAAATGGAACATTAAATGTTAAGAAAAGCAAATTAAAACAGTAACAAAAAGCCAGAACAACCGATGTTTGTGGTAAAATGCGTTCTGACCTGGAAGTCAAAGACGCAGAGCTCTACGGCATCAGAGGGCTGGCAGTTTGCCAGGAAGCTCTGGTGGTTGAAGACACAGCCCACGGTCCGGTACGGGGAAGAAGGCTTGGGTTGGAGGGCCAGGGGAGGTGCGTCTGGATCAACGGCTCGGTGCAGATATCTGATCACGCAAACAGGAAATAAATGTCCTGTGGGCCAAAGCCTGGCTGCTGGTTTCAGGGAAATTTCATCATAAGACTCTGAGTTAATCCTGTTTATTTCTCTCACACACACACACACACACACACAGATAAACAAAACGCAAACACATGTACATACACACTTACGTACACACACACACACACCCTCACTCTCTCCTTCTCTCTCTCTCACACACACACACACAAAACGCAAACACATGTACATACACACTTACGTACACACACACACACACACACCCTCACTCTCTCCTTCTCTCTCTCTCACACACACACACACAAAACGCAAACACATGTACATACACACTTACGTACACACACAGACACACCCTCACTCTCTCCTTCTCTCTCACACACACACACACACACACACACACACACACACACACACACACACACACACACACACACACACACACACACACACACACACACACACACACACACACACACACACACACACACACACACACACACACACACACACACACACACACACACACTAAAACAAAGGACCACTGTGGACTAATTAGGTTTTCTCTGAAATGTCAAAGACAAACGTTAAAAATGCACCTATGTGCCGTCAGACTTTCCCAGAAGGTGATGGTCCCGTCGGTTCCACGGGTCAGGACCCAGGCGTGTGAAACACCTTTGGCTTTGGTGCCCACACACATGTATGCATCTAGACCAAAGCCCAGCAGGAGGCTGCACAGGAGAGCAGCATGGTCCTCACAGTCTCCCTGGAAGGACAAAGCACACAGGACGAGGAAAGTCACCTTTTACGATACCCTAAGTTACTTCTGTCAGATCCTAAGCTGTTTGTGCATCATCCTAAGTAACCTTGGGGAGATCTTAGGTTATGTTTTGATCGACTGACCACAAATCTTGTATTGCCAGCAAATCTTTCTTATCCAAACTGGGGAACAGCAGCACCTGTGATGTTTTAAAACTGAATGAGTCTTTTTGGTGCACTCTCGGGCTTTCTCATATGCGACGAGTCTGCAGAAGAAGACATAACCCTAACTACTCTCATTTCAGCTGAACGAGCCTTCTAGTGAAGAGGCCTCGGCTGAACCGGGACTGCTAGATGATAGATGTTCCACAGAAGTGCTAATGTGGACGGCAGCACCAGAACAGGTGGGCGACTGATGGGCTAAATTAATTTTCCCTGGAATGAAACTCATAAATCACCACTGACAAGGACCACTTTGCCAGAATTGTGCTGCGTCTGTCTCGCCGGCCTCTCACAGAGAAGAGGAACTGAACATTTATCCTGTGGTGGTCTGGGAAACTCCCCACCATCAAGGCAAGATGACCTCAGGAACAACACTGCCCTGCTCAGAAGTTAGGGTCATGCGAGGGCAGCCGGGCCACATTTCTGAGAGGAGGAAGCTAGTTAGTTTTCAGTGCAGCACACTCACCCTGCATGTAGGAGGTAATACAAGTTTTCTATAAGAACTCTGCAGGGAAGCGATGCAGCTACAGCCCCAAACCCACAGCGTTCTATTAAAAGGTGGAAAACTACAGGTCAGGTAAACACGACTTCAACACCGTCCTCTGCAGCCCGCGGACAAACGGAAGCACCAGCGATCTCTGATGATGGCTCGAGGCATCAGTCGAAACATGTCATTTGTATTTTGTAATTTGAATTGCTTTTATTTCTGAATTGCTATTATTTTTGATTTATTCACTATATTTGTACTTCTACTGTACCATGTTCAGCGCCTTGGGCTTCCTGACAGGGTTGAGGAAGGCGCTTTACAAATAAAGCTTTGATTGATTGATTGATTGATGTCAGGTGAAAAACTCTTTTTTACTAAACTGTAATGGATTATGAAGTGAAACGCAGAACGAACCGCGGATAAACGGAGTAGGAAGTGACGCCACCATCAGCGTCAGCTCTGAGGAAGTTTGCAGCCGCGAACGAAACTGTCAGCAGCAAGGTAAAAAGAAACCTTTTCTGTGTTTTAAAAGAGAACCAACAACGCCGTTAGAAAAGCAACACAGCAAGAACATACCAAAGACAGAACGAACCAACAAAAGACCTAAGAGAACGTCATGTTTCTGACCGTATCCGCTGCACCAGGTGTTACACCACTTCCTATGACTATAGAGCGAGGGCTTGTAGACAGAAGGTTGGACCTTAAAACTGTTACTTTTCAAAATGAAGCCTGTTCGCATGGCTTTTACATGTCGTCCACCTTTAAATGAAAAAAGTACCGTCCAACACCACCAGCTCACTGATAGCCCTAACCCCCCTACAGGACTTGGTATAAACACCGATGACCACCTTGGACTCGTTTCTTGTCGCTGGGATCTGCTGTGATGTCTGTTTGTGACAACCTCTTTTGTTACGAGGTGGATGTTGAGAGAATTCTCTAAACGTGTTTCTCGGTCCTGAAACAAAAGGAAGCGCCAGGCACGTACCTTCCCCCGGCACAGGAACGCCAGTAATGTGCACCACTGCTCCTGCTTGGCCCCCCCTCCCACCACTGGAGGCCTCTGGTGAGCCAGCAGGCTGACGAAGCGGGCGGCCTGTCGAGGACTCTCCAGGAGGCGGCCGGCACGAAGGACACGCACGTACGAACACACTGGTCTGTTGACTCCGTTCTCATCCTGTCAAGCGTGCAGACACCCCCCACAAATCAGGGAATGCTCAGAGATTACATTTAAGGCTGAAGTGTGAGAATTTCTCCTCCCAAAACCACGTCACACACTGTAAGAGAGCCAGTAGACCTCAGAGGAAGTGGTCACTTGCATGTGAAGTGCTAAAGAGGGAGGCAGAACTCAGCAACAATAGCTGACCTGAGCAAAGATCTTCACCAGTTTGGACTGGTGAGAAGGTCGGATCTCCAGGAACTCTCTCCACCACTGCTTGGCATAAACCAGGAAGAGCCTCTCCTTCTCTGCTGTCCTCTGTCTCTCCAGGGATTGCTGAAGGGGGGGCGTACGACATCATCAGCAAACATGTTTCCCTCACAGCTCTGAGTTCGTTTCCACAGATCGTCGCTTCATGAGCACAGTGATGGAGTTCTGCTGTAACCATTCAGTCTTAGACCACAGAGATTAGGGTCCTTCAGAAATAAAAGAGGAACCTTAAACTACAGGAAGCTTAGATAAAAGGTGATTTTAGGAAGAATTCAGCTGCAAACTGAAAATCTGAAGAAACTTCAAGTTCAGCTACAACAAATGCTGACGTGTAACACTGAAGAGGAAAGAGAACCAAGATCAGAAGACATGTTAGATAAGCTGCCAGGGTCACCACGGTAACCAGCAGTCGCTCATTAAGGTCTCCATGTTTGCTTTTGTTTATCCTTTCTTGAACAGTTGGGTAAAGAGAATCTGCTGCACTGACCTGTGTGCTGATGACATCACTGTTCAGGTGCTTGGAGAGAGGAGGGTAGAGCTCCAGGCTGACAGTTAAAACACCAGCTGGGACTTTGCATTCACTTCCTGGTGGCACACAAACCTATCAGCAAAGACTGCAGCAGTCTGTAATCAAAGCACGAGCAGAAAGACAACAAGCACTGAGGCCTTTACACGTCTCCACCAGCTGTCCAACTGTGGAGCTCTTGGACTTCTGCAAACGTGCCCTTCTTCATGCTGGCATCTACTGAAGTCTCCATTTAGACTAGAAGTGAGGAGGATACATCACGTTGGCACCTCTGTAGCGAGGCTGTACGTAACCCTGAGAGGACCGCTGATAAACGAGCTTAAAGGACACATCAACACTAAACAAATAAAGATTTTACTAAACTGATTTGACTTCATAAGGGTCTTGATTTCATTTATCATCCTTTAATACGTTTTAAGACCCCGCCCTGAAGTAACATGGCTTGTTTGTTGAGGGGTTTCGTACATGGTCTGTATTTGTATAGCGCCTTCTTAGGGTTCTACAGCCCCCCCAAGACGCTTCACAACACAATCAGTCATTCACACACTGGTGATGATGAGCTATGATGTAGCCACAGCTGCCCTGGCGCCACCGGTCCCTCCGACCAAGGCCGGTTAACGCCCAAGGACACAACAGCAACATTCTCTGTTCGGAGTGGAGATCAAACCTGCAACCTTCTGATTACTGGGCGAGCCGCTCCAGCTCCTAAACTCCTGCTGTCCCATATGTGCTAACCGATCCAATGCAAAGCTTTGTGTTCATAACACAGATTTCATTTGGAGCATTTAAAAGGGGATTTAAGATGAACTTATTAAACTTTTATCCATTCTCACCGTTTTAAAAACATCAGAGTCTAGCGCAGCAGCTGTGTGTGTTGCTCACCAACTCCCATCAGCTCCACTGCAAAGCACGTCTTGCCACTTGGCGAGCTGAGAACTATCCTCCAGTCCAGGAAGTAGGAGGAGACAAGTGTTGTCTCACCAGAGGTGTCTGTCTTGATCAGCACAAAGTGGACCGGGTCACATATGGACAGCATGTCTGTGGCATCCACCATCTTACTGCCATCTCCTGTAATCCCACAGAAACCTTCTGACGTAAAAGCTGACTACAGAAGGGCTGATGTACTCATTCAGCTGCATCCTTTACCGAGGCCATCTTTGTGCATCTCCAGCAGGAAACCCTCCCTCAGGTCAGGTTCACAGGCACAGGGTACTGGTTTAGAGTGAAACCTCTGGTTGTGAAAGTGTAGGTAGAGTTTAAAAGTAGAGCACACCTGACCAGGTAAAGGCTCTGGCTCCTGGAGGTGCTCAAGAAATGCTTTCCCTCCAAGAACTTGGAGATGAAGATACCGTCTAGATGGATCAACGTTGGCTGAGAAAAATGAGGAGTGCAAATAAAACATCAACCAGTGCAACTGTGCAGTTTGATATTTTATAGATGTAAGCAAAGTTTCTTACTTTTCATATGCAGAGGGACGTCTGGGTTAAACACTCCAAAATGAGTGGTGGGCTTCGGAGGAGGTTTTAGTCCTGCATCTGGAGCTGTTCCCTAACAAAACAAGCAGATTTCGTTAGGAAATTAAATAAAGGACTCTGCTTTTGATCAGGTTCAAATGTTATCTGGCATTTTAATCCTGGAATATCCAAAGCTATTAACCTGAACAACATCTGTATGGTGCAGGGGAGCCTGGGTAAAGTGGAGATCTTTCATCACATCGTCTATGATGCCTCTGCGTTGGAGAACACGAAGGACATCTGCCTCAGACAGAGAGCGATGCCCTGAGCCCTGATCCTCTCCGAGAGTCTCAGCAATAAGCTCTCGGATCTTCCCATGGATGTCCATCTGACCACAGATAAACACTCATTATGAGGCTTTTACTTTAGCCGAAACAAGAAACACGTTAGTGAAGCACCGCTTCAGAATAAACTTTACTAACAGAATACTTTAGGTTGGGTTTGTTCTATCTGGCTCATAAATACACACACACACACATACATACATTCATACATATACATACACACACACACATACATTCATACACAAACACGCATATACATATACATATACACACACACACACACACACACACACATACACACATACATACATACATACACACACGCGCGCACACACAAAGAGCGCTTCAGCACATTAACAACACAAGCTGTGGCTAGCTACATAAGTAAAGAGTTGGCTCACCTTCAGTAAATGGTTGTGGATTCTCTGCTTCAGCTCGGAAGCTTTCTCTGAAGGAAGAGACATTGCAGCTTCGGCTAATGATGAACCCAGAATAAAACGTTCACCTAACAATAATAAAAGCGTTATTCCTGGTCTGAGCTATAATCCCTATGGACGTGTGCATTTATTGAGTTTTCTGTACTGCTGTTCTTCACAGACCAGTTTGAACGTTTGAACTTTGGCGAAAAAGCTAGCGCGCAGGTATTTGCCTCCGCTGATGCCTGAACAAAATAAATGTAAAATGACTAAACAGTATCAGTTATTAGGTAACACGATTACTTCAATTTCACTAAATCCTACAAATATTAAACTAATCATTGAAATACCCCATTTAAAGTGGTTATGCTAAAAACATTGTTAAATTTAGTCAGGCTTAATATTAGTTATCCTAATGTCATCAATGCAAGCGACTCTCCATAAAAGGACCCACAGTTGTAGTTCAAATTAAATTTAATTAATTTAGTCAGCAATTTAGTCGCGTTAATTTCTGTACTTTTGATTTGTTTTGTGCTTGTGTAATTCTTATTTTAAAATACATAAAACATTAAGTTATAAAATACTAAAACCAACTGAATAACACTACGTTTTATATATATTTATCTTACTGTTGAGTAATCTGTGATGATTCCTCAAACAAATACTGTAAAATATGTGTACTTCCATCTCCACAATAACGGCCTCGTCTTAAGATAATAAATGAGTTACTGGAACCCGGTGTCGGTACAAGATCTGTTCGGGTGCAAGATCGGCTCGGGGTCCGTCGACTGCCGATGACGTCAAAGTAGTTGATTGGCTGAACATGAACCTTACATAATTACGTAATCACGTTACGTTGTTATTACATTACGTTGGTCCAGGCAAATCTTTCTGTTGGAAAGATGGACAACTTTTACAAAGAAATCCATCTGTGGTCACGTGGGTCTGAGGCGGCGGTCACATGGGTCGGATGCTCATTAATTATACAGAATTTTAGGCTTTTAATACACTTAAACAGAAGAGTGAGAAAAAAATTCACCCCCCTCAGAGTTGTCATGAGTGTAAACTAGATAATTTAAACCAAAAAATGTTTTGGTACCAGGCCATAAACATGTTTATTTCTGCTGTGAAATTGATATTTTTAACATGGGAGTCAATGAGGATTTGCTCGCTTCTGACACCAGCCCCCAGCGGATGAGGGTGGAACTGCAATTTATTTCATTTCCGCGTTTGCTTTAATTTTTCACCCGCATTGTGGGGGCTTGGTTTTACCTAAAACATGGTATCTGCCAAGGATGCCCCATCTCGCCATACTTATTTTTACTTTGTACCCAAATTCTTACAACTCACATCTCAAATAGTTTTGTTCATTTATATTGTTCTTCCGGGGTCCCATGGTCCGGAAGTAGATGGGCGTGGTTTATGACCTCCTGTTACTGATGAGAAGAACAGATTATGATCTGTTTCATTGATACAATCTGGATCGTAGAAGTCCAGGATGCAGGTGGCAAAGATTATTTGTGGATTATTCTGATCCTGAACAGTTTTTCTGATGCTTCCTTCTTTGCAGGAGTCTGAGGTCCAACAGAACTCAAACGTTTCCTCTGTTATGGTTTCATCAGTAGAACACTCCCTCACGTCTTTACTGCCATGGGCATTTTATATTTGCATTTGCAGTGCGTCCTAATTTTCCTTTTGACTTTCCTCATCGAAGGCCTGTTTGCACTAAATGCCACAAATAAATTCCGCATATATGAAGTTCTCAATTTACTTGGCAATAAAGCTAATAATTTATTTCAGGGGCTGCTGAGAACACAATTGACTAACTCAAACGTTAAACCTCAAACTGCTGTACAGGGTGGGCCATTTCTATGGATATACCTCAATAAAATGGGAATGGTTGATGATATCAACGTCCTGTTTGTGGCACATTAGTATATGTGAGCAGACAAACTTTTCAAAATAGGTGGTGACCATGGTGGCCATTTTGAAGTTGGCCATCTTGGATCCAATTTTTGTTTTTCCAATAGGAAGAGGGTCATGCGACACATCAAGCTTATTGGGAATTTTACAAGAAAAACAATGGTGTGCTTGGTTTGAACGTAACTTTATTCTTTCATGAGTTATTTACAAGTTTTTGACTACTTATAAAATGTGTTCAATGTGCTGTCCATTGTGTTGGATAGTCAACGCAACCCTCTTCTCCCACTCTTCACACACGGAGAGCAACACCGCAGGAGAAATGCCAGCACAGGCTTCCAGTATCCATAGTTTCAGTTGCTGCACATCTCGTATCTTCACACCATAGACAATTGCCTTCAGATGACCCCAAAGATAAAAGTCTAAGGGGGTCAGATAGAGAGACCTTGAGAGCCATTCAACTGGCCCACGATGACCAATCCACTTTCCAGGAAACTGTTCATCTAGGAATCTTGCTGGAAAACTCAGGGAACGTGCCAGCTTTAGTGCATAAAGAGGGGAAACACATACCATACCATCACTTTTTTGTTCCAACAGTCTTGGAAGAATCTATCCAATGTGGGCTAGTGTCAGACCAATAGCAGTGGTTTTGTTTGTTAATGACACCATTCACATAAAAGTTTGCCTCATCACCGAACAGGATCTTCTTCATGAACTGAGGGCAGGGGCGCTTTAAAGCGGTGAAAGATTAGGAAGATTCTAAGGGCCCACAGCTGTCAGGGGCCCAAAAAAGTTTCAAAGTTGAATAAAAAAAATTAAGTTTAAAAATCACAAGTACTTTACTTTGCAGTATTTTTTCTCATTTAAGACATTAAACAAACAGTCTTTTAGTATTTATGAAATGTATATTTATTCAGAGGTCCCTACTTTATTTTGACTAATTAATTTGGTAAATGGGTTGTTGTCCTTGTCCCTATAGAATCAGCAGCTGATGATATATGTAACGTGAGGAAATATGGGTTTTGATATGGCTTTACCATCAACGTGTACTGAGGGCAACTCTGGACCGGTTCCGTTCGACACCTACGTCTCCCCGTCAGCCGTTGAGTGTCATCTGGATGAACCACCACCATCCTCCACGGCCCGGATCCGAAAGAGGGTCCACAAGAGTTCGGTGAGACAGAGCACGGTGTTTAGCGTTTGATGCAGTTCTCTGATAAGACCTAAGTTTATCCAAACCATCACTTCACTCATTTATTAAAAATTAATATTCCGAATTAATACGTAGCATGGTTCCTCTTTCATAAAAGAGCATAAAACCACAACGCAACAATATAACTGAGTAAAGACAGTTTCTCCTTACAATATGGCTGAGCCAGCCAATTTCTCTTTACATATATCAGCAGGTGTTCCCTCACAACCCAATGAACCTCAAGAAGGTGAGCAATGTAGCATGTTAGCTAGCTGCCTCATTTAAGGGGGTCTGTGGGAATCACTTAAGGTTCTCTTCTCTATCAGTACTATTACAAAGGAATATAAAAAGGCTATTTTTGGTGATAAACACATTGTTTTTCCCCATGATGATAATTACAAATATCAATCAGTAAAAATGTATAGATTGTTTTTATGCTGAGCAGGTTGAAGCATTGTTATTTAGTCTGTTAATGTAACATAAATTACTGTGAGATTATTACTGTGAAGCACATTTTTGAAGGCACCATACAAGAAAAAAAAACCTCTTCATCTACTAAATACCTTGAAATGAAATGTTTTGAATCTGACTGAATTATGAGAGGTTTTACAAGATGTAATTTGTTTATGTAGCTTTTAGAACACAAACCAAAAATCAATAATTTCCAAATAATTCATCAGAGAGCAAAAATGAAACAAAAGCTATTAATAATTGTAATAAATAAACTTAATTTTCTAAAACTCGTCATTATTTATACTGCTGCAAAAATAGTGGTGACAGCTTTGAACAAATCAAAAACAAGATATGTCACTCAGGAGCATTATTAATTATATCACTGTAAATAATAAATCTTGCTGTGTACAATCAAGGTATGAACTGTGTGCTTATTCATTTTGAGTCTGTGATAAAGCCAAGGAGACTTAATAAAGAAGTCACCTTGTGAGCTGTGAATCCTTAATTTTTGTCACTCATACAGAAATACTTGATTTCGAGAGGAAATACAGCTGAAAATGCAGTTATGTAAAGCTTTGACACAACATGGAAATTTAATTAGATATCCAAATTTGAATTTAATCATCAAATAAAATTTTAGAATAAATACATTTTAAGGGAGTAAAAGGGAAAAGGAGATTAACACCTTTCAGCATGTGCATTTCCTGCTTTTTCCAGCAGTGATATTGCTAATTCTGTTGAATGAAAATCACTGTTTAATGAGAGACAGCTGGTGAAAATGATATGTAAATAAGTAAGAATGCATGTAGACCTAAATAATTAAGCAAAACTGAAACACTAATATAAAGTATATATATTATATATTTTTTTCTCCCTTCGAATCTGGGAGGGTGGAACCCCAGCTCCAGCTATGGACGAGCCCCCAGGGGGCCCAAAATCTCTGGCAGCCCCCCTGACTGAGGGTCCTGCTCCAATTTTTGTTTTGCCCATTCTGCTAATTCTGTGCGCCAATCAGGGTCATCCTCAATCAGATGCTGCAGTAGCTGGTTTGTAAGGATGCCATTTGTTCTTCTGGCACGAGGAGAGTACAGCCACTTCGCATTTCTCTCTTATCTTTTTTCTTCCCAAGACTCTTGTCCCGTCTGCATGTTGTGAACTGTTGATGTTCATGCTTATATGTTTGAGGTGTTTTTTGCAAAGCTACCCCCACCCCACTTATCCTCATGTAACCCTTTTCTATCTAACTGACATGAGTGACTCGAATGGCAGCTCTCGTGGTCTGCCTGTATGTTTTGTTCTACGTTTTGTGCGTGTAACCTTGGTCAGGCTGCACTGCAGAGTCAAATTTTTATCTGGACGCTGGAGCATTGAATAAAGCTGATTCTGACTTGTGGGTAGCTAATAACCGCCGAACGATGTTCGACTAATGCCACTCTTCAGTGACATGCTGCTTTTTCTTGTGAAATTCCCAATTAGTTAGATGTGTCACATGACCCTCTTCCTATTGAAAAAAAAACAAAAGTTGATTCAAGATGGCAGACTTCTAAACGGCCACCACCCATCTAAGTTTGTCCCCTGACACATACTAATGTGCCACAAACAGGACGTTAATATCACCAACCATTCCCATAAGGCGTATCCATAGAAACGACCCACCCTGTAGATGGTTTTCATCACTGCTCATAACGCATTAGGTATCACCTAGGACAGTGGTTCCCAATCTGGGATCCATGACCCCCAAGGTAGTCCCCATAATTGCCTGTGATGAGGTTTAAGGTAAGATTATATTTAGAAATATATATATCAATAAAATCCCAACAACTCACAGCCACCATCAAAACCATTCGAGAGGTAGAACTCTTAATGTCTATAAAGTTCGTAGTTAATCACTGATGTGTGGGAGTTGGGGGCCCCGGGCTTGTTTTGAACACAGGAAAGGGGGTCCTCGTGGAAAAATGGTTGGGAATCACTCCCCTAGGAAACAAACAGGTTCAGATGTGCTCATTATATTTTCTAACTACCAGTTTAATACACAGAGCTTTACTCCAACTTCTATATTGCATTTAGATTGCTTGGTACAGCTGCTATAGAAGGTAATTAGATAATTATGTAGGTAAAAGACTCACAAGAACCAAAAATCTCAAAGGTACCAATAGTAGTTTCATTTAGTAACACAGGTGTGAGTTATTCAAGAGAAAATACATTCCACATGATGGGAGTACAAGCCTTTATCATCCAACAGCATCTCCAGCCGTTACTTACCTAAAACAGACAGTGTTACTTTGGTTTTTGCAAAAACAAAACTGGACCCATCCAGTGGGTAACGACATGCGCTAATCAGCAAGGACCGCAGCATGATTCAATCAACAAAAACGATTCAGCGTCAGACAGAATTTAACACAATGGTGAGCCTCTGAGTGGAGACAGGACACCTCTACGACGTGTCCAGTCACACAAAAATATATATGCATGTACACATCAGGCCATATTAGGTTGCCCTGCTTAAGATGAATGGAAGAACTGGTGATGATCTGGAAAACCAGTTAAAACATGCTTTATAATAAAACAACTTAAAAAAAATCCCATGGTTGACCTCTTGGCTCTGTAGTTTTCCTACATGTTTAATGGTAGGATGGACAATCAGAGAAATTCTGAAATGTAAAACATCCACAAATTATAAACTCACATTTAACCAGTACAAAGAATGCAAAAATAAACCGGTCAGGAATCGTTTTGTTTGCACTGCACCTCTACTCTCGTCTTTCAAAGCCATCGAGATGAGACAGTACATTCATCAACAGTGGCAAGAGGGGGAATCGTCGTGCTGGCACCAGGATCCTGAGATGTTACCATTTTTAAGATCTTACGAGAAAAATATACAAACACTCATTTGATCTAGCGCTCGGGCATTTTGACCTAAAGAAATAAATATCCTCAATTATGCACATAGAACCTTCTACATCTACTAAGGGAAGTACCTAGTCCCAGGTACCGGTGCAAAAGTGGAGTCAGTTTTTAGGAACCCAGAGTATTTCAGTGAGTGTACATCCAGCACAACAGGCCCACAGCCAAGGCCGCCCCGGCACCGACGTTCAGCAGGATAGGCCTCCAGTACTGCCACTGCTCCCTCTTCATCTCCGAGTCACTCATTTTTTGTTTTATTTCCTGGACAGTCTTGGCAGTGTTGGTATTCCTCATCTCACGTTGTCTCTTCCGCACCCTGACAGAGAGATGGAGTTTCAGTTCAGCTGAACAACAAAGGCATGGTTTCATCAAACGGAATACACAGGGTTAGAAGGTTTAAGTCAAGAGTCGTGTTTCCCAGCTGGACCTTCCTGGTTTGTGTGTGCCTCCACTTCACCGGGCCGGGGAACTTTCACAGCACCTGAGCAGCGTAGGTACCTGGAACGGCCTGGTGCAGTAGCGGTTTTAGGCACGGGCAGACAGGGCAGTTGCCCAGGGTGGCATTTTTTCATGGCACAAAAGGGGCGCACAAGCGCTGAGTAAAAAATAAAAAAGAAAGAAATCTGCGCAGCATCGAGGTTTTATATTATCTGTCATATCACAGAGTCTGGATTAGAAACAGCAAGTTGTCGCCCCCTGCAGCTGCAGGCGCTCCTGCTGACTAACGAACGTTCACGTGCACCGTGTGTGTATGAAGAAGAGGAAGGGGAGGGGTGCGGCGGGGGAATTCACCTCTGGGTCTTCCCAAATGAAATGAGCGGGTAGGGGCTGAATCAACTGTATTAACATGGCTAAAGCCAATCACATCTTGATGTTCTTCCATTTAATGCACATTTCATTCATAATATCATAAACACAGGCCTATCATTCTTTCAGGTTTTTCTGAATTGTGTGAAATGACCGAATAAAAAAAGGAAAAACAAAACGATTTTGTGGTCACCCCCCCATCAAGGTCGAATTGTTTAGTCCTGACTAAAGGAAAATTACTGAGTCAAGAGCCAAACAGAAGAGATGAACATAAAAAGGCTAAAACCACCAGGTGCCTGATTCAGGAATAAAAAAAGAAAAAAAGAGGAGAAAGATAAAGGTATGTACGCTCTCATGATGCATGTTTTCAATTTTTTGAACCAGTTAACTGGGATTTTAACGGTTAAATTCGGTCAACTAATTGCTAACAGAGCTAATAGGCCTGAAATATTGAAACGAATATTCAAACGGTTAGAAAAAAATCCTTGAATCGTGTTTTACTGATTCAAACTAGGATTTGTTAACCCTTACCTCACATTAGAGCATTTTTTTGTGCTCTAATGACTTTAACGTTAGAAAATTTAAACGTTGGGTAAGGGTTAAATGCTCGCTGCAGCCTGTGGCCTGCCTGAACAACAACAAACACATGTTGATCATGTTCACATAATAAATAAAACAACTCTACAAGCAGAAGAAAACTCCCCAGTCACCACTAACTATCCTGTTTATTTATTGCAGATGGCTGCACTGATTATTTTTTACATGATTTGTTCTGTAAAAGTTGGCATTTTTGGTAGTCTACAGTTTTTTTTATGTCAGTTTAAATTACAATTTCAGAGGCAATTCTAAAATATTATGGATCATGATAAAGATCTATTGGAGATCTACCCCAACTTTTGGACTGCTCTGCCAGTCACTGTGGCTCAAGCTGAGAGGAGCTTTTCAAAACTTGATCAAGTCATACCTGAGGTCAACTATGTTTCAGGGGCGGCTCACTAGCCTGGCTCTGATTAGTATCAATCACTCAGTAGGGGAGCCGATTTCATATGATGACATTATTGATGACTTTGCATCAAGGTTAGGTTTTAATTTTAGTTTGTGTTTTCTGTTCTAAGTGCAATGCTGTAGTGATTATCTTTAGTTTGTTATGTGTGAAATATTTTTGTTATTTAGAATATTTATTATCTATTATGTTCATATATTCTTAATATTTAGTTATTGTTTGTTTTTGCATGTTTGATTCTATATATTTTGATACAGTATATAATGTATATTGCTTTACATTCTGACAACTTCATAGCAAGTCACCCCCTACCAGATTCTTACTCAACTCCCACTTCCTGTTTGAAAAATGCAACAAATGCTGTTGCCTAGCAGACCGAGAGGGTGGAGCCACTAACAAATATACACACTCACGACATTGTAACATCATTCAATTCAAATTCAAAAATACTTTATTAATCCCAGAGGGAAATTGATTGCTGTAGTAGCCCAGGATAATAATAATAATCAAGTCGTCAAAGAGTTGTTGTATATCATAATGGCTGTTGGCAGGAAGGATCTCCAGTAGCCGTCAGTGTTGCAGCGAAACTGAAGAAGCCTCTGACTGAAGACACTCTTCCGTTGTCGGACAGTGTTGTGAAGAGAATGCTCAGGGTTGTCCATAATTTTCTTAATTCTCTGGAGAATCCTTCTTTGCATTAACTCCTCCAGTGGTTCCACAGTCGTCCCCAGAACAGAACCAGACTTTTTTATTTGGCTGTTGAGCCTTTTCAGGTCCCTGCTTCTGATGCTACTACCCCAACAGATGATGGCTGAAGAGATTACACTCTCAACAACAGACTTGTAGAAGATCTGCAGCATCTTGCTACAGACATTGAAGGACCTAAGCGTCCTCAAGAAGTGCAGTCTGCTGTGTCCCTTCTTGTAAACGGCTTCGCTGTTCTTTCTCCAGTCCAGCCTGTTGTCCAGGTGAACTCCAAGGTATTTGTATTCCTCAACCACCTCCACTTCTTCTCCCATGATGGAAACAGTGTTTGACTCCACCCTGTTTCTTCTGAAGTCTAAAATCATCTCCTTTGTTTTGTTCACGTTCAAGGTCAGATGATTGTTTCCACACCATGCCACAAAGCGCTCCACCAGCTCTCTGTACTCAGTTTCCTGTCCATCTCTGATACACCCGACGACTGCAGTCATCTGAGTATTTCTGTAGATGACAGGTCTCTGATTTGTACTGGAAGTCTGAGGTGTACAAGGTGAAAAGTAATGGTGAGAGTACAGTCCCCTGTGGTGCTCCAATGTTACTGATCGCCTGGTTTGATGTACCATAATGTACCATCTAACATCATAGTGTACCTCTTAGCCAATAGCGACGGCAGATTTAAATTCAAATGCAGTGCTGAGTTTTTACCTGACGACGGTGGAACACTGACAGTTTTAGGCAGAACATTTAAGATGCACTAAAGTGCCGAATTATTGACTACACATGTCTGCAGCACAATCAGACACTCATTTATATAGTTTATCAGGAAAAAAATGTTGATTTGGAGTGACTTGCTCTTTAATGTAAATATGTGCAACTTAGAAAAATGAGTGTTCAATAGTTGTTCTAATAAAACATGCCTGTTTGTAGAAAACATGCGTGTGTGCATGCAGGTGGGGTGGTGGTGGTGGTGAGGGGGGCGCTCAAAGGGGGCCTCGCCCAGGGAGTAATTCCATGTAGAACCGCCACTGGCCCGGTGGAGTTGCCGAGTGGAACTTCAGGTTAACTCTGTAACTCCGTAGCAAATGAAATCAGCGGACATTGTCTAAAAGAACCGGTGTTCTGTCGAAGCACCATACCTCGTCAGATTGGCATTCATGTATTACAGTGCATGCCAGTCTGACAGGCCACGTATGTCAGACTGATGTAGTTGAAATCCTACCCTGCACCCCAATCCCAGTGACACCATACCAGTCAGAGGAGCACACCAGCAGACAATGCACATGCTCCTCTGATGTACGGTGCCCTGATACAACATCGGCACTAGTAAAGAGTTTGTGAAGCTGAATGGAAGCAAAAGCAGATGAACACCGATCACACCGCTTTAAAATCACCGTTACTGAACACGGTGGAACCCCCCCACAGCGACGCAGTTCACTGGGCTTGCCGTCTCATTGAGCAACGTAAAATACTGAGCTTCTTCTGGTCATTGAACGCCACATTTTACATCACACAGCTGCTCTGGTGCTCTGAATGGATTAAATGATGTTATACTTTAACAGAATATGTCATTAATGTTAATGAGGATGCTTTTTGGCGCTGATCAGTGACATCACTCACTGCCGAGTCGTGATATGCTGACATCTGTACAAAGTCCTGAAAGGAGACAGCAGCTGAGAGGAATCTCCCATCACCGAGTCTCCGGCTCAGTTTCCCCTCCCAGAATTCACTCTGAAGTTCTGATGATGGAAACATGCCTACAGGTAGATGGGCGGGGTCTGAGATTGTGACTTACGGCACAGAGTTGTGAGCCATGAGGTGGTCCTGGTTGTCTGACTCTACCGCCTTGGTCTGTGGCTCCAGGCATGGCCCGTTGGGTCGGCTGTCTTTCTGTACAGGGTCAAACCAGAACAAAACCAGATGGAGAAAAGGATCAGACTTCTCTCTCTCGCTCAAAACCAGACAGCATCAGGAAAACGGGTTCCCTAGAAACAGGCTGTAGGACGGCTCATTTCAATAATAACCACTTGTGTTAAATATTAGTTATGTGTTCAGCCAAACGTCTACGAGCAACAAACTGGAAGAGAAACTGATCTGATGGAGTGATGTCCCTGCAGGTCTAACCCAAACCCTGGACGGGGTTTGGTTCTGCTCCTTTGATGAGCGGCTGAAGCAGCAGCTTCGGTCTTTGGGGTCATCTCTTCTCTAGCATGTTCTGACACCTTCTTGTTGACTCCCACCAGCAGATCTAAACACACCTGTGTCCTGCTTCCTAAAACAGAACCTCTATCTGCTGCTGGACCCATCCACAGAAACAGACTCTGGAAAGTTCTGATCCAACACGGCCTTTCCTTCTGCGCGTCGTGAGCCAGCTACCTGTGTTGTGGAGTTGTCTGACAGAATGACCTTGGCTCCCTCGTTGATAGCCATGAAAGAGAAGCGCAGCTGGTCGGGGGTCTGGATCAGGCCCATGCGATAATACCGCATGTCCAGTAGAACGTTCTCCATGTCCGATAACGACATCTTCCTCCTCCTTTCCATCTACAAAACAATGTACACATTTTTAGAACACCTTTGTGAAGATTGTGCAACAGGTAAATGTTTTCTTTCAACGTGGAGTCACACTGGATTGCCCAGTGGGATGTTACGCTGTGCTTCTTGAGATCGCTGTGTTACGTAACTCGAATTTCAAGTGATTATAACAACTGGGATCACGAAGAGTCAGAGTAAACCTGACGAACCCGACTCCTCAGAACTCTGGGGTGAGAGTATGAGGTAACATCCAGGAAACAACCTCAACGGGGCGACGGTGGCACAGGAGTTAAGTGCTCGCCTCGCAATCGGAAGGTCGCAGGTTCGAGACCCGCTCAGTCTGTTGCTGTCGTTGTGTCCTTGGGCAAGACACTTAACCCACATTGCCTGCTGGTGGTGGTCGGAGGGACTAGTGGCGCCAGTGCTCAGCAGCCTCGCCTCTGTCAGTGCGCCCCAGGGCAGCTGTGGCTACTTTGTAGCTCACCCCCACCAGTGTGTGAATGGGTGAATGACTGATTGTGTTGTAAAGCGCCTTGGGGGGGTTCTAGGACTCTAGAAGGTGCTATATCAAATACAGGCCATTTTACCATTTATCAAACAAATGTCTGACTCAAAGGTAGTACAAACCTGAAAGGTGTAAAAGGATTTCCCTTTGTAAACCGCAAAGCTTCTCCCACATCAAACAACCGAGGCAAGACACTCACTCTCCCATCTGGGACTGCTGACTAATGGTAGTTATTTTATCGTCACTAGTAAAACTGCTTCCTGGATGATTAGCCATGGCACCAGCAGAAGGTTAGCTCTGCATCTCTGAACTTTTATCTTCACAAATAACGACTTGTCTTTATACCGAATAACTTTGATGGAGACAGAAGACGGGGATGGTCCAACAGAAGACTTTTTACTGGGACAGATTAGTGCGGAAGTGACATTTGTTTCCCATGAGGAGCTTCACCCCGGTGTGACATTAGCAGCTGAACCCAGTGACCCAGCCAGCAACAAAACAGGGTAGGGATCCGGACCTTTTTAAGTCAGCTCCAGCGTGAAGCAAACGCCGTTTATTACATAATGTTATAAATCCAGATGGGTGAATTCTGACAAAGTCGGCAACCTGATCAAATCTGTGAACACAGCAGCAGGAAGAATGTAAGCTAACATTCACTATCAAGCTAACACTACTGTAAACATCGTTCTCTGTGAGCCCCACCGAGGTGTGCAGGTGACCCGTCCACCACCGCAGATCCATGTGACCAGCATCAGTCGAGTGGAATCAAGCCAGTTTTTACTAGTATAAGTACAAAGAAACATGCACGATATTGGGCCGATACCCAATACTGGTATCGGTGCATCCCTAGAAAACAATGGAGGCATATCTTTTGACACTGGACATATGCTGTTGGTATGTCTGATATCCTTACACGTGTTGACTTTTAAAAACATCATCACATAAGTCTGAGGGCTTAGTCTTCAGAGAGGAAGTGCTAAATAAGAGCATTCCTGCAAAGGGCAGTGCGTTTTATCCACTTTTAACTGGAATCAACACAAATATGATCACTTACACAGCTCCCTACGACGTCCCTGTAGAGAAACAGGATGAGTGCATGACAGCTGTCTTAACTCAGGTTTGATTCATTTGGTAGCCAGCTCCTCTTTAGGTGACTGCTCTGAGAGGAAATCTTCAGGGAAGCGACTCACACGAGGAAACCCAAAACATTTCCAGACATTTTGGAACCCCTTTGTGAAGTCCTAGCCCAGTGACATACTGGTTGTAAGGGTTTGTCATCTTGCATGTCAGCACACAGAACCCGAGGCACAGCTCACCCCGTCCGCTGCTGTGCCACCATGTTGGTTGTTTTTTTCTGTGTAGCAAAGAACTACAGTTTTCTGAAAACACCAACATTTCCTAAGCTAATCATGCGTGACTAACGTGTTTTTGTTTCCTTGACAGAAACTCTGATAGATGATCTGACAGATTACAGCCCAGACACGCAGAATCAAGCTGTGGCTCTTTTAGAGAACACACAGCTACATGCAACCTGCTAACAGAGAAGAACAAAACCAGAGGCATGTGCTTGTTTTGGATGAAGGGACCCCCCCCCCCCCCCCCCCCCCCCCCGTGTGAAACTTGTGTTTAATGCTGCATAAAATAAAACCGTACTTATGTAGAAATGTGGTAAAAATACAACATGTTTCTTAAACTTCTCAGTAAAAACAGCAAATCATCCCTGAGGGTTGAAGGTTCCTAGAAAACAGGTCAAAGGCAGCGGCCGCCTTTGGCTCAGGATCCTTCCTGAAACACCAGAAGAGGGTTTGGTTCCAGGTAATCATACACGCTCATCTTCTCTAACTCACATGAGGAAAAACAAACATCTCTGTTATCATCACACTGCAGTCTAATCACTGAGTGGAGATCTCACCCCTCATAAATCTCTTTAGAGATGTTTGAGGTAGCTTTAATCAGAAATACACCCTGCCCCCTCCTACCAGAACAAGGCACGTGTCCACCAAGGCGAGCGTCCCCGAGCGTCCGATCCCAGCGCTGCAGTGCACCACCGAGGGCTCCCGTTTCGAGCCCAGAGAGCCAGACTCCCGAACTTTGAAGAGGAAGTTGAGGAAACAGGCGGGAGATTCTGGCACCCCAAAATCAGGCCACGTGGTGTAGTGAAAGTGGTAGATGGCTCTCGTTTCTGTCGTCTGAGGGACAAAAAGGACAAGCCGTGACTGGAGCGGAGCATTCCCACCTGAGACCTGGAACCAGAAGCTGCTGGGTTTCTGAGTGTGTGCCGGCTCTACCAAACCCTCATCTGGCTTCTTCTGATCAAAGGCAGCAGGCCTGGTTCTGACCAACATCATCTACACCTACAAATGATGTCATCCACTCATTGTGACATATGCTGGTCAGTGGTGGAGTGGTGCTGCTGTTAGCCAATCAGACACAAGATGTCTGAGTATCAGGAAATAATACAGAGTAGGGCTCGCAGTCCTCTGCTTCCCACTCTACCAGCTGACTTCTACTTCCTGAAACAGGAGCGCCAGAGCTTTTCCCCTCTGACTCACAATGCACTCGTTTACAGTAGAGAAAAATGAGTGAACTTGGCCTGAGACCCTCCTGGAGTCTCCATCCTCACCTCTTCCTTCCCATTCTTTACTTTTTGTGGTAAATGTCCCTTTCCATCGTGGTCTGCAGTTTGCACACATCAAGGTGTGAAACACTATTTCTGAGGTAACCATAAAAACAAATCGGTGAACAGACCATTTACTGGGAAACAGACACGGCTCTATAGCAGGTCATGAGCTCAGTGTACGTTACCACGGAGACGCAGCCGGGTTTACATAGAGGCCTGCTTGGTGATACTGAAAAACGGTCTTTCAGCTCATCGGAGCGGTCTAAGCTGCTAATCTCATTTCACAGCAGAGCCCTCTGACCTTCCACTCAGGAAAACACGTCCTCCACCGAGACAGAGGAACCGAACCGTTAACAGATGAGTGGCTAAGAACCCGTCAGAGGACGTGAAGCTATGAGGATTGAATGAGGCTGAGCTGACCTGAAATGGACACACAACCCTTACACATTTAATCTCCGATTAGCTGTATAATTATTTCAGCGGTTCCCCTCCCATGCTCACCTGGTGTTCTGTAGTTTCCAACACTCTGATTGTATAATATAACTTGTCCACCTCGGACAGCAGTCTCACGACAAAGCCTGTGTCTGGAAGGACAGGGGCAGCTCCTTGGAACGGGGCCAGTACTGAGCACACTTCTCCTGTTGAGGCAGACAGAGAAATAAATAAGCGGTCCAGATCATCAGGTTAAAGCTTCGTTTCAGATCCAAACGATCGTGCCTCAAAAAACCACACTCACACCATGTCTCCTCCCAACAGCTGCTGGTGGCGTTTGTAAATGATCAGCACGAGTAAATGTGGCAGAACAAGGGCACAACACACTGGCGGGCACAACACAAACACCAAAACAATCAGCCTCCGTCATTTTCAACGCAGCGCCCGCCGGTGTTGAAGTCCAGTCACACTCGAGTCCGTCCTTTTTGAGCCCAAGTTAGGTCCTACTGTCCTACTGGTCAAGTCCAAGTCCCAAAAAGAATCTTCGGGTTAATGTCAACATCCAGTTTCAACTGCCACTTGTTACGTAACCGAAGAAAAGCAAGTGAAATTGCTGTTGCAGGAATTACCATGTAGCCGATGCTGATTTGTTACTGATGCTTCATATCAGCTTTCTACTGAGAAGCTGTCTAGTCCAGCTCTTAGTTTCTAAAACCGACGTACGCAGGCCAAGGGCCAGTGTTGTACCCGAGCGTGTTCATGGAACGAGCATTAGTGAACTCTTCTGGGTTTTTGGGTGAACGTTAAACTGAACTCGCTCATCTGGCGTGTGTGAACAGGTTTACGAACAGCGTTAGAGGTCTCCACGGAGCTAAAGTCTAGCTAAAACGCCCTGTTGGCCACTGACTCTTTAAAAAGTAGACCCTGCAAATGCGGCCGCCATAGGCAGTAGCAGTCAGTGCGGCGTCTACTCTTTTATGCCCATGCTGTGTGGAGGACGGACGTCACGGTGCATTCCATTTACCTCGGAAAATATACAACTGCACATAACATTGATTTTAGATGCACCCTTACAACTTAATGCATGTTTATTGTGAGGTTTGTGTTGTTCTTAGTTACTGCTTTGTTCAGTCAATGTCAAGTTTATTCACATAGCACATTTCCAACAATCAGAGATTGCACAAAGTGCTGTGCACAGACAACCAGTAAAAAATAAAATGATAAAACACTGAGAAACATCAGTAGACCCTATGTGAAATAAATGAACGAAGAAATTAGTTTTTTTTATTTATTTAAAAGCAAGGGTAAAAAGGTAGGTTTTTAAAAGAGACTTAAAGGTAGAAAGGCTGTTGGCAGACCTAATCTGTAGGGGAAGGCTGTTCCAGAGCTTGGGAGCGGCCACAGAAAAAGCTCTGTCACCTCTGGACTTCAGCCTAGACTGGGGAAACAGATAAGAGATGTAGAGTGGAAGATCGCAAGTTTCTTTTGTTATTTAGAGTTCCGACAAATAGGGAGGGGCCAAATTGTGTCGTGCCTTAAAACAGAGCAGTAGCATTTTAAATTGAATCCTGTAAGGGATCGGGAGCCAGCAAGCGAGCTACTGCATTCTGAGCCACCTGCAAGCGGTGAATTGACGACTGCTCCAGTCCATGATATGGAGAGTTGGAGTAGTCGAGTCTCTACATGATTAGCAGGTGTATAACCTTTTCAAAGTCTTTCATTGGCAAATAGGGCTGGACTTTACTAAGAACACGCAAATGAAAGAACACACTCTCTGGACCACAGAACTTATCTGTTTATCAAGCTTAAAATGACCATCAATGCCACCACATTGATTGTGGTGCATTGGTCTGAGTGGCCGTGGCTCCTGGTCAGGGGGTTTAAGATTTTTGGCGTCTGCCCGATCAATCCCGGTGGCGGCCTGGTGGGGTCTGGGTCCCTGGGCTCTGCTGGGTCCCCGGCGGGGGTGGTCGCCCCTGGGTCCCGGGCTCGGCCGGCTAGGGGGTGGGAGGCTGCGGGTGGGCCTGAGGGCTTGCCGCTCTGATATCCCCCGGGACTCTGCCGGCTGCTGGTTGTGGCCCCCCGGGGCGATCCTCTGTGCCTCTCGAGGGGGGCGGGGGGCCTTTCTGGTTGCAGTCTCCTTGGGGTTCCTGTGTTCTGGGGCAGCGCCTGGATCTCTGGGACTTGGACCTCCCCCCTGTCTCCTAAGCATCTTTGGGGGGCAGATCTGTGGTCCCTCGCACTCTCTATTGGACGCTCCTATAGATAAACCTTACATAAACAAGTGAGTGTACACACACACAGGTGCTCACATGGTGCTCTCAAAGTATGGGCTTGGGCACGTTCAACACAGGTCTTAAGGCTATGGTGTGCACTTAATGCACTGTGATTTATTATCGTGTGACTGTTCAGTTAAACAAGGGTTGATTATATATTTCTTCATCAAGTTGACACAGTGATAGCTTGATCTTGTTGTATTGTTGTGTGTCCTTTTTTTTCTTGTCTCTTTCTGCAGGTCTAGAAGCAGACTGTTGTTCATTATTGTTTATTTTTGGTGGAACCCCCCCACCCCCTTCCCCCCTCTCTCCCCACCTTTTGGCTTTTCCTTTCTCTTTCACCTCTGACTCTGTGTCTGGTTGGAATTACAAAGCATTCAAAAAACAATAACAATAAAGTTTTAAGTATCAGGCGTGACATTAAAAACAGACGCTTTAATGCTCCACCTGAGAGTAAATCTGTAAGGCTTGTTACCAGCATTCAGACATCAATTCTGTTTGCTTCACAGCCAGACAGGACACGGTAAAAAAAAAAAAAGACCATCAATGAAAAAACCCAGATTTCTTGCCTGAGACAGGCAGAAGGATTCTTAAGGGCCAAGTACACTGTCTACCCCGTGCAACAGCCAGGGTCCCCGAAAACGACAATTTCAGGGGTTTTTTGTCATTTAAAGTGAGAAGGTTAAATTGTAGCCAGTTTTTAACGTCTTTTAGACAATTCAGTAATTTATCAAATGATGGCCTTCGAGAACGTAGTGGGAAATATATCTGCACGTCGTTCACAAAGAAGTGGTATGAGATGCAAGGCTTATGAAAGATGGCGCCAAGGAGCAACATGTACAGTGAGAACAGGAGAGAGCCCAAAACTGAACCTTGAGGGACACATCAACTAAGTTTCGCTGGAGACGAACAACACTGCCCCATATTTACAGTAAAAGTCCTGTCTGACAGGTAGGACTTAAACCACTGCAACACTGAGCACCGGATGCCAACGTCATGCTCTAGGCGAGATAAAAGGATCTGATGGTCCACTGTATCAAAGGCCGCCGATAGGGCTAAAAGGATCAATACAGCTGATTGACCGGAATCGATAGTTAAAAAAATATTGTTAAATATTCTTAAAAGAGCAGTTTCTGTACTGTGGTATTGCTTAAAACCTGATTGAAACTTCTCTAAAATACCATAATGGTCGAGGTAGTCCTGCAGCTGCCTGTAGACAATTTTCTCCAAGACCTTAGAAAGGAAAGGGAGCTTGGAGATAGGCCTGTAGTTGGAGAGCACCATGGGATCGAGATTAGGTTTCTTTAAGAGCAGCTGAATAACAGCACGTTTTAAGGCGGCAGGGACATGACCAGCATGACTTTAGTAAAATAATGGGCCCAATAGTAGAAAATACATTTTTTAAAAGTGGGCTGCAAGAAGGTCTTGACTGGTGAACCACCTTAGAGAGTGTTGCAAAGGTGGAGTTGCTGGAGTTCAGCACTGCAGTCACATGGTGCACGAGCTACCCGACGTCTCTCAGTGTCGCTGTTAACTTCCTGTTCCCCCCTTACCTGTCTCAGCATGGCAGCTGCCACATGGGCAACATGAGGTAGAGCCCTGCACGGGCCTAAAATCTGAGCCCGTGTCCGGCCCGGCCCGAGGGGGTGGAGCCCCAGCCCGACCCGGTCCGAAAAGGTTTTCAGGATTCTCTGGCCCGACCAGAGCCCGACTTTTTTTTAACCAACTATCAATCAATCAATCAAAGCTTTATTTATAAAGCGCCTTCCGCAACCCTGTCAGGAAGCCCAAGGCGCTGAGACGTGCAGGATCCGATCAATTTGTTTTTCCCTCATTTACCGTCACGGAGATGACGGCGCACTGGCTCTGGTGGTAATCAAGTAAAATTTTATCTCTTTCCAACAATTTTCACAAGAAAACAAAACAGTTAAAAGCAGGACTTGTGTTGACCGGATAGTTCCCGTATTTGACCGTTTATTTTGACAGAGAAAGAATAGAAAGAATTACCCCGACGCATGCAGACGAACTGACATTTTATTCGTTACACACATCGCAGATGTAGCTAAATCACCCAAGAAAAGATTCCCATCTGAACATCTGAGCTGCTCAGCGCATATGTGCACAGCGAGCTGAAGTTGTGGACATTGGCTTGGAGCGCGTTGCAGAACCAGAGCGCATGCGGGAAGATTCCTCCCACTGAAGCGAGTATTTTCCAAACCCTGTCGCTCAGAGAGACTTGTCACTTAGAAAATGTTCCCTGATTATGAAACTTTGGCTGAATAGTGCTTGTTCCTGTCTCCAATGTGGCGACACATCCAGGAGCCGTCTGAGGAAAAGCCCAGAATCTCTTCAGCTCAGATGATTAGGCACAAGCGTGACGCATCAACCCGGTCTCACAGTAAGAGTGGGTTGGACCTGTTCAGGTTTACGCAGACAATCTTTACATAGAATTGACTTACAGATATAAATTAATTCAGTAAAATATAAAGCATTTTATTTAAATATCCATTCATTATTTTACAAGCACAGAGAGCCGCATCAGATGGATGGGTTGTGACATGTTTTCTCCAGGACCAGAGAGGACGCAAACTCAATACATCTCTTTTATTGTGAGGTAATGATTTCTCCGAGTTTTGCGGTTGCGGGCGGGAGTAGACATGCACGCTATGGGTGCGGGCGGGAGTGTAACACACGTCGCAGTTGCAGGCGGTAATGGTCAGAAATTCAGTGGGAGTGGGATGAAGAAATCAGTCCCGCGCAGGGCTCTACTGCTGCGTTTGTGTTTCAATTTTTTTAATGAATTCGATTAAAAATAAAGGCGCCCGGCCCGGCCCGTGTCCGAGGTAATTACACAGTCGTTGGCCCGAAGCCCGACCCGAGGGCCTAGGGCTTCAGGGCAGGGCTCTAACATGAGGTAACACCATTAATCCATTAGTCCAACTGGAAATGGAGTCATGCTTAATGAACAAGCTGAGGTAAATAAATCGTTGTTTTAACCAAGTATCTTTAGTTACTGTAACTAACTAGTACATTCAACTCAAAATTTCCATTTCACTCTATTAAGGGTTCAGGTGTACTGAATGTAAAAGGTGTACCTTTGTTAAACCAGTAGCTTGAACTGGTCTTCAGCACACCTGAGTTCTTCTACATTTCTGTCAGTTTACTGCTCTGGATCATCCAGGTGTGCGACAACCCCTCCCAAAAGGAAAGCATCAACCTCATAAAGGGTCTTGACGATCTTAGCCTTAATAAACCGTTCTTAATGAAAAATAAATTACTGTCTGTCTGTGTGTAGATCGGACAGAAACTCCCACCCAAAATCAGCTCCACCGTCTCTTTCAAGCATCACGTAAACCTCCCAACAGGACAGATGAGCTGTCAGAATTCTCTGGAAAGGTAACCAGGAAACGTTAGCAGAGTTAAACCCACACGACCAGGGTGGACAAGTCTAGTTATAACCTACGACTTGGTTAAAACCAAACAGTGTCTGAGTGTAAACGGTTTGAAGCAGCTCCACCGCTAACATCCACCATCATAGGCGTCATTTTAACTGGGGACGCCGGGGACATGTCCCCGGCAAAATTCGTGATTGGCAGTTGTGTCCCCCCCACTTTCAAAAAAGCCTGCTGATGAGGATTTTAGTTTTACCTGCTCAGATCTTATACCAGGGGTCGGTAACCTGTTCCCATCAAAGAGCCATTATTACCCATTTCCCACGGTAAAGAAAACACCGCAGCAGCCGCAGCGTTGCGGGCGGGGCCTACCCTCAGACAGCAGAGCGCTGCTCACAACAGGTGACAGCAGCCGGGGGCATCGCACCCGTGGGGGATTCAACACTCACACTTTTCCAGCTGTTTTGCTCACCTCCACACCAGTCTGGTTTCTTTACGTCGCACTCACTCTGTTTGCCTCATCTCCTTCTTCACCTCCCAGCCGATGTCGGGTTTCCAGGAGAGCAGGAGAGGGAGGGATGGAAGAGCTCGACTGAATTCATAATTTTACATCTTGACATTAGCTGTACAAAGTCTGAGTTTGATAACGTGAAGAACAACCATTTGCAGAGGTTTATAACTGGCACGGCGCCAGGTTTTCATTTTTGGATGGGCCACGGTAATTTTGGACGGACCTTAATAAGCAGTGACTTAAGTGAAGAAGGCAGGTCGCGCTAGAAAATTTAGTTTAAAAAGACATCATAAATGTTTTCCCCCGTCATTTTTATTTCTAAAATATGAAGTAAAAACTCCCAATTTAATTTTCATTCATTTGTCATTAATATTTAGTCTACAACCGTGCGTTAAGTGGACCATCTTCCAGTAAACGCAAAGCATCCAGTCCACCTCTCCAAATGCGTAAAATGTGCATCAGCCGCTAGGCGTGCCACGCGCACCATCAGCTGATCAGCCCAGACAAGAGCAGAGCAAATAGAGAAAGAATAGAGGATAATTGTGTCTGGATGTGGATGGAGATTACATTTTACAGCAGCCTGATCATCATTTAAATACGTAAACCATCACCTGTCTTCTAGTCCACGCTATCAGCATTATTTTAATTGGTGTGTGTGTGTGTGTGTGTTTTCCACTTCAAACACTGGTCTAACCAACCAGACCAGCGTGTCCAGTAACACATTAATGTTACAATTAAACCTGATTAACCCCAGAGCCGTGCACACTGCACTGTACGGACTGTAAATGAGGGGGAAACTATTTAATCGGATCCTTTACTTTTCAACATGGTTTAATGTAAAGTTTCATTCAGTACAAACTTTAGTTACACCAATCTAACGAGACAGAGCCTAGATTTGTATTCTGAACAGTTTAAACATGTTTGAAACGGAGACGTGCGTGACGCGTCTAAAATTCGCACCTGCTCCGCTATTACGGAAATTAAACTAACAAGATGAATAACATGAAATTATTTTAGGCACAGACAACATCCCCCACACTTTTGAAAAGCTTGCAACGCGCCTGATCGCTCATGTACGTCTTAATTATCTTTCATTAGACGATAATCAATAAAACGATTTATATAAAGTGGATCCAGAAGTAGTAGCCCGTCTCTGCCTTCAATTTTTGGTATTTTTCACCCTGTTGATGGTTTTACTGAGCAGGTGCCACTTTTGTCCTACGTTTCTTTTTAAAACATGTTTAGACTGTTCAGAATACAAATCCAGGCTCTGTCACGTTTGACTGTTGTAATTAAACTTTGTAGGTGGGGAAGGTCAGAAAGCAGCTCAGAAGCGCCGATATGATTACGCACAAGCGTGACGCATCAACCCGGTCTCACAGTAAGACCGGGTTGGACCTGTTCAGGTTTACGCAGACAATCTTTACATTTAGAATTGGCATACAGATGTAAAATTAATGCAGTAAAATATAAAGCATTTTATTTAAATATCCATTCATTATTTCACAAGCACAGAGAGCCGCATCAGATGGATGGAAGAGCCGCATCCGGTTCCAGAGCCGCCGACCCCTGTGCTAGCCTACTTTATTGTCCCCAGCAATTTTTAAACCCCACTCAAGTGTATGGTTATTGTCCCCAGCAATTCTGAAAACAAACTGACGCCCTTGTCCACCATCACCTCTGCTGCACACCAAAGTCGTGTCACACTACGGTTAGCTGATGAGGTCACACAGAATCAGCCATATTTACCAAACACATATTGTTGTTTCATTTGGTTTCAAAGTAAGTTCAGTCTCTCCCCGCTGCTCACCAGACCTGTTCAGATACGTTCTGACTGATACAGAACGCCAGAAGAGGAGAAGCGTACTCCTTCCAGCCATGGCAGCTGTCCCGACAAGTTCAGGTAGCTTCATTAAAAAACAGACTTGGGACGGATCTGTGGAGGACTTTTGTCTCCATGTGAAGTTCAGGTGTTTGTGAGTTGATGTTGCACATGGTTAAAGTCGTGTTTCCAGTAGTTTTACTTAATCTAACTAGTTTCCACGGCGTTGCAAGCTTTTCTCCTAAACTTCATCATCTGTAGAGCCTCGCGTCCCTCTTAAGTCTGTCCTTGTCAGTGTCACCAAGAACGACTTAAACCTGAGTAATGTTTATATTTCAACTGAAAATAAGGAAAGGGGATTTCAGACGTTTCCTCATCCAAACGCTTGTGGGAGGTGTGTGGCGTTTCCAGTGGTGGGTGGGGCTGCCTGTATGAAGGTTTCAGTAGAAATCTTTGTAAACTGATTACATCTGACACAAACAGACCATAAATAACAACACATTTCCTTTTTTCAGAAGCAGACAGGCCGAGCATCGACTCAGACCCCGTCTTTCATTTGGCTCCCCGTGAATTAGCCAGGCAGGTGTGTAGAACACCAGCGTCACTGATTAGCAGGCGCGGCGGCATACTCACAGATCCTTTCTCGATCACTCGGTTGAGCATTATAACCGCTTTGGAATTTTGCTCCCAAACCATCAGCCAGAAGTGACTGCACGTGTTCCTCAAAGGGCCCTGTCACGAGAAGCACACGGCCCAGTCAGCGCCTGGTAGGGGCTCCGGCATGTGGGTGCTGACTCAACACACCTGAGTGAGGATGTAAGCTCTCTCCGCTTCCTCCACCTCCACCAAGCTCGCGTTGATGTAGTCATGCTCAAAGTTGTGAAGTCTGACCCGACTGTGATCGTCTGAAGCCAAAACAGAGAGAGCAGAGCAGTCACACACCCAGAACGCTCCGTCAGCGTCCACGTTTCAACAGCTCTGTTCTAACACTCACACGGGCTGACGTCTCTGTAGCGGTTCAGGTTCTTGTTCACGGGAAGCTTTGCTGTGCTGTACGAGTGCTCAGCGGCCATGTTACGGATATCCTGTCACAGAGAGGAAGAAGATTTTAAAGTTAGACATCTGATGGAGTGCGACCTGGAGGTGAACGCCGCTCCTGCCCGAGTACGGTGGTGACAATGACAACAATACAACACAGAGATGAAAGGTCTGTTTGGTTAGTTCCCTGGAAGAGTCCAAGTCTACTGAATACAGTAAGCTGTGATGGGAGTGGCTACAGGGAAACAGAGGTCACCTTTAAAAACAAAACCAGTTATTTTACTGGTGAGAAGGAAACAGGAGCAGGTGATGAATGAGAATCTGGAGCTCTGGTTTCATGTTAGCTAGTCAGCAGCTCCTCTGAACCTTCAGACATCTAGAGGTGGTGAAGACGCCCTGCTGAAGATCAAACCGAGCTGCAGAAGAAAGCTGACTGAAGGGACTTTAAATGTGGTATGGTTGTTTGTGTTCAGCTGCTGGGATTTGAACCCACAACCATCTTTAGGGTCTACAGTGACTGGTCAGACTGGTTCTGGATGACAGAAGGACAGCAGCAGCTCTAATAACCTCTGGTTCTGCAGAACAGCATCTCTGAACCACAACCTGATGAACCTGGAAGCAGATGGACTCCAGCAGCAGAAGACCAAGCCATGTTTCTCCAGTCAGCTAAGAACTGGAAGCTGAGGCTTCAATTCCCTCAGGTTCCCCAGAACTGGACCAGAAGAAACTGGAAAACCTTTCCTGGTCCGAGTCTCGATTTGAGCTGTTGGTTCAGAGTTTGGTGTCTCCAACATGAAAGCATGGACCCATCCTGCCTTCAGGCTCCTGCTACTGTTGGTGTAACAGTGGTGGTGTTGTTCTGGTCCCACTGTGGACCTTCAGGACCACCTGAGCCTGGTTTAACCACCACGGCCTACCCGAGTCTGACCATGTCCAGCCCTTTATGACCACATAGACCCATCTTCTGATGGTACTTCCAGCAGCACCATGTCACATAGCTCAGATCATCTCTAACTAGTTTCTAGAACTGGACTCTAATGGCCTCCACAGTCAACAGATCTCAGTCCAGCCCAGAACCTTTGGCATGTGGTGGTACTGGAGCTTCTCATCATGGATGGAGCTAATGCTGTCATGTCAGGATGGACCAGAACCTCTGGGGACCACTTTAACTTCTTGTTGGATCTATGAGATGAAGGATTAGGTTCCGAAGGCAGAGCGGGTACCAGCCGGGTGTACCTACTAAAGCAGCCTGAATGACCGAGGTTTGAAAAGGGAAATCAGTTTGATTTTGTTGTTATTAACAGTCGGCCATGTTAAAACTCAGGATCATGATCATTCTGTGAACACAAAAACAACTTGGATGTTCTCCTGCTGTCAGAAAAGCAGGTCCCATCCACTCATCATGCTGGGATTTTCTGCTCGTCTTCAACAACAAATATCTCCAGCTGTAGGGCATCCTCAGGTCACAGGTGCTGTCAGGTCACTGCCAGCTTAACCTGGAACAGACTCAAAAGGGACCGGCGGTGCGCACGTGCGCATTTCTCTGGAAGTCCCGTGTACCGACACCGGTGAGTTCTCAGAAACTGCAGCTGACGTCTGCAGGCGTCAGCCAGCAGATAACAGCTCCGGTGGAAGCTCCGCCGCCGCACGCAAGTCAGCGAACGCTAAAGCTGGCTGCTAGTTTCTCATCAGCCCCCCAGCAGCAGCAGCACACAGCCGGAGTTCCGAGTAACAACGGGTAGGACGGTTTACGGGGTAGGAGAAATTCCCGGAACACCGGCTACTGTTCTCAGCAGCCCACGGGTCAATACCACTCAGCAGGAGGCTCGCGGTGGTATCCGGACGCTGCCGCGAGCGCCTCTGACGTTAGCTAGCTAAGTTAGTTAGCTCCTGATCGTCATAGAAACACCGGAGGCCCTGCCGCGGACCCTACTTACGTTATAAATGTTTTGCCATTCGCCGCGCGAATCAATCTCCTTCAGTTCTGCCTCCATTCTGGTTGTGATGGGAGAGGTGAAGAGCCAGGGGGACGAGTAGAGAGCGTTAGCAGCGACGTTCCCCAACTCACACCGTCCGGCTTCGGCCAGCCATCTAGCTGCGCTTGCTGTGTGTAACCTGATGATGAATCCCTGCAGCCTGGGAGCCAGCCCGCCTCCCTCTGACTCACGTGGGTTGCCAGTTATGCATCTCTGCGCGCGCTTCAAGCGAGCGGGAGGCTTTTTTCAGCGCTTGTGCAAAAAAAAAAAAAAAAAACTTTATCATCAAAACTTAAACATATTCTTTACTGGCTAAAAACAAAATAACACTCGTTAAATTCTCCGTCAGGTTTTATTTAGTAATTATACAATACACATTTTGTAATTATATAGTAATAACCTACATAATAAACCTGATTTTGCAGTTGTATAATAATACATACAATGATAATAAAGAAATTTGATTATTACAACACACAATGTTACGTTGGATTCAAGCTGGATTTGGAGGAGAGTATGTGTGTGGCTCCAGCATACCACACACGGTGATTGAAGAGGTGAAGATGAACTTGAAGATGAGGTGTAGAACTTCATTGACTATACTTATAGGTTGAATTTCTTCAGCTGTCTCAGGACGTTCATCCTCTGCTGGACCTTTTTATGATGGAGGTGATGGTGGCTCCCAGGAAGCAACATGAGTCCACCATCATGATGGGAGTGTCAAACGGGGTTACAGGTGTGTGTGTGTGTGTGGGGGGGGGGGGGGGGGGGGGGCTACCTAAAGTCCACAACGACCTCTGCTGTCTTCTGGGTGTTTAGCACCAGGTTGTTGTGGCTGCACCAGGACTCCAGCCGTTCCACCTTCTTACGTACGCAGACTCATCCCCATCAGAGATGAGTGAGATGACGGTGGTGTCGTCTGCAAACTTGATAGGCTTCACAGACTCATGGTTGGAGGTGCAGCTGTTGGTGTACAGCGAGAAGAGCAGATGAGAGATAACGCAGCCTTGAGGGGAACCGGTGCTGATGGTTCACAGGTCAGAGACATTCATTATAGCTGATAGCATGATAGCATGATAGCAACAGGGAAACTCACTCTAACTGTTTTTTTTAATCTTTTTATTCATCTAAAACACAATGAAAACTGTATTTATGTAAGTGTTATATTCAATAGTTGTGTGGAGTCAAAGGGCAAATCCAGCTAGCTACAGCGCTACAAACTTTACTTAATGAAGAGCTATGTTAGAGCCCCCACAGTGGCAATCAGTTAGAGCTACACAAACCTGCTTATCTCAGTGAAGCTGGAAAACAAAATCCTACATTTTTTTTGTCTTCATGGGAGTATTAATATTAAGGAGAAGGAGTACATTCAATAGTTACTCAGTAGAAACCGTTTTTTAAAGAGCAAGTCACCCCAAATCAACTTATTTTACTGATAAACTATATAGACGAGTGTCTAATGGTGCTATAGAGCTCCGGGAGCTGACATCACTTCTCCCGGCATGCAACAGTTCAAATCGAAATGGCGCCATATTGGCATGCAGAAGCCGGCAGCTGGACTATTTGTTATTGTCAGAAAACTCAATCAGACAGGAAATATGGTAGATTCCTGTTGTGCCCCAGGATGCAGAACAGACACGGACGACATAAGGAATGAGCCATCTACAGGATTCCCCAAGATCCGGAGCACCGCAAACGTTGGATCATTGTAATAAAACGCGCTAGTGACCGGGCTGAAATGAAGCTGTGGGACCCCGAGAGTAAAGGTTTTCGCTTATGCAGCGACCGCTTCATATCAGGTACTTAAACAACGTTTCCTCAACTGTGTATGGTGTTTATTTTAAATGCTTTTATTACGATTCTTAGTGGGCTTCCTAAACTTATTTTGGCGTGGCTTTTTCTGTCTTATTACTCATAGCAGCAAGTAAACATCACGTAAAACGTTGCCTCGTGAGTTCTGCGTGCTGCCGTTTACGTGTTTTATGATCACAGCAGTTAACCGGCTAAGCTGTATTTAATTTTTAAGCAATGGTTGATCAATTGTCAGATCACACATAAAAAGCATTTTGGATTGCTATTATTTGTCTCACCGAGTCAGATCTCAGACAGATCCTGAGACGCTCCTGCCTGACATATTTATTTTATTCATGGAAAACAATCAAACTAGTGATTTCTCTTGGTGTTCAGTTTATACATTCAAACAGCACAGCACTCTATTTAAACTACTTACGTGTAAATCTGTTATTTGTCCATCCATCCATTTTCATCCGCTTATCCGGAGTCGGGTTGCGGGGGCAGTAGCGTCGAGAGGTCCAGACTTCCCTTTCCCCAGCCGCCTGAGCCAGCTCCTCCGGGGAAATCCCAAGGGGTTCCCCGGCCAGATCCGGTAAGAAGTCCGCTCCGACAGCTTCTGGCGTTTTAAAAAAGTATCCCAGGGGCACGGTTAAGGGTCGGAGATGTTTGGTCTATTTAATTTCTGACTATATAAAACGATTTCTTCAGTTTTAAAGTGTGAAGTAAACTCAGACGAAGTAAAATCCAAGCCGATCCCGTTCATGTTCATGTTTACGATCCGTGTTTGTTTACCATTTTTTCCCTGCCAATATGGCGTCTACTAACTGAGAGTCACGTGGGGTCCGGAGCTCTATAGATGTGTGTAGTCAATAATTTGGCACTTTAGTGCATCTTATAATTTAAATATGCAGCCTAAAACTGTCAGTGTTGCGCCCCCTTCAGGTAAAAACTCTGCACTACATTTGAATTTAAATCTGCCATCACTGTTGGCTAAGAGGTACCCTTTGAAGTCAGCTGGTACATTATGATGTCACAATGCCGTTGTGAACCTGTTTGTGTGTGTTTGTTAACGGCTCCGCCCTCTCGGTCAGCCAGGCAAACGCATTCGTTGCATTTTTCAAACATGAAGTGGGAGTGTAGTAAGTTTCTTGTAGTGTGACTTGCTCTTTAATTAAATGAAATGCTACAGCATTTGTGGCCATAGCAACTCATGAGGGGAACTCATTCTCTTATTGTTTAGCTAAAAATGCAATAATAACTGTATTTATGTTACAGGTTAAACACGGTCATCTCCCCTTCCCTTCTTAACAAAACCAAAGTGTAATTCCCCAATGCATAAACATTAACATGCTGGTGCTGGTGGTGATGAGCTACATCGTAGCTACAGTTGCCCTGGGGCTCATTGTGTGTGTGTGTGTGTGTGTGTGTGTGTGTGTGTGTGTGTGTGTGTGTGTTTGTGTGTGTGTGTGTGTGTGTGTGTGTGTGTGTGTGTGTGTGTGTGTGTGTGTGTGTGTGTGTGTGTGTGTGTGTGTGTGTGTGTGTGAATAACTGGTTGTATTGTAAAGTGCTTTGAAGGGGGTTGTAGAACCCTAAGAAGTGAGTGACTTATGCTTAAGTGTACCATGAACATCTCATTTGTATCTAAAATGCAGTAAATTCGCCAAACTTGGCAACCCTGTTTGAATTGAAGCACCCCCCCCCCCAATGTGGTTCACTGTTCAAAAACCTCTCTCTCTCTCTCTCTCTCTCTCTCTCTCTCTCTCTCTCTCTCTCTCTCTCTCTCTCTCTCTCTCTCTCTCTCTCTCTCTCTCTCTCTCTCTCTCTCTCTCTCTCTCTCTCTCTTTCTCTCTGTCACGTGACAGGCGGGAGCTTGTGCTAACCAGTGCAGTGCAGCTAATCTCGCTGTTGTTTTTCTTCTAACCATGTTCGTAGCTCGGAGTATCGCTGCGGACCATAAAGATCTGATCCACGATGTCTCTTACGATTTTCACGGCCGGAGAATGGCAACATGCTCCAGCGACCAGAGTGTGAAGGTGAGCTGACTCAAGCTAGCATGTTAGCGTCACCCACGTTCCTAGCTTCTTACTGAACACACTCGTGTTGTGTGCTGGCACATTATGCGCTTATTAGCTAAATTAGACAAAATTTGTTTTAAAACTATAAACTAATTTAAAGTATTGCATGTTACTGTACTTACATTGTAGCATGCAGGCTAATGTGTGCAGACGTTTGACTGGAATATGAACGTATCAGTAAAAGCTTCAATCACGTAAGGCAGCGAGTGTTGTGTTTTAGGTAGGAACCATAGGAACTCATTTCGTGTGTTGTCAGTTTAAAATTAATGTGTGGAGATGACGTAACAGCAGCTGTTTATTGTGACTTCCTGACAGGTTTGGGACAAAAGTGAGAATGGAGAGTGGCACTGCACAGCCAGCTGGAAGGTAAACAACCTGCTTACGTTTGTTTACATGACCGTAAAAGCCCTTCCTGGGTAATCTTTGCTGTTTCAACAGATTTACTATTGCTCTACACTCACGGGCACTATCAAGTTTGCCAATAGATCCGGGTTGGACCTCTTTTAGACCTCTTTAGAACCACCTTAATCCTTCATCTCAAAGAGCCAACAAGAAGTTAAAGTGGTCCTCAGAGGCTCTGGTCCAACCTGACATGACAGCATCGGCTCCAACCATGATGAGAAGCTCCAGTTCCACCACATCCCAAAGGTTCTGGGCTGGACTGAGATCTGTTGACTGTGGAGGCCATTAGAGTCCAGTTCTAGAAACTAGTTAGAGATGATCTGAGCTATGTGACATGGTGCTGCTGGAAGTAGCATCAGAAGATGGGTCTATGTGGTCATAAAGGGCTGGACATGGTCAAACTCTTCAGCTTCTCTTCTTCTATTCTATACAACATTCAAACCATGGAAATGTCTTTTCCTCCACATTCTGATGCTCAGTTTCAACTTCAGCAAGTAGCCTTCATCATGTCTAGATGCCTAAATGGACAGTGCCGCCCGTCATGCGATTGGCTGAGTGGAAATGTGCAAAGCTGTAGAATAGGTCAATCAATCAAAGCTTTCAATCAATCAAAGCTTTATTTATAAAGCGCCTTCCGCAACCCTGTCAGGAAGCCCAAAGCGCTGAACATGGTACAGTTGTAAGTAATTATATTGAATAAATCAACAATAAAAGAAATTCAAATTACAAAATACAAATTACAAAATACAAAATGGAAATTACAAGATAGATGAAACATTCCGGTAAAATACAAATGTGTGAAACACATTTGGATTGAGTGGATGGATTGAGTGTACCAATGAAAACTGTGGAATGGATTCAACATAAAAGAGTGCCAAAATCAAACATGTTCTGGAAATGCCAAGCGGAGGAGGTGTGTTTTTAGGTGATTCTTAAAGACTGGCAGAGAAGGGGACAGCCTAACTGAGGGTGGCAACTGGTTCCAGAGTAACGGTGCTAGGACTGAGAAAGCTCGGTCCCCACGGGTACGACACCTAGACCGAGGGACAGCGAGCAGGCCTTGGTCAGAGGAGCGCAGAGCGCGTGATGGGGAGTGTCTTTTCAGGAGTGTGGCTAGATAGGGGGGAGCACCACCCTGGAAGAAATGATAAACAAAGACGAGTATTTTGAATTGTGAGCGATAGGAAATCGGAAGCCAGTGCAGGGAGGCCAGAACTGGACTGATGTGGTCCCGTTTCCTGGTCCCAGTCAGGAACCTGGCAGCGCTGTTCTGCACAACCTGTAGGCGATGCAGTGTTGACTGATACAACCCTGCATATAGAGAGTTGCAGTAGTCAAGCCAAGAAATTAGAAAGGCATGCAGTACCCGCTCCAGGTGGGCTCTTGACAGCATATGCTTGATTTTAGCAAGGCGTCTCAGGTGAAAGAAACTGGACCGGATCACAGAATTGATGTGAGCATCAAATTTAAGTCCTACATCAAGTTTCACCCCCAAACTGGTAACAACTGGTTTTGAGTATGGAGAAAGAGGGCCAAGATCAGCATAACGATCCACATTCCTGCTGTTGGGGTGAAAAACAATGAGCTCTGTCTTTCCCTCATTCAGATGTAGATAGTTGGACATTAGCCAAGACTTCACCTCATTAACACAGGAGACAAAGGACTGAATAAAGTGACCTTTCTCCTGACACAATGGAGAGTAAATCTGGCAATCGTCAGCATACAGATGGAATGATAGGCCATGTTTACGAAAGATTGACCCCAGAGGTAGCAGATGTACCTATGAAGTGACTGGTGAGTGTATATTTGTGTATTTTGGACTTATCCATGATGTAATGATGTGTGTGCAGACCCACAGTGGATCAGTGTGGAGAGTAACCTGGGCCCATCCAGAGTTTGGGCAGGTCCTGGCCTCCTGCTCCTTCGACAGAACAGCTGCTGTCTGGGAGGAGATCGTAGGGGAGTCCAATGACAAACAGAGAGGCCTGAGCCACTGGGTTTGTACAGCCACAGCTCAGTCATTAATGTTTTCATAGGTTTGCCTGTCTCGAGTCCTGACCCGTGTTTCTGGTGCTCTGATTCAGATAAAGAGAACAACACTGGTGGACAGCAGAACATCTGTAACTGATGTGAAGTTTGCTCCTAAACACATGGGTCTGATGCTGGCCACCTGCTCTGCTGATGGAGTGGTGAGGATCTACGAGGCTCCTGACGTGATGAACCTGAGCCAGTGGTCTCTGCAGCACGAGATCTCATGCAAGCTCAGCTGCAGCTGTATATCCTGGAACCCTTCCAGGTTAGATGATAATTATTTCACTTAACACATGGGGGACATGTTTGTTTCTGTAATCGGTCATTTGGAGAATTTCCTTAAACCTGAGCATCACTGTTGCTGCTGCCATTCCTTTATGTCTTGTTTTATGACAAGAGGTCATTACACAAGAGGTGTTACAGACTGTGAGAACTTTCTGTCTTTCTTTGTGGACAAAGTCAATAAGGTCAGATCTAGCATCTCTCCTTCAGCCTTATCGCTGCCTCTCCCGACTCCAACCAGACCCATCATCCTAGATAGCTTTGCACCTGTTTCTTTGCCTGAGTTAACCAAACTAGTTAACTCTATGAAGACCTCTGCATGCCCCCTCGACATCTTACCCTCATCTTTGTTTAAAAGTGCTTTTCTGTCCATCGGTCCCATCGTGCTCTCTATAATTAATGCTTCTCTGGTTTCTGGTCACGTCCCTGCTTACTTTAAGAATGCTGTAATCCACCCGCTTCTTAAAAACCGGGTCTTGACCCCTCTCTCCACAGCAGCTTCAGACCCATCTCTAAACTTCCGTTCATCTCCAAGATCTTGGAAAAGGTTGTGGCTAAACAACTCACAGCTGCTCTTGATGAACATAACATCTATGATAGCTTCCAGTCAGGTTTTCGTAGAGCTCATTCTACTGAAACAGCTCTTCTTAGGGTCTCTAATGACCTTCTGACTCAGTGATGCAGGGGACTGTTCTGTTCTGGTCCTGCTGGACCTGACTGCAGCCTTTGACACTGTTGACCATCACCTGCTACTGGAGAGGCTGAGATACTGGGTAGGCCTTTCAGGATCTGCTCTGGAGTGGTTCTCCTCTTATCTGTCTTAGCGCTCCTTTTCTGTGGCCGTCTCCAAGTTTAGGTCCTCCACCACCTCTCTTACCCATGGTGTCCCACAAGGTTCTGTGCTGGGGCCTCTGCTCTTCCTCCTCTATCTGCTTCCTCTTCAGCACATCCTGAGCTCCTTCAAAGGAATCTCCTACCATCTTTATGCAGATGACATCCAACTGTACATCTCCTTTAAGCCCCATGAGATGTCTAAGCTGCAGCTGTTTCACACCTGCTTAGACTCTATCAAAACCTGGATGGTGGGAGCTTTCAGCTGAATGAAGATAAGACTGAGATCCTCATCTGTGCCCCAGACAAGCTGGTTCCCAAAGTCAGAGACTCTCTTGGTCAGCTTGCTTCTCACACCAAACCTTCTGTCAGGAATCTTGGTGTGACCTTTGACCCAGCTCTCACCCTGGATTCTCATGTCAGTTCTCTTGTTCGCTCTTCCTTCTTCCATCTCAGGAACATTGCTAAGCTGAGTCCCATTCTATCCCACTCTGAACCTGAGACAGTTCTCCACACCTTCATCTCCTCACGCTTAGACTACTGTAACTCTCTTTTCACGTGTCTGAGCAGAACCTCCCTGAACCGTCTACAGGTGGTTCAGAATACCTGTGCTCGGCTTCTGACCAAGTCCTCCAAACACACCCACATCACCCCGCTTCTCCTCCAGCTTCACTGGCTGCCAGTCAACTTCAGGGTTCATTTCAAGATCCTGGTTCTGGTCTTTAGGGCCTTACATGGACAAGCACCATCTTACATTGGTGATCTTCTTAGTCCCTACACTCCCAGCAGGTCCCTGAGGTCCAGTGACCAAAGCCTACTGGTTGTGCAGCACCAGGCTAAAGACCAAAGGTGACAGATCATTTGCTGCTGTGGCCCCCAGACTCTGGAACTCTCTTCCCCTGAGCCTGAGATCAGTGGACTCAGTGGTCTCCTTCAAAAAGAAGCTGAAGACTCACTTGTTCAAGCTGGCTTTTGTATGACCTTCTTCACCACTCTCTCTTTATTCTGCTCTCCCCACCTATTCCACCTTCCTCAGGATCCACTGATTTCCCTCTTTCCTATTCACTCTCTCTCTTTCTTAACATTTTTTCTTTTAAATCCCAATTGCCTATTTTTGCTCATTTTAAATAAATTTTTACACATTTTTTAAATGCTTTTTTATATTTTTACATTTTTTTGTTTTTGTGAAGCGCCTCGTGATTTTTATCTTGAGAGGCGCTATAGAAATGATATTTTCTTCTTTCTTCTATGACAGAGATGGCTAACAGCTAACCCTGAAAGGGTTTCTCACCCCGATCTAGCTGATTATTCCAAAAGAAAATAAAGCGGCTTTAAAATTTTTCATTTCCAGAAGGGAGCAGATGTAGGAAGGCAGCAGTCCGAGTGTTCCCTTGTGCGTACCGTGCTGCTTGAACCTGGCGTGTGCCAACTTCTTCAGGTCTCGCCACAACATTTCAACTGGGTTAAGGTCCGGACTTTTGACTGGATTAATCATTCCTACGTGGTTTAGCTGGAATGCTTTGGGTTATTGTCTTGTTGCATAATCCATTTCCATCCTGGCTTCAGCTCCCTGACTGATGGCTGGAGGTTCTGGCCATGTTGGTATGCTGAAGAATTCAGCCATAACAATAAAAAGGCATAAGCTAGTAAAAACAGACGCAGCATAAAAAGAACGTTCACCGGCCAAAAGCTAGACAAAAGAAGTGTGCCGAAGTTTGATTTAAACTGAAGGAGGCTGTTCCACAGTTCTAGAGCAGCGAAACAAAAGCACGCTCCCCACGAGCCTTGCTGCTCATTTTGGGAATGGGTAGCAGCAGGTGGTCAGCAGACCTGGACTAAAACATCTAAACTCCGTCTGAAGCAGCGGTGTAACTCTGTATGAGGGGGTCTTCCTCCTGCAGGCCGCCCTACATCAGAGTGTAACTCACAGTAGTGAGTCAGAGGTTTACGGGACGGTTTCGTACTTTTGATCCGAGACTAAAACTAAAAATACGAAAAACAAGAACTTTTTCATTTTTTTGCATCAGGATCAAAAACAGGAAAAGGTTGCCTGAGTGAACCAGCCACGCATTCTAGGTTCTTGTTTCTCCTCCAGATAACTTCAGCATGTTCGTCCATTTCTTTACATTAAAGTTAGTCAATAGTTTTCTGGGTAGTTGGGGGTATTGTGCTGGTCAGAGGACGCCTCCCACCTGCTGGTAGGGTTCTAACTACTGATCGGACGTCACTTAAACGTGGACAGTGGTCCTTTAACCGTCCCATGTTTAGCCGTCAGTGATGATGTTGTCTTGTGTTCCCGCAGCTCTCGTGCCCATCCCCCCATGTTTGCTGTGGGGAGTGATGACAGCAACGTGACCTACGGCGGGAAGGTTCAGATTTATGAGTATAATGAAAACACACGGTAGGTCCTCCTGTGTGTGTGTGTGTGTGTGTGTACACTCGTACTACCTAAAGGGGTTTCATTACATTTCTCCCTGTTCTGTTTCAAAGGAAGTACAGTAAAGCAGAGACACTGATGACAGTCACAGATGCAGTCCACGATATCGCATTTGCTCCTAACTTGGGAAGGTCCTTCCACGTCCTCGCCATCGCAACAAAAGATGTCAGAATATTTAAGCTTGTTCCTTTGAGGTGATGTCTTCATCCTTGTTTTTCTGCACCTTAGTCTCAGAAGAAGGTGTGTTGTAACAAAGTGTTTTACTGATGGTCGTCTACGCGCCTGTACGTGCTTTGAGTCTGCAGGCGTCGGTTAAACCCACAGGCAGAAGCTAAACTTTTGTTGTGGATCTGTCTGACAGGAGGGAGAGCACCACCACCGGACCAACCAAGTTGGAGGTGCAGATCGTGGCTCAGTTCGACAACCATAACTCCCAGGTGTGGCGTGTGAGCTGGAACATCACCAGCACCCTGCTGGCTTCCTCTGGAGACGATGGCTGTGTTCGGCTGTGGAAAGGTGGGCAGCTGCCTTTGGCTCACTCAGCTGGTTGGATCTGTTAGTTTGTGCAGCGTTCTCAGCTCATTAGAGGAGAAATGAACTCAACGGTCAGCTGGTTCTCTGTACCTAAACTAGAACAGGAGGGGTGAAACATGGAGCCACTTCAGCATGTCCACGCTTACTTCTACTAGTCTGGCTTGACAGAACCTAGAACTCCAACAAGAACTTGTGGAAACCCTATAAATATGTCGACGGTGGAAACAATAAAGCTTTAGTTTCACTGTACATTCCCTTTAAAAGTCAGGCTCTCCACATCGTTTAACACTTAATAACCATTAAAATTAAGTTACAGAGAAAAGCATTGTCGTATCAAGACTTTGTTTACAGCTGTAGCTCATTAGTTTTTATCAGAACATCTGCAGAGATCTCAAGGAGGGATAAATGCCTTGTAAGTCGTACTCTGGGGAAAAATGCTCTGGTGCGCCTGTTGCAGAAACTAGAAGTGAGCCTCAGCAGAGCTGAGCTTCAGACTGCAGGATTTGGAGTTAATCCCGGATATTCTGCGTACCAGTCAGGTCCTGCTTTTACCACCTCAGGCCAATTTCTAAGCTAAAGCCCATCCTGAGTGTCCGTCTGCTTCTCGCATTCAAATCTTTGAACAGTCAGGCTCCTCCCTATCTGTGTGAACTCCTCCATTACTACCACCCTCCTCGTGCTCTTAGGTCTGAAGATCAGCTCCTCCAAACTGTCCCTAAGGCACGTTTGAAGACCCGCGGGGAAAGGACTTTTTCTGTCTGCCCCAAACTTGTGGAACTCATTACCTCTTCGGGTTAGGCAAGCACCCTCTATTGGCGTTTTTAAATCACGCCTGAAAACCCACCACTTCCCCCTGGCCTTCAACTCCCAAACCATGAAGCATGAACTCATCCTTAGATTTTCCACCTTGTTTGTTTGATTTTAAATTTGTGTTTTTATATTCTGGCTTTACTTGTTCTGTTGGTTTTAACTCTTATCTTTTTTTACTTCATATGATATACACGACTATTTTAGCTTGTGTTTTTTACAGGGTATCCGCGGGTCCTTAAAAAGTCTTAAAAAGCCTTAAATTAGCTTTTCCAAATTTAAGGCCTTAAAAATCCTTAAAAATGACAAATAATCCTTAAATACAGTTTCCAGAGGTCTTAAAAGACCCAATAAACAAAATTCTTTTATTTCTATAAACTTTTCGTGAATTTCTAGTTGGTGTTTAGCGTTTTTTGTGTACGTTGTTGGCGTAAGCGGAACCGTACACATTCAGTTGGTTGTGAAAGGGGGCTATTTTTAGATGAGCACATTAGCTGGTTAAGCTAGTGGGAGCTTGCGCCATGGGGAAGTTTAATGGTAACTGGATGGCTAATCCCACGATCATGGCGTGGTTAGCACCGGTTCCAGGCAACAGCTGGAAATTATAGCTTAAATGATAAATGACCCGCACTTGTATAGCGCCTCTCAGAGTAAGGACTCCAAAGCGCTTTACACTACAGTGTATCATTCATCCATTCACACACACATCCACACACTGGTGGGGATGAGCCATGATGTTGCCACAGCTGGCCTGGGGCGCACTTACAGAGGCGAGGCTGCCGAGAACAGGCGCCACCGGTCCCTCCGACCACCACCAGCAGGCAAGGTGGGTTAAGTGTCTTGCCCAAGGACTCAACAGCAGAATTCTCTGTCCGGAGCCGGGATCGAACCTGCAACCTTCCGATTACTGGACAACCCGCTCAACCTGTTGAGCTACTGCTGCCCTGCTTAAATATCTTAAATTTGGTCAAAGTGGCCTCAAAAAAGGTCTTAAAAAGTCTTAAATTTGGCTCTCTTAAACCTGCAGATACCCTGTTTTATTCATTTGTTTTTATGTGCAGCGCTTTGGTCGGTTGTAATGCTGCGTTAAAAGCGCTCTACAAATAAAGTGGTATGGTACCGAGAGGTAGCTTCTGCAGCCCATGGGAAGGGGGACCCACGTTTCCTCTTCAGGCTGTGCCCAGCTGGGTTTCCTGGGTGACAGCCCAGCCGCCAGGGGCTCTTTAACCTGCCCCACTTGCAGACCTGGCTCCAGAGGGGCCCCTGGTGACCCGCGTCTGGGTGAGGGAACACTGTGACTCCCTCGTTCCGCTGGCCTGATGATAGACTTTGTTGTTGTTTCATCTGCCGCATGTCTTGGACACTCGGGTGAAGAGAGGGGTGGAGCTGTCAACTGACCCCTGCATGGTGGTGAGTTGGCTTCGATGGTGGGGGGAGGATGCCGGTCAGACCTGGCAAGCTTAAACGTATTGTGAGGGTCTGCTGGGAACGTCTGGCAGAGTCTGGTTAAAGGTTAAACCTGCAATAAAAGCCCACTAGAGGGCAGTATATAGTTGTCCTCTGAAAGTGATCAGGGAAAGTACTCGGCAGTCGGCCTGAATCTGTGGTCTCCGGGTCTGCAGCGATACCCTTCTCAAAGTGTGCTGAAACCAGAATCCCTTGCAGCTGTTGGTGTTTCAGTCCTGGACAACAAGGCTCCGAGTCGAGGCCTTGCCTCATTGCTTTTCCTCCATTCTGAAGATGAACAAACACTGATGTCACTTCCTGTCTTTGAGCAGCTAACTACATGGACAACTGGAAGTGCACCGGCATCCTGAAGGGGGACGGCAGCCCGTTGACAGGTTCGTCTGGTCAACCCAGCGCCATGAGCACCGTGGTGGGCTCCTCCATCCAGACCTCCCAGAATGCCCTGAACGGGATGTCAGCAGGAAGGTAGGTGGTGTCGTGTGCCTGACGCCACTCACCCCGTCCCAGATGAAACCGTCACAACTGACAACTTCCCTGCCCCTCACACTGACTGGGAGTGCAGCCGCCCACTGACAAAGCTGTTGGACTCACACTGACCCGGTGCAAAGAGCTTGGCTTCTGTCCTCCAGCTGCAGGTTGTGTGTGTGGAGCGGGAGGTGTTTTTCTGCTTATGCATGTCAAAAGAGATGTCTCCACTTACCTAATGTAAGGACTGACCTTGTGTCTGATTTTGGATATGAATGTTGATATGTAGTTATTTTAGGAGATTCAGCAGAGCCGTTGTATTGTTAGGGAGCCTCGCTGGGACGGGCGGTTTCATCTCCACGTCCCGGTGCACCAGCAGCAAAGTGATTCAAAACTCATGTTTCAGAGTCGGAGAAACGCCAAACTCTTTGCTGAGCAGATCGAAACCATTAACCAACCCTGATCCATGAATGTGAGGATGAATACAGCCGTCAGAGTCAGAACTGTCTGTCTTAAACAAAGCTCCTGTTTTAGGAAGTACTGTATGCATTTATGGATTTTCTATAATCTAAATGTAACCATAAAGGGAAAATAACATGGCCATCTGATTGGTTAAGAAGTTTGTGGTTTCAGGTTTGGTCGGCGTTGATGTGAGGCTGTATTCATCTTCTGTTGTATTCATCAGCCTTAGATTCTGTGGGATATTTCAGTCACTGTGAATGAATTTTGAGTGTAATTGTGAGAAAACTTCCAGCTGCTGTAGATTACTTCCTGAATGCCCTCTGTTTGGAGAAATAAGACCAGCTGCCTGTTTAGACAGGTTTGACTTTTTCGTTAAAGCCATCTACAGCGTGGTAATCATTTCTAACTTTTACACTAAAACACATTTAAAATGGCTGAATTATCTCTTGAACATATAATCAAGCTGTTATGTTGTTCCTGTTCCTAATCTGAGTAACAAATGTGTGTAGTATATAACAACTCCTACGACCAGCTGTTTGCATAACTTTGACCACGTCTACCATTCCAGATACACGTTGATTAAAAACAAATGTGAAGTGAGTTTGTTGAAGTTAATTTACTATTTTATTGCTTGTTGCATGCAGGATTGCCAAAAGAGCTTCCTTTGCTCCTCCCCTGCGGCAGCTGACCTCTCCAAAGATAAACCAGAGTCCTGCATATTACTAATGTCTCGTGCACGCCACCGCCTGCTCCCCGTGGCTGTTTGAGACTAGTCCCACCGAAGCACATTTCATAGCTGATAACTTGTTGAAGTTTGGATTTTTGGCATGAAACCTTGGTGCGTGTACCTCACAACCTCATGTCGCAGAGGTTTACTGCTGTGGGGCAATGAAGAAGAAAAGATTTTTTCTACAGCGCCTCTCAAGATAAAAATCACAAGGCGCTTCACAAAAAAAACATGTAAAATATAAAAAAGAATTTAGAAAATGATTAAAAATATATTTAAAATGAGCAAAAAAATTGACAATTGTGATTAAAAATGTAAAGAAAGAGAGAGTGAATAGGAAAGGGGGAAATCAGTGGATCCTGAGGAAGGTGGAATAGGTGGGGAGAGCAGAATAAGGAGAGGGTGATGAAGGTCACACCAAAGCCTGAACAGCTGCTTTTTAAAGGAGACCACTGAGTCCACTGATCTCAGGCTCAGGGGGAGAGAGTTCCAGAGTCTAGGGGACACAGCAGCAAATGATCTGTCACCTTTGGTCTTTACCAAAGACCAAAGTGAGTGTGTGTGTGTGGTCACACTCACTCAACCCAACATTGCCTGCCTGACATTTTTTCTGAAGCATGCATGGATATTTTTCCTGTTAAATTTTCATTTCTACTTCCTTTTTATGTTTCCTTGTTTGTATTTTTGGTGTCTTCCCACCCCAAACCTTCCTCCTTTTCTATGTATCCATTGTGTTTGTCTGCTCCCCTTTTTATTTTCCTCTGATGTTACTTTAGGTATTTCTTTCCTCCTCTGGATCCTCCCAGAGCAGGGACCAGGTGTGGTCACCTGCTGCCTCCTCCCTCCCTCATAGAGCACTGCGATGCTGAGCCCGTCACTCAGCCTCAGCAACATGCTCTTCTCCCCAGACACAACTCTAGAGTGCTGCTGTCCTTACCAGAGGCTGAGGAGCAGTCGTTTTAGCTGTGTGTTCCCCTGCGTGTGTATTTAAAGTACAATTCAATAATTCAAAACTGTTTGTCCATAAATCGAAAACAAATCGGAGAACTGAATCACGCTGGACGTCATCTGACTGACTAGCAAGGCACATCATTATCCTGTTTTAAGGTTAGCAGAAATTGTGTCTACTTGCAAATAGGAAATGTATTAAAAGTGGTAGAAATTATACCAAGTGATACAGTAGAAGCATGTGGAGCAGCCCTGTGAGAATAGCACCTGATTCATCATCACACAGAATCAGGCATGTCTGAAGCCCGTTCTGGACAGAGCTGCTGTGTTCTGCGTGTCCGTTGGCTGGGGTGTGATCCACAGCCTTGTCATGAACAGCTGCTCTGCTGAATTATACTGGAGCAAGTCAACAAGTCCTAGCTTATAGCTGTTATGTAAATGCCTCATTCTGATGGAGTGTGATTAAATGATTTGGCTATTTGATTTGACACATTCTCTAAAATAAAACTTGAAATGTAAATGTGAATGAAGCTGGTTCTTTCTCCACACCGCTGTCTAACCAAGAAACTGTTGTAGCTGCAGATTATGGGTTTGCCAGTTACAGCTTTTTTCTTTACAGAGTTGCTTGTCATATTGGGGGTTTTCCAATATGAACAGCCTGTGGAAGGTCAAAGGTCAGACAGTCTCTTTCAGGAATGAATTTACAGCAAATGGGCCAGGCCCTGAAGCAGCCTGGCCCATCACTCTGCCGCTCCCGTGTCTTGACTGTGGTTGGCAGAAGACACTTTTTCTGAATAGCAGTATTGGTTTGATGCCAGCTGTAACAGGTGATCAGCTTTCAGGCGTTTTCCAGAGCATTGTGTCTGGCATCTTGGACATCCATTTTTGGCAAATGTATACATGTTCAAGTAAAAAAAAAAAGCTGCACAACCTTTTTTGTATTAAATATTTTTTAAACTTGCATTTTGATAATTAAAATGTTGTGTATGGAATCTAAAACTGAGATTATCATCACTACAAACCCAGGTTGGGATTTTTATCCAAACTTTTTCATTAAAAAAATTTTTCAGAGTGACACAAAATGTATCCAATCAAAATATATAGTTTCCTCCCTCTTCTGTTATCCTGTCCAATCACCGGCGCTCAACATTTAAGCCCCGCCTACATGATATGACGCTCACGCGGGCTTCCTGGGGGTTGTGGGCGCTGATCTTTTGTATGAAGTACGACTGAAAAAACAACTTTTGGCGACCAACGTGAAGCATGGTGGTTCTGGACCGAACAGTTGGACTTTTCGGTGAGTCTGGGCTCATTTTAAAGCCGGGGCTGGCGCTGGAGAACAGCTGTTCAAACGTCGTCCCCTTGGAGAACTGAACGTGAGTTTCACACCAACTAACGAACGTTGTTCTCTGAGATGGAGGAGTTCCTTTTGCTCGGATTTCTAACCTCTTATATTAAGACTGTTGTCGGTAAATTGTGTTTTTGACGCTCGACTGTTATAGAAGTGAGGCAGTTTAAAGTGAAAGGTGCACAAGAGTTTCCTCTTGTTTTTAGCAATTAGCTAGTTAACGCAAACTTTAGCTCATCTGGCGGCAGATGGGTCATCAGCGTGTCACTGGGAAATGTTTAATACGTCACAGAAACGGACTCTTCCCCCACACTCAGATGGTCTTAACCTGAGCGGACTCTGAAGAAAGATGGCTGATAGTTTTTACAAACTGGAGGATGAAGCCTTCCCCAGTTTCCTCAGCAGGACGTTGGACAGCACCGGCGGCCGTGCCACCCTCAGCAACGTGACTTTGGGCTCGGGACCCGGACTGCCCGTGGCCGCATCCACCGTGGCTAAAATTAGACCCGGGACCGACAACAGGTGGGAGCATGTCTTGACTTTGGAGAGATGTCACTAGTTGTGAAGGAATGCTTTTACACATTATTATTCATGTGATCACTCGGGCTAACGAGTGTTTACGTCTGTAGGTGTGGGGTCGCTCCTGGAACAACCTTAGCTAGGAGATGTAGAGATCAGTTCTGACCAGACAGATGAGCTAATGGCTAGTCCAGGGGTAGGCAGCCCTCATCCTAGAAGCATGTTTTAGTTGTTTCCCTGCTCCAAGGTAGTCGATTCACCTTTTCAGCAGCTCATCAAGCAAGGTGTGTTGAAGCAGAAAAACTTTGCTGGATGGTGGCTCTCTAGGAGCAGTGTTGTCTACCCCTGGGCTAGCCAGAGTTCAGCTTAATTCATACTTTTTCATCAGCGTTTGTAACGCCATTATGCATCCACCAAAGGGCTCTCCGACGGGCTGACAGAGGCTGAGTGAGCCCAACTTTTTAAACGTCCATCGAAAGTGACAGAGACTACAAGCTTGTGATGGGTTAGGACGCCGCATCCTTTGGCAACACTGCTGTTGTCCCCTCAAAAATATATTTAGCAGCAGACATGGAACAGATTAAAGATCGCATCACAGAAACGTCTGAAAATATGAACATTTATTCACGTGTGACTGAAGGAGTACGTGAGCGAAGCAGCAGTGAGTGAATGGAAATAATGAGGAATGTGAGTTTAGAGGCGCTGATCACATGAAGAGGTGGAGGAGAATGAGGGACAAATCTGTCTGTGTTAAAAATCCCTGAAATACATTAAAACAATGTAGATATAATGCTAGAAACACTATCGTGGACCAGATACGTGACTAATGGTGGCAGGATACCTCAGAAAAGCGCTATGCCCACTGTTGTGCTGGCGGGAGTTGTTCCCTAGGTGACGGAGAAGTCGGAAAGTAAAATGTGTGTCGATGCAAGTGTGTCTCTCCCCTGCAAAGCTGATGGAGAAGTATAAATTAGGCTTAAGGGGCTGAGGCATTGTGTTGCCACTAAACAACTACAGTGTCAAAAACATTCATAGCAATTGATTCAGAGATTTAATACAATACTTTATTGATCCCACAGTGGGCAAATTCACTTGTTACAGCAGCACACACTCTTGGAGAATAATTATATAAACAGAAATGTCTCATTACATGTTTGGTTGCATGAAATTCTGTTGCTATTTGGTAAGAACCTGCTTCTGTACAGCAGTCTTCTATGTCGGAGGACTCCAAAGTGCTTTACACTACAATCAAACACTCGCACACATTTGCACATTGATACCCAGCGGATACGGGGTAAACCCTACCCCTGAGCACTATCGCCCTTTGTGAAGTGGAAAGTTAGCCTGGCAAGCCAGACTAAATAAATGTATTATTTACATTCTTTGCAAAGCAAGAATTTGGTCTAGTTCACTAGGCTAGTGGAAAGTAGCTGCAGAGCTAAACCATTAGCTGCTATGAATCTTTTTAGACATTTTGGAGGAATTCTCACAGATTTTTATTTTAACCCTGCATTATTTATTACAGCAATTACATGATTATCCTTACATTTTCTCCAGAACCCAACTTTAAAAGACAACTACTACTTTAAGTTCTACTAGAAAAGAAATAAGCTATTAACGCCTCAACAGATGGATTGTGTACGAGGAGGATTTTTCCTGAGGGCTACAGGAATTTTGTTGCCGGTCAGATGTTTTATGAAAGCTCTACAATGTGCCCAATTTGCAGAGAGGATGTTGAGGCATCATATCTTCAGGGCAAAGATGTGCAGGAAACCAACCAGTCATCTGTTGGAGAACAGCCCAGGTTTGCCCTCAGCTTTAAAGATGACTTGTGAGTACATCAGGATATTTATGTTTGATGCTGCTTTTTATGTTCAGTATTTGTCAAAAGCAACGTGATTTATCTAAGAGGTCTTTGAATCATTTTAATGTTTTTTTTAAACTGTGGTTAGGGCTGCAACGATTAACTGGTTTGACTGTTAACCACACTGTGAAACACTGCTGTCAATACACCTTTAAGACTTCTTCAACATTGTTGGAAAAAAGTCCCTTGGAACCCAAGACTTAATAATGGGATGACCCTCAGGAGATGCAAACTGGAGCGATGCAGAGATCTAGGAACTTCTGGCCATTAGAGCTGAAGCACTGAACAGTTTATGGGGACTGTAAAAGATGGACACCTTGTGGAGCAACTTGTGAACAAACAGCTTCAATTATCATAAAAACAATTCAATTCAAGTTTATTTATAAAGTGCTAAATTAGGACTAGAGTCGTCTCAAGGACCTTCACACAGTAAACATTCCAATACAGTTCATTAAGCCAATCAGTAAAAAAATTTCCTATATAAGGAACCCAGCAGGTTGCATCAAGTCACTGACTAGTGTCAGAGTCTTTACAGCAATCCTCATACTAAGCAAGCATGCAGCGACAGTGGAGAGGAAAACTCCCTTTTAACAGGAAGAAACCTCCAGAGGATCCTGGCTCAGTATAAGCAGCCGTCCGCCATGACTCACTGGGGATGGAGAAGGCACACGCATGCACAACATGTATATCAAGTAGTGTTTCGATGGTTACATTGTGATTTCTTAGTAAATATTCTATTTGGTGAGAGATAGCGATGGGTTCAGAATTCAGTACTTTTTAAGGTACCGACCGAATTCCATAGTACCGACTGAGCACCGATTCATGTCATTTGAAACAATGCCTCATTTCGGTACCCGTTCTTCATATCGAGAACTTGCCTAGACAGCTGCGCATGCGCAAGAGCGTAATGTCGTTGGTCCCTGCGAGCGAGTTGTAAACAGAGCAGCATGGTAGAAAGAACGCACGCTAAAGCTTGGGTCCACTTTACTAAATGTGATGGGTAACTGGGTGATGATGAAATCAGCGACAACGATCTAAGTGAGACATCCTCATCTTAATCTGCTCCGGTAGGTAAATAAAATGTTTAAGATAACGTTAGCTTGATATGTTTGCTTCCGTTCCGCTAATGTTGCGTTCGCTTTCTCCTCTGAACTCCGAATTTCCGACTGGAAGAACATGAACGCGCTCTAAAGTGTGGCTTCACTTTACTAAATGCAACAGGTGATTGGGTGAAGATGAAACCAGCGACAACGATCTAAGTGTGAGGCATCATCGTTTTAATCTGCTCCAGCAGCTAAATAAACTGTTTAAGATAACGTTAGCTTGATAAATAAGCTTCCATTGCCACCGTTGTTATCGGAAATTGTGCGTTCGCTTTCTCCTCGGAAATTCTAACTTCCCAGTAGGAAAAATCAAAGAAAAAGGATGGCAAAAGGAATGAAGATGCGCAGTAAATTTAGTTCACAGTAAAGATGTTTGCTTCAGTTTAATTATCAGCTTATAAAACTACAAGGACGATGTTAAAATAGAAAAAGTTTTATGTTATTTATCGTGATATTTATCAAATATGGTTATATATTGAGAAAAATATAAACACTCAAAAGTATCTAAAATTGGTACCGTTAAGTACCGGTATCGATTCCTAGCTACCGGGAATTAGTACCGAATCGATACAAATGTCAAAGGTACCCATCCCTAGTGAGAGATAAACTTTTATTGTATTTATCCTAGTGAATCTATAATTAAACGGGTAAACTAGTAGTAGCACATTCAACGTCAAAGAGAGTTAAATGTTATCAGGAGCGGGAGAATGTTAAAATGGTTAGCAGCAGTGTGCTAGCCGATGGCCCCCTCCATGAGGCTACCACAGCTCAGCAGAACATCATTGTAGCTTCTTCTGGGGAGAAAACACTTAGAGAAAAAATAAAGTTAACAGCTGAAATAGCAGGAAATAATAGTTAAATAGCCGATTGTAGAAGAAAGTAGTCAAGTGTGGAAAGTGGTCAGTATGTCCTCCAGCAGTCTAAGCCTATAGCAGCATAACTACAGAGATAACTCTGGATAACCTAGCCTTTTAGATGGAGCCATGCTGGAGGCAGGGCAAGGGAGAGCCGTCTTTGCCGACTGTACACTCCACCTCCCTCTACTTCCCCACTTGTCCAGATCTGGGCTAACATCAGATTTTAACCATAGGCCCTATCAAATAAAGATGTTTTAAGCCTAGTCTTAAAAGTAGACAAGGTGTCTTCCTCATGGACTAAAGCTGGGAGCTGTTTCCACAACAGAGGAGCCTCATAACTAAAAGATCTGCCTCCTATCCTATTTTTAGATATTCTGGGAACAACCAGTAAACCTGCAGTCTGAGAGCAAAGTGCTCGGTTAGGAACGTATGGAACAATCACGGTTCATCAGGGTTAATGGATATATAACTGAGTATCGTCAGCATAACAGTGGACGTTTGTCCCATGCTCTCTAATGATTTTACCAATTGGGAGCATATATATAGTAAAAAGAATTTGTCCAAGCACTGAACCCTGTGGTACTCTACAAGTAACCCTGGAGTATGAAGAACATTTGTCATGTACATTTACAAAATGAAATCTATCCGACAGGTAGGATTTAAACCAGCCTAGGGCTGTTCCTTTGATTCCTACAACATGTTCAAGCCTTTCTAAAAGAACATTGTATTCAACTGTGTTAAAAGCAGCACTGAGATCTAACAAGACTCGAACAAACACAAGATTCTTATCTGAGGCCGTGAGAATATCATTGTAACGTTCACTAATGGAGTTTCAGTGCTGTGATACTCTCTAAAACCAAACTGAAATTCCTCAAACAGATCATTAGTGTTTAAATGCTCACATTCTTGGATGGCCACTATTTTCTCAAGGACTTTGGATAAAAATGGAAGGCTAGATATTGGGCTATAATTCATTGGGTCCTCTGGATCCAGAGAAGGCTTCTTAAGTAAAGGTTTGATTACAGCAATCTTAAAATCCTGTGATACGTATCCATTTACTAAGGATAGATTGATTACCGTAATTTCTGGACTATAGAGCGCACCTCAGTATAAGCCGCACCGGGCTAAAAGCCGCAGATATCTACGGAATTGAAAACGTAGTTTAACTGAACGTAACTGAACAGATCAGTATCAAACAAAACAGAAAAGTTATTGATTAGTTTATTCATCGTCCTCCTGCGCACTGAAACCATTGAAGTCACCTTCGTCCGTGTCGGAGTTGAACAGCCTCAGAAGAGCTTCGTCACATACCTTTTCTGTGGCGATGTCGGTGTCGCTCTCCGTGTTGCTGTCATCATCCCGGGGTGAAGCTGGGAAAACGAGCAGTGTCGTTTTACTGTGGAAAAAAATCCTCCTGGGCACTTTCCGTAGCACTCCTTTAACCATTCCTTCATTAGACTTTCTAGCATCCATCCTTTCTGGTTGACTAAAGCCACACCTCATTATAAGCCGCATGGTTCAACGCGTGGGAAAAAGTAGTGGCTTATAGTAGGGCTGTCGCGGTAACCGCAAAAATGAAATATCGCAATATGAAGAAGCCCACCGCGCTGCATCATGGGCCACCGCGATTACTGAACTTGGTTCAACTCAATGATGCATGTTGAGAAGGATGGCTGCACTGTTATCAAAACGAAACGTTACTTCGCTCCTTTGGGAGCGCTTTGGTTTTCAGTACGTCAGCTGCTGCGCAGCCAGAGTCCTTGGCCGAGACGGAGCTGCCACCAGCGGCAAAAAAAAAAAAAAATTATAATAATAAACGCTCGGAGACCTCCTGAAGTCCCGGACAAGCACTGCTTCTGCAACCGTCCCGAAGAGAGTTTGAGCCGAGCTGGAGCTCACTCGCTACCTGCAGGAGGAATGCATCCACCCTAAAGAACCCCCCTGACATGGTGGAGCAACAACCGGGAGAGATTCCCTTTGCTCGCCAGAGTCGCACGCAAGTTGAGTTCGGAAGCGAGCGGGACCGGACCGGAGCGGAGGTAGTGGAATTTGGGGTAAGTGCAACGAGCGCACCATCCGAGAGGGTTTTCAGTGTTGCTGGAAATGTTGCCTCCCCTCTCAGATCCTCTCTCAAACCGTATATGGTTAACATGCTGGTTTTCCTTGTATGTAACAAGGACGTGACCGAGCTATAAATCACCGTCATTCGTGTGTGTGAAAGTGAAATGATAGTGCGCCCGCCCCCCGGCGCGCGTGCGCCCGGTACATGCAATTTTTATGCTTGATTTTAAACAACTAAACAAAATGGGGACTTGTTTCTTATTTGTTAGATGCTGCAGCCAAATTTGCATTTAAAAGTTTAACCTTCTCCTGAATTTTGTTGTTTTTAAGTTCAGTCGGACTCCAACTGTCGGACAAACAAACGTTACTGCGATCTGTGTTGTTACTGCCCTTTGATCTGCATTCAGTAAAGCGTTATAAAAGAAGGCACGGCAATTTTTAACCTTTTTTAAATGTGTAAACATTATGTTTAGATAGTACTGCAATAAAAAAGGACTGCAATAATATCGCATACCGCAATATTAAGCCACCCTGAATCACCGCAGGGGGAATTCCTCAACCGCGACAGCCCTAGCTTATAGTCCGGAAAATACGATAGATCTAGAATGGGGGGCAGTAACCAAAGGAAATGCATCTTTAAATTTGGTTGGGATTGGATCTAAAACACAAAGGTTTAGATGAAGCTAATATTTTTGATAATTCTGAAAGCTCAACTGGATCAAAACAGTTCAAACACAGATGAGGTTCTACAGTTACCTCTGATGCTGCCTCACTTACTGAGGAAGAAGAAATCGCATTTGGGAGGATGCTAATGATTTTGTTTCTAATAAAATTAATTTTACTCGTGAGAAATCCCATAAAGTCGTTGCTGCTGAGGGCTAAGGGAATAGATGGTTCAGAGCTATGATTCTGTGTAAGTTTAGCAACTGTACTGAAAATAAATTTAGGATTATTCTTATTCTCCTCAATTAGCAATGAAAAATAAGCAGTTCTAGCTTGTCGAAGCTTATTTTTATAAAACACTAAGACATTTTTCCAGGATAAGTAGGACTCCTCCTGGTGTGTAGAGCACAAACAGCACAGACTCCACCCCCACAGCCCTTTATACCCGCCTCGATTACTGCAATGCCCTTCTGACCTCCAAATTCCACTACCTCCGCTCCGGTCCGCCCCCGCCTTCCACAGCCGCTCGCTTCCGAACTCAATTTTTACTGGTACCCGCTCTACAACGGCTCCGCTCCGGTGCGGAGACCTGAGGTGGGCAAACAAGCATGCGTGGGATTTTCGAGATCTTGCGATACAGTCCGAGCAATAAACGCGGAAGTTAGATCCAAACACCCGTTGTGTGGGAGAAGCATCGAAATGAACTGTTTAATCTGCCCATCATTTGTGTTGAGAGATCAGCACTGTTTGAATCAACAAAGTGTGACTACTTTGATAGTGGAAACTGTATTTTTGGCTTACTTTTGTGCATTTAAAGTTCAGCCGCCATTGAGAGTTGTTAAAAGTTGTTAAACCTGTGCATATGAGACAAAAAACGCCTTTTGTTTATCGATTTATTGTGAAAAACGGAAGTTGTGCTTGCTCCTTTCCCTGTTGGGCGGTTGTGATTCCTGTCCATTGACTGCGGAGGTGCTCCGGCGTCCGGCAAAAATAGGATCGATTCTATTTTTGCCAGAACAGAGGGCGGCGCACTGCGTCGCACTGCCGGAGCACGGCCGCAGTAGTGGAATTGCTCTGATTGACTACAACGGGACGATTTTGCTCCGGAGTTTGTGTCGGAGCGGAGGTAGTGGAATTTGGGGGTAACTGGTCTTCCAGGCAGTACTGTGAGACCTCTTCAAATGGTCCAGAACGCAGCGGCGCATCTGGTCTTCAATCAGCCTAAAAGAGCACACGTCACCCCTCTGTTCATTGAGCTCCACTGGCTACCGCTAGCAGCACGCATCAGATTCAAATTGCTAACACTAGCATACAAAGTCAGAGATGGTACGGCTCCCATCTACCTGAATCCTCTTGCAAAGGCTTACGTCTCTGCTCGGCCGCTCCGGTCATCACAGGATTGTCGGCTAGCAGTGCCTACACCACACTCAGGACAATCCAGACTTTTCTCATGCATCGTTCCACAATTGTGGAATGACCTTCCAAGCACTAGCAGAACTGCAGCTTCCTTTTCAATTTTCAAGAAACTCCTGAAGACCCTGCTCTTCAGAGAGCATCTTCTTAACTAGCACCTTGCCTGCACCCGTCCCCCCTCTCTACTGTCCACTCCTTGTTCCCTACTCTCCATGACTGATGTCAATGTTGTTGTTGTTGTTATTGTTGTTGTTAGCCTAAAGGGTAATATGCCGATTATCACTTGTAAGTCGCTTTGGACAAAAGCATCTGCTAAATACATAAACAAACATATACAGAGAGAGTGTAATCTTTGGTGAAAAAGACGTGATCGGGCCACATTACCAACACAGACTGACTGCTTATGGATGACCAAAGGCTCCCTGATGCCACCTCTGCTCTGCGGCAAAGTGGCGTCATTGTTTTTTGAAAAAGGTAGAAGAGTTGGTAAAGCTTGCGTAAACACAGACTAGGGCTGAATAATGATTCAATAACAATATGTATCAATCAATAGACATGTGGTTCAATAGAAAATAAATGGATCAATAAAACCTTCAATTAAAGTTTCCTTTTGCCATTAAAGCCTATTGAGTAGCTTCATACTAGAGTCATAACTGACACCCAACCAATCAGAAACGCAGATGTCACCAAGCCCTCCCCTCTCAAACCTAAACAGACAGAAACGGGACTTAAACAAGATGTTGCAGCAAGGAGAGGTGGAAGAAACTGTTCCCAAAAAGGGGACAGTACATCTCCAGTGTGGCAATATTTTCATTCTTAAGAGTCTGACAAAAACAAACAGTGGTTTGCAACAGTGAATCAATAAAAATCAAGTCTGGTATTCCAACCAACTTGTTTTATCATCAAGTAATGGCCTAAGATGGCCAGGGCTGCACTTAAAATGTATTTTCAACATTTTATGTTTATGTATTTAGCAGACGCTTATGTCCAAAGCGACTTACAAGTGATAATCGGCATGTTGCCCTTGATGCTAACAACAACAATAACAACAACAACTTGACATCAATCATGGAGAGGAGGGAACAAGGAGTGGACAGTAGAGAGGGGGGACGGGTGCAGGCAGGGTGCTAGTTTAGAAGATGCTCTCTGAAGAGCAGGGTCTTCAGGAGTACATTTTCATGTAGTTTTCAGTAATTAATGATATCTTTCAATATGATTTTTATATATTTTTTATCAATAAGCTTTTTTCCTATATCATCCAGCAGCCCTAATGCTGACTCGGCATATAAAGTGTCTTATTGTCTATAATTACCTTCTTCACCGATTAAACAAATTTTCCCATCCCTGCTTACATTACAGGGACAATGCAGAAGACTTCATTGCAGCTCACCGCCTCTCAGACGTGCTGGTGAAGATCAGCCTGGATGAGAGTGCACCCAGGAGTCGGAGCTCTGGGTTCGGTGTTCCTGTGCAGACGGGCTCAGTGTGTGGTCAGCCCACAGAGGTAGCAACAGGTGAGTCACGGCTGAAATCCCACCGCCACGCCTACAACATCCCAAGTTTTATTGATGTTTTTTTTTTTTTTGCGCCGTTTCCCGAAGAAGCAGCGGGAGCTACTGTGTTGTTGCTTGTGATCACAGCCGGCAGGTAGCAAGGAGGAGGAGGCAGGGCAGGGTGGTTACAGCTATGAGCGTACGGATACAGCATTTTTGACGAATACGAGCAAGAAACGAGTGTAAAACTCATAAATGTCTGTAATCGTGCTGAATGAAATCCTCATTGGGTAACTGACGGTCTTCACGCTCTGTGATTGGCCAGTCAGATAGAGCGCCCGCCCCTCCCTACACACAAAACTGCAGCCGGGAGCTCTGTCAGCTCGGCCCAGGCATCAACGCACACACACAGACCGTAAAGTCGGGCGTACACTGTGCGACTTTTTCACTTTTTTGAGCAGATTTTCCACTCGTGCGAGAATCCACAAGATCGGGGCGAGTTTTGCGCTGAGCGTCGTGTAGTGTACTGGGGGTTACGAGAGACGATTAACACCACGTGACCAGCTACCGATCAGCAATCGTGAGCTCGCACAGACTTCTGGAGTGTTTAATATTTATCTCGTTCCTCATGAGGGTTGAAGCGGCCCAGCGAGCGGCTGCGACCCAAAAAGTATCAGAACCGCTCACGGCGCATTCGCAATCCTGCATCAACTCCGCTCACCCGCTATTTCCCTAATAACACACGCTGTTCGTTTTTATTTCTACACGTTTTTTTACACACAGTGATTGTCAAGAAAGCGTGTTTGTCGTGTTCATGTCAAATTAAACTGATCACAAAACACAGATTTACTTTCTTTATTTCGTTTCCTCATCCAACCCCCATAAATCCATGTGTGTCCTCCTCATAGGCGTCATTTTAACCGGGGACACCGGGGACATGTCCCCGGCAAAATTTGTGATTGGCAGCTGTGTCCCTCCCACTTTCAAAAAAGCCTGCTGATGAGGATTTTTGTTTTACCAGCTCAGATCTTATACCAGGGGTCGGCAACCTATTCCCATCAAAGAGCCATTATTACCCGTTTCCCACGGTAATTTTGGACGGACCTTAATAAGCAGTGACTTAGTGAAGCAGGCAGGTCGCGCTAGAAATTTTAGTTTAAAAAGATGTCATAAATGTGTTCCCCCGTCATTTTTATTTATAAAATATGAAGAAAAAACTCACAATTTAATTTTCATTAATTTGTCATTAATATGTAGTCTACACCCGTGCGTTAAGTGGACCATCTTCCAGTAAAAGCAAAGCATCCAGCCCACCTCTCCAAATGCCTAAAACGTGCATCAGCCGCTAGTTAGGCGCGCCGCGCGCTCCATCAGCTGATCAGCCCAGACAAAAGCAGAGCGAATAGAGGATAATTGTGTCTGGATGTGGATGGAGATTACATTTTACAGTAGCCTGATCATCATTTAAATACGTAAACATCACCTGTCTTCTAGTCCACGCTATCAGCATTATTTTAATTGGTGTGTGTGTGTGTGTGTGTGTGTGTGTGTGTGTGTGTGTGTGTGTGTGTGTGTGTGTGTGTGTGTGTGTGTGTGTGTGTGTGTGTGTGTGTGTGTGTGTGTGTGTGTGTGTGTGTGTGTGTGTGTGTGTGTGTGTGTGTGTGTGTGTGTGTGTGTGTGTGTGTGTGTGTGTGTGTGTGTGTGTGTGTGTGTTTTCCACTTCAAACACTGGTCTAACCAACCAGACCAGCGTGTCCAGTAACACATTAATGTTACAAATAAACAGTTTCCCTTCATGTAGGCTAGGAACGTTTCACCTGCCGTGGCCCGACCGCTTCTGCTCCACATAAACTTTGTGCGTGATCAAATGTCTCTACGCGTCATGCGTCTCCATATTAGAGATGGGAACAAGCGCTGTTCAGCCAAAGTTTCATAATTTCATAAAAAGAACATTTTTCCAAGTGACACATCCCTCAGAGAGGCCGGGTTTCCAGACTGTTTCAGTGGGAGGAAATCTTATCGCATGCGCCGTGGTTCTGCACTGCGCTGCGAACCCCAGATCTTCAGCTCACTGTCCACCGTGGGCGCTCCGAGCCGCGCTGAACACAGTGTCCAGTATAAAGCTCTGATGTTCTGAGGGGAATAATTTACCTCCGCGATGTGCGTTAACGATTAAAATGTCAGCTCATCCATGCGCATCAGTGTGCGTCGGGGTAATTCTTTCAAACCAAGCAACATCCTTGAGTTCATCTGTCAAAATAAACAGTCAAATGGAAATATCTGTAACCTGCCGTTTAACTGTTTTGCCTTCCTGTGAAGATTGTTGCAAAGAGAAACAATTAAACCTGATTAGCCCCAGAGCCACGCAGAGAACCAGAGCGCATGCGGGAAGGTTCCTCCCACTGAAGCGAGTGTTTTCCAAACCCTGTCTCTCAGAGAGACTTGTCACTCAGAAAATGTTCCCTGATTATGAAACTTTGGCTGAATAGTGCTTGTTCCTGTCTCCAATGTGGCGACACATCCAGGAGCCGTCTGAGGAGAAGCCCAGAATCTCACATTGTCTTCAGCTCAGAAAGCGCCTATATGATTACGCACAAGCGTGACGCGTCAACCCGGTCTCACAGTAAGACCGGGTTGGACCTGTTCAGGTTTACGCAGACAATCTTTACATTTAGAATTGGCATACAGATGTAAAATTAATGCAGTAAAATATAAAGCATTTTATTTAAATATCCATTCATTATTCTACAAGCACAGAGAGCCGCATCAGATGGATGGAGGAGCCGCATGCGGCTCCAGAGCCGTGGATTGCCGACCCCTGTGCTAGCCTACTTTATTGTCCCCAGCAATTTTTAAACCCCACTCAAGTCTATGGTTATTGTCCCCAGCAATTCTGAAAACAAACTGACGCCCTTGGTCCTCCTGCAGCACTCCTGAAGGACAACAGGCAAAACAAGACAAAAAAGTCTGACGTATTGTGTAAAAACTGCTATTTTTAGCATATTTTTAGGTCCGACGTGTTGCTACCAGACATACAGTGAGCACATGACTCGTGAGATCTACCCTGCGCTGAAGTCGTACAGTTTGCGCTGAAGCTGTGTTACGAGTGAAAAAGTCGCACAGTGTCCGCCCAGCTTATTATAATAATGTTCACTGTAATGCATCTTGATGTTCTTAACAAATAAATTAAATAAAAAATATTGGTCAGTAATGCCAAATATGTAAATTTGTGTTTCGGTCATTTTTATACTGGCTTAAAAATACTTCATTAAGTCTACTAAGCAGGGGTGTAGAACGTGTTTAATAGGGCCAGGCCAGTAATGATCTTGGACCAAAATAAAGGGGGCAGAGAGTCAAATAAAGGGGGAAAAAGAAGATGTTTTTCCAGACGCCAAGAAAAATTAAATGCCAAATCCCCCCTGCAAAGTGTGTCACTGAGAGTTTAAAACAGAAATTATTATTGTGCAAATATTGGTGTACTCACCTTTAATACTAGTTATTACACTGCAGCAGTCGCTGGATTGGTGCAGTTCAAAGTGGAGTGCATCAAATAAAACAATATTAACATAAAGGTGAGACGTGTCATCCCCCCCCCCCGCCCCCCCACCTCCACCACAGCTGGAAAAATTCCTAGGGGAAACACTGTGAGTGGTTTGCTCTCAAGTGTCAGAAACAGCGTGCTGGCATGCTAGCACCGTCGCTTCATCAATAAAGGCCTTAAGTTTTCATTTCAGTTTTCAATTCCAGGTTTGACATTGCACAGTTAAATGCCGTAAGAGTTTAAGCTCAGTAGGTCTGCTTCCTGTGCTCAGTGTTCAGTCTTTAACTTATGAGGGTCAAGTTTCGGAGACATGACCTCAACAGCATTTATCATCAGGAGTATTAATGATGTCCATCACAGTACAGGGACATGATACGATAGAAAAGCCAGATGTCATTTCTATGATGGACTGTACTGGGAAAACACGCCAGACATTCCCAAAGCACGTCCAGAGTTCCCACGAGATCTTGTTTCTTCAGAATGAAGGCCATGCCACTCAGCAGTTGGACTCTCGATTCTGTATCATAACATGAAATGTTTTTTATGTCTCTCTGGAGGGTCTGAGGTTTGTGTGGCTCACTGCTGCTGCAGAGGAATGAAGAATTATTTTACTGTAGCAATAGACACCTGTTTTTAAAATCATATTAATGTCGTCTCCTTGGACAGATCTGTCAACAGGCCTTCTGACGTTTGCCCAGTTTGGGCAGAAGAGTGGTGCAGACACAAAGGTACCAGTTTCTTCATATTAACCTTTTAGTCGTGATTCATGAGACATTTGCTGCCATTTCAGATCAGAAATAAACTAATGACAGAATGCTGTCCTTTACCTGCTCAGGTCTTACCTGCTGCGGCTGAGGAGGACAATGTGCAGAGCGAAGGAGTTGAGAGCGACCGTTTCAGTGGAAGTAACTCAAGCTTCCTGGCCAATGAGCAGCTCATGTCTGTGGACAGCATGAACAGCGACATCACAGGTAGGACTAAAGCCTGATTTATGCTTCTCCGTCTGCGTCAGTGCGGAGACACGCAACGCCATTATCCGTCCTTGCGTAGGGCTCCGGCAGGCACGCAAGTACGTACGGAGTTGAACGAGACGGATAAACGCAAGCTTGTGATTGGTCAGGACGCCGCTGTTCTTTACAGCGCCGCCATTGTAAAGAGAGCCGAGGAAAACTAGCGGCAGACACGGAGAAGCTTGAAGAATACCTCGCGATAAAACTCTAAAAATATGAACGTTTAATTGTCCCGTGACTGGAGGAGTGAAAAGATGCGCAGCAAGCATTTTATTTGTGGACGGAGATGACAGGAAACGTGGGTTTAGAGGTGGGGAGTGCATGAAGCGGTGGGAGAATGAGAGACAAATATGTCCGTGTTAAAAGTCTCTTATATACACAAAAAACACAATATAAACACACGATCTTGGACCGATACATGACAGGATACCACAGAACAGTGCTACGCCCTCTGTTGTTGGCCGGGCAATTGCTTTGCAACACTCTCCAGGAGACGGAGAAGTAAAAGAGCAAAACGCTTCCGTCAATCCATGCGTGTCTGTCCCTTGCGGAGCTGACGGAGAAGCATAAACCAGGCCTAACTTCGTCTGTCGGGGTTTGAATTTTACTCGTGTCACGAGTGTTTGTGAATGCACGTGTGTAACAGCTAAGGTGTGGTCTGAGACGTGCACGCTTGCTTTAAACATGTTTGTCCTCCAGATGATGATGACACTGGTTTAAACAACCTGCCTGAAGATCAACTGGAGCTGTACTTCAGTAAACTGGTGCCTCCTGCCATGCAGAGAGGAAGAGTGGAGGGGCAAGAGATCCCTGTTACAGTAAGATCACAATTCATGTTTATCTAGATTTGTCAGATGCATTTTCAGTGACACCTTTTCTTTTGATCTGAGTATTAATATGTTCTATTGTTGGCCAGGGAGTGGGCGGTGGAGCTGATGATGTATCAGAAGCCAGCTGTCTGGAGGCAGAACAGCGTCGACACCAGTTCTTGGATCTCTATGACCAGGTGAGTTCATCCACGTGTTAATCTTCTGCTGCTCGTTTTAGCTGCTATGGAGGGTGTTAACATCTTTTCAATGCAAAATGACCATAACAGTCAGTTTATAGATTAAATTTAACATTTGATGTGCATACGCCAAGTGAAAAATGAGCTCATAATCCTGCATGAAATGGTGCATTTACAGGGAGTGCAGAATTATTAGGCAAGTTGTATTTTTGAGGAATAATTTTATTATTGAACAACAAACATGTTCTCAATGGACCCAAAAAACTCATTAATATCAAAGCTGAATGTTTTTGAAAGTAGTTTTTAGTTTGTTTTTAGTTTTAACTATTTTAGGGGGATATCTGTGTGCAGGTGACTATTAATGCATGGTGGCGCAGTGGTTAGCACTGTTGCCTCGCAGCACGAAGGTCGCAGGTTCAAAACTCGCCTTTCTGCGTGGAGTTGCGTGTTCTCCCCATGCATGCGTGGGTTTTCTCCGGGTACTCCAGTTTCCCCCACAGATCACAACATGCCCTATAGGTTAAAAAAAAGAAAATTGTAAGTCGCTTTGGGTAAAAGCGTCTGCTAAGCACATAAACATCTTCTCTACTGTGCATAATTATTAGGCAACTTAACAAAAAACAAATATATATCAATTTCAATTATTTTTACCAGTGAAACCAATATAACATCTCCACATTCCCAAATATACATTTCTGACATTCAAAAACAATACAAAAACAAATCGGCGACCAATATAGCCACCTTTCTTTGCAAGGACACTCAAAAGCCTGCCATCCATGGATTCTGTCATTGTTTGATCTGTTCACCATCAACACTGTGTGCAGCAGCAACCACAGCCTCCCAGACACTGTTCAGAGAGGTGTACTGTTTTCCCTTCTTGTAAATCTCACATTTGATGATGGACCACAGGTTCTCAATGGGGTTCAGATCAGGTGAACAAGGAGGCCTTGTCATTAGTTTTTCTTCTTTTATACCCTTTCTTGCCAGCCACGCTGTGGAGTACTTGGACGCATGTGATGGAGCATTGTCCTGCATGAAAATCATGTTTTTCTTGAAGGACGCAGACTTCTTCCTGTACCACTGCTTGAAGAAGGTGTCTTCCAGAAACTGGCAGTAGGACTGGGAGTTGAGCTTGACTCCATCCTCAACCCGAAAAGGCCCCACAAGCTCATCTTTGATACCACCCCAAACCAGTACTCCACTTCCACCTTGCAGGCGTCTGAGTCGGACTGGAGCTCTCTGCCCTTTACCAGTCCAGCCACGGGCCCATCCATCTGGCCCATCAAGATTCACTCTCATTTCATCCGTCCATAAAACCTTAGAAAAATCAGTCTTGAGATATTTCTCGGCCCATTCTTGACGTTTCAGCATGTGTGTCTTGTTCAGTGGTGGTCATCTTTCAGCCTTTCTTACCTTGGCCATGTCTCTGAGTATTGCACACCTTGTGCTTTTGGGCACTCCAGTGATGTTGCAGCTCTGAAATATGGCCAAACTGGTGGCAAGTGGCATCTTGGCAGCTGCACGCTTGACTTTTCTCAGTTCATGGGCAGTTATTTTGCGCCTTGGTTTGTCCACACTCTTCTTGCGACCCTGTTGACTATTTTGAATGAAACGCTTGATTGTTCGATGATCATGCTTCAGAAGCTTTGCAATTTTAAGACTGCTGCATCCCTCTGCACGATATCTCACTATTTTTGACTTTTCTGAGCCTGTCAAGTCCTTCTTTTGACCCATTTTGCCAAAGGAAAGGAAGTTGCCTAATAATTATGCACACCTGATATAAGGTGTTGATGTCATTAGACCACACCCCTTCTCATTACAGAGATGCACATCACCTAATATGCTTAATTGGTAGTAGGCTTTCGAGCCTATACAGCTTGGAGTAAGACAACATGCATGAAGAGGATGATGTGGACAAAATACTCATTTACCTAATAATTCTGCACTCCCTGTATGGTTACTCTGCTATAACCCTCCACTCCATCATTTCTCAACATTAGGTTTTCTTATAAAACTATGATGTAAAGCCAGCGTGGAAATACTGGGCAGTCAATACTCATGTAGATTAATGAGTGTGAAATTTCATTTACATGATCTAAATATGGTTTGAGTTGAAGTTTGACAAACTGATTAACTTGCCCTTTTACAAAAACGTGTTGGTGTAAATCAAAATGTAAAACAACATGCAGTTAATAAAGTTCAGTCGTTCGTTTCTAAAGTAATGTCTCTTGTTTCTCTCATTTAGGAGGATTTCCAGATGCCGGATGTGCGTCTCGCTGCTACAGGTATGGACTCTTGTCCAGCCAGTGATGAGGACACCGAGGACGAGTTGGAAACGGCAAGGAGCAGTTCTACCAGGACGCGACTGCTGCCAAGCACCTCCAGACAGCTGGTCAGAATGAGTGTTTTCTCCTTTCTTAGGTCTTATTGGTTTCTCCTACAGATAAAGAGATAATTCATACCAGTCATGATTCTGCTGTAATGTTCATCATTGATCTGTGATCCGTACGGATCTCTCACTACGGTTTGGCACGTTCGCAGATCGGTCACTTGGAGGCGATACCTGTTCAGTCCAAGGGAGAAACGCACAGTGGTGGTCATGGTGGAGGAGGGGAGGAGCTTGAAAAAGCACCTGCGTCGTTTAGGTTGCATGTATGGGAGCATTTTGGCTCCCCAGTATAATACAGTAATGATACAAACGGCCTCCAGTCTGAGGGCGCGGTGCAGCGCAGCACACACATGCATCTGATCGCTGTGAAAGGAGGGAGGGGGCGGTGCGTGAAACATGCCTTGGACATAACAAACATGGTGGGACCTGTAAATGTTGTTAGGGACAAATCTGTAAAAGAGGATGAAAGAAAAATAAACTGAGTATCAGAAAGGTGATGAGATGACTGAAAGCTGAACATGAAGGGAGAGCACGTCCAAATAGGGCAAGCAGTTATAACATTTAATCAGCCTTCGGACCTCTAACTCCTGCTTTTAAAGCAAGTTGAGCAGAAAATGTTGCACTAAGTGTTCTACAAAATAAAGAGAGAGGACAAAGCTATTTGGTTTTCTTTCTGCTGATCCGAAAAACGATCCCATCCGTGACTGAAATCCGTGATATGATCTGAACCGTGAGTTTTGATTTGTCGCAACACTAATATGTACACATTTTGACACAGGTTGGTGAAAGTAACCATCCAAGTTTTAGACCTGGCTTAGAAGGAGGCAGTTCAGATGACGAGTCTTCTGCTGGACGTGGAGGTCCATCACTGCTTCCTGGAATAGAACACAGACGGTCTGCTGAAGGACAGGTCATCAACTCTCCTGTTGCAGGTGGAGACGGCGGTTCATCCAGAGAACAAATAGTTCTTATTATTTCAGTTCGTCCATGATTATTGGCCATCACTGGTGGCTGAATCTTTAAGCAACAGTTATTTTAGCCTTAAGGAGCACGCTGTGTTGTGGGAATCCAGAACGTCGTGTGTGACCTCTAGTCGTGTTCTCTCCATCAGGGGCTGGAGGAGGTGGAGACGGGAGCAGTGGCAGTGAGGAAAGTGGGAACGATGGAGGAGTTTCAACCATCCCTCTTGCAGTCAGCAGTGTTCAGACCACCTATGATGCCCTGCGTGGTCTGGGCATTGTTGGGAGCAGTCTCAGCAGTGGAGATGAGGATGCTGAAAATCTGAATGATCTGCCTGAACGTGGAAGGATTCATCTTCCCAGATACACAGAGGTAAGATCTCTGTGAAGCCTTCCTCCACTGATGTCCCTCGTGGACTTTTATTTTAACCTTTGTCTGCAGTTTATTCTTCTAACTTTAATATAATTTACTTCTTTATTGTTACTTTAGTATAGATGACTTCCTGGATGGCTTCTGTTCATAGAAGTGGTCCTTCAGGGCCAGCAGGCTAGCAGCTAGCATGATTCACATAGTTGATGTAGAGGGTATATGGCTGTGATGCCTCTAAATGATCATCTATGCTATTGGCCTCTTCTCTGTGTGACTATTTGGATTAAAAGTATGGAAGTATTTCTTGTACGATGGTTCTGGTCCGTCGCCAGTAGTCGTCCGACCAGATGGACACTGGATCCCTGGTTCCTTCTTTTCCAAGCGAGAGACGACACACACTAACCTAATGGCTGTGTTACCATTAGGGTTTGGGTCGATGGGACGAATTATTCAACCATCGGTGATGGACTGAGCCGTTACGGTTGTTTTCACAAGAGGCGATTTGTTTGTTTGTTTGTTTGTTTGTTTATGTGTGCGTATGAGTTAGGGTTGTCACGGTGTGAAAATTTAACCTCACGGTTATTGTGACCAAAATTACCACGGTTTTCGGTATTATCGCAGTATTTTTTTAAACGTGTTATATTTTCAGACAACTAAATAAACCCTGTATATCAGGAAAATATTGTCCTCAGTTTGTGTCTAAATTTTGCCTAAAATGTGTTATTTTGTAATTATGTTGTTTATTTGTTTACATTTTCCCCTTTAGTCTTTAAAATACCAATATTTGCCCATAAATTCTTATTTATTGTCTGTTTGTCATCATTTAAAAATATTAGATCAGATGATACTCAGTACTCAAGTAGCCTTCTAATCAGATACTTTTTTACCCTTACTCGAGTAAAAAACCCTATATCAGGAAAATATTGTCCTCGGTTTGTGTCCTTCCAGCGAGCTTTGCAGATTTGGGAAAATGTCATCAGGCAGTAATCATTGCTAAATTCATAATTATTCTCAGAGAGAGACCAACTCTTATCTGCCCCTGGGAGCCCCGTAATGCATAGCGTCGTTTCAACATGGGGGTGTACGCGACACGGTTTATATGCAGGTAGCGGCACTGCGGCTGCTTTATATAGCGACTCGTTGCATTCTCCCTCAACCCAAATCCTCGGATCACGCATTTTAGCAAAAACGCTAGCGTTAGCTTGCCTTGCGTTGACTGTAGAGTTGTGGGAGATGGTCACGCAGATGTGTCATGAGATTTGAAGCGTTGCTGCCTTTCACAGACACTTTTTCTGCACGTGCTGCAAACAGGATAGCCGTCTTCTATCAACTGTCCCTCGGCATTCTTCAAATATCCAAAAAATGCCCATACTTCCAACTTTGTCTTCTTTGAGGGATAATAAATGTCCTGAGCGCTGCCATCTCCTCCTTTGGCCATTATTTCAGCTTTAGCTTCAAGAAAGTTTTGGTTGTAAACAACAAAGTGCGCATGTACCGCCGGCAACTTCAGAAGATGATACGGTGGCTGGTAAGGGTCACCGCGCCTACACCGCAGCCACGGTAATCTACTGAGATAATGTAGTTTTTTAAAAACAAGACAGTTATTATTATTTTTAGGGCTGCACGATATTAGGAAAACCTGCGATATTCGATAACAGTGCTTATTATTGCGATATCCATATTACTCGCGATAAATGAACAAATACTAAAGTATGCCGTGTTGATGTTGTCTGGCGTGTGACGTCTGCTCTGGGTTCAAAGCAAACAAAAACTAATGCATGAATTCCATTACAACATAACATTTTTATTGCAAAAATATGCAGCTGCACCTGCTACTGTATTAGCAGCAAAACAACAAACTGCATGCATGCAGTTTCTCAGTGACTTTAAAACATCACCACCACCATAAAACTTTTTCTGATGCTCCAAATACAGAAAATCATCCCTTACCAGGGTTTTTTGATTAAATAAAAATATCTGAAAATAAGTTTAAATGTGAAATAATAGTTAACATCACTTAAATGCAACAGCAAATTCTCTCATTGCTACTGAACATTTTCTCCACTTATGTGGAGGACACACTGAATCTTATTATTATTATTATTATTATTATTATTATTATTATTATATATGTGGTTACTTTCTACAGAGCCACCATAGAAAGCATCATAACGTACTGCATAACAGCATGGTACGCAGGGTGCTCAGCTGCAGACAGGAAAGTACTGCAGAGGGTCATCAACACAGCCCAGAAGATCACTGGCTGCTCTCTGTCCAGCCTGGAGGTCATTGCAAACTCTCGGTACCTCAGCAGAGCGAGCAATATCATCAAGGACCAATCTCACCCCAGCAATCACGTCTTTCAACTATTACCATCAGGTCGACGGTACAGGTCACATAAAACCAGGTCAAACAGATTCAGGGATAGCTTCTTTCCCAGGGCGATCTCTATAGTAAATAAGCATAAAAACAATTAAAACTGCTTAGCGACTGTCAAGGTCACCGTCAACTACTATGCTGCTATTCTAATGCCATTTTTCTTACATGATATGGTAGCTGCTATTCTGTATATAGTGTGCTAGCCAGCATATATTACTTACTATTATTTTGTTACTTACTAGTGTTTTTGTTACTTTTGTGTTGTTACTTACTATTGTTTTGTTTTAGGGGACCTTTATATTTAGAGGTATTATTGTATTGTGCACCAAGGGAGTGGCACTCCAATTTCGTTGTATCCTGTACAATGACAATAAAGGCTATTATTATTATTATTATTATTATTATTATTATTATTATTATTATTATTATTATTATTATTATTATATGTGGTTATGATATAAGGCTGTTGCTGTAATTGGGAAGTGAACTGTGCTGGGCCAAACTAGGAGAATATTAATATTTTCTGAGGGAAAGAGAAAAACAATTGTCTACCTTTCAGAAGAGGAACTGGCAAAAAACTACATGGAAAATATGTGAAAACGTTTATTTTTAACCCCAAATTGAACAAGTTTACCTAGATCTTAAAAAGCAGCTCAGATGATGAAACTGCACCTGTGATTCTGATAACAAGCTAACAAATTGAACTAAGATAACTGGTTAGCAGAGCTTCTGACTGACAGTTTATGTGCAGCAGCAAATCAACTATCCTGATTAACAAGGTTATAAAAGCTCATAAAGGAAAAATCACTTTGATGTGTGGGGGAACTTTTCCAGGCCCTCTTTAGCAGGGTGGGACTGGGAGGAGAGTGCTGTAGCCTTTTAGCTGGAAGCTGACCGGAGCCTGGGGCTAACACTAGCGACATGAAGGTGGGTTGGTTCACCGGCTCGTGTCGGAGTCAGCCCGGTAAAAATGATTAACGACACCGAGCGGACTCACGTTCACATTTAAAAGCAGTGCTGAATCCAGAAACATCAGCACAAAGTACGTTCGTTGCTCTGAGCCAGCATGACGAACAAGGGAACGGCGCCGCTAACTCAGTTCGGGTGTTGCTTTCCAAAAGGGTCTATGTAGGGGGCGGGCGTATTACGTGAACGGAACCATCTGATTGGCCGCATATCAGAAGGGCTACATTTGATTGGTCAAATAATACTTCTGTGTAAAAAACAGAGCTGGTTTACAAAAAGCTGATGTATGACACGGATGGAAATGTTGAACCAAACATTTATCGCTGTTTTTGCCGTGTTTTGCGATGGGCCTATCGCACGTCCTGTTATCGCGATGACAATAATTTTTCGATATATTGTGCAGCCCTAATTATTGTCAACTTTTATACCGGGGTTTACTGCTACACCGGTTACCGTGACAACCCTAGTATGAGTACAGAGAACATCAGAGGTAAAAAATCAGGATAAGATCTCCATCAGCGCATCTGAGCGTTCTCTTTCACTTTCTCCGCCTCTCGCTGCTGATCACATTTCTGAAAGTAAAAACGGTTTCTCAGTGAACTTGGTCTTTAACTTTATTACAGACTTCAATAACGACCACAGGTCCGTAGTTCCAATTGAAGCTGGTTTATATAACAAACAGAAGTGGTTAGTGGAAAACATGCACATTGGTGACATCGTTATGAACCCATCCACCCTGGACCTCACCCACTTGGTGATCTGGAAGACTTCTGTTGGAGCAGTACAAGGAACCGTGAACGGACGTGGCTGTGCGTCGCATTTCTCATCCTGTATGAAACAAACCGTTCTGACCTCCTTACATAACCCGGGCTGATCTGTCCTCGTTGCCTGATGGAAAGCCAAGCGGTGCCAAGTGGAGTGAAACCGATCAGCGTAATGAGATCACACCAAGTATCTAACAGTGTGTTGTTAATGAATGTACTTCCAGTACATTTTATCATAAGCCAGAAAAATCCTTTTATTTTTTCTACACAGAAATGACCCCCCCCCCCCATAGACGGTCCCCCTGCTGCACTTCCTCTCTTTAGAGTTCCACCTCTTACTCTTATTAATTAACCACACTTAATTTTGACATTTTTAAATCTAAATTGTTATTTAAAAACAGATTGTTTGCCACAAGCCTAAAATAAACGTTGTTTCTCCAAACTGAGGCCATTCGGGAATGGGTAAGATTTTAACTTTGACACAGAAACACGATGAAAACGGCCTTTTAGTCATGAGTACATTTAGTCTGTGTCCTGGTGGTACAGGTGTGAAATCTTCAGAACTTTTTCTGTGAGTTGTTTTCTAAATGCACATTTACTCTGGTTGCATGGTGGCCACGCCGCTGCTGTTAGTTTTTGTCTTTGTCTGATGACGGTGACATGTTTGCCTTTTGCTGTTTTCCCAGATGGGTGACCGCATTGGTCCAGTGGGAACAGGAGAGGCCAGCTCCTCTCTGGTCGTGTCGCAGAGACTCGCCGCCAACCGGAACATGGCGCAGGAGCGACAGGAGGCTTTGGTGAGCACACAGGATTTATCCGTCTGACAGCCTGTGAGCAGATATGGCCTCTGGGCCTAAGACCAAGATAAATGCATCAATAATTAGAATAAAGGTGTGATTTCTTCATGTTTGACCTCAGAGCCAGCATCTTAAGGTCAGGGTCAAACATCCTAAAGGAGAAGATATACTAACTGTCACGTTACCTTGTGATAATGTTCAGCTTTTCCTTTATTTGAATCCAAGGATGTCATGGAGAGCAGCGACTCTGGGCCTGCAGCCGACCATACGCTGGACTCTGTTTACTTAAGAAGACCCGAAGAATCAGCAAACCTGCCAGTTTCTCCCCATCAGGAGAGCTACCAGCTCCTCTCCCAGGTGGGGTTAACACGTCTTTAAATCAAAAGTAAGCAAGTTTTGAAGCTTAGCCATGTTTGATCATCAAACTTCGTTTTAGGCACCGCTCCTTGATTGTGACAAGGACGAGGAAGAAGAGGGTCTAGATGAGCCTGACGGGGCTCGGCCCTCTCTGGCTTTGAGGGGCGGGCCCTGTGGCACCGTGCCAGCTTCTGAGGCCTCGGACGGCTCCAGCGACGATGGCAATCTCCTTTCCACTTCTCTGGAACCTAAATATTTCTCCCAGAGCTTCAACCAGGAACAGGACGATTCAGACGAAGGCTGGAACTATGGTCCCGACAACCTGGAGCAGGAGTTTCAGCAAGGTTTCACCGACAGGACTTTAATTGTGACTCGTTTTAAAGTTGGTGTGTTTTGTAACGTGTTAAAGGCCGTGCTTGATTCTCCAGGAGGCAACGCTACTCACAGTGTAGTTTATCAGAACGAGGAAGGACAGTGGGTCACTGACCTGGCCTATTACGCCAGCTTTGAGAAGGAGATGGAAGGGAAGATGGTGGAGAATGAGGAGCAGCTTCAGCACGAGGATTTTCTACCTGCCAGTATGGACAGCTCTACAACATGAAGTAGGATGTGCTGTTGATCTGTTTCACAAGAATGTTTCTACGTTTGCAGGTGAAGCTATGGATAAAATCTTGAAGGACCAGGAAGAGTTTGAAAAGGAGCACCAGTTCATGCAGGTATGTAACAAGCCTCTGTGGAGGCTTTAGTTGGCCGAGCCACATGACAGACCCAACGACAGGGTACGTCTGTAACGCTTGGCTGTGTGACTCGAGTTGTTCTGTTCTCGTAGGAAGAGCAGATCCAACCAGCCTGCAGCAGCAGCATCTTACACGAGTCGTCGTGGAAGGCTCCCACCAACAGCTCCATCCTGATGAGAGCCTCCCAGGTGTCCTCGGAGTTCAGGCAGGGAGATGAAAGTTACCTGCGGTTGTCTTTGGGACAGTTTTTCGGGCAGCGCTCTGAAGCCCTGGGCTGTCTGGGAAGCACCGATGGGGATGAAGTGAAACGGGTCAGTCGAGTTGTTTTTAAGTCTCATAACCGTCCCTCCTGGCAGTGTTCAGATGATGATCGTGGTGGCTTCTTTTTAATGTTGTGCTAGGCATGTAGCGTTAGCCTCTCTGGAGAAGCACAGCTAGGGATTAATGAAAACCAGCTCTCTTTGTCCAGCCCTCTTTTGGCTACATCATCACCTCTCCAGAGAAGCGGGAACCCTTTCCTCTTATTCGCCCATCAGAGTTCTCACCTGAACACGGCTCTCCGAACAACGCCACAGTAGAACTCTGTGAAGCTGACAAAACACTCAGCCCAGGTGTGTTTCATAAACGATCCGTCTTTCCTGTCTTTGAAATGACTCGCACTGAACGGCTCTGCTCCCATCTCCCCACAGAGGACTTGGACAAAACTTTTGATGCGACAAGTGAAAGGAAGCCGCCGAGAGGGAGTACGGGGCGTAGTGGATCAGAGGTACACGGGTCTGTCGTTATTAGATTGTCCCCGTGCCGAACGAGCTAAACGTTTAATGACTAAACTTGACCCGTTTCTAGCACCGCGCCGTCGGAGCGGCCCTCCTGGGTAACCACAGCGGTGTGTCTCCTGACAGCAACAGCAGTCAGCTGATGCTGAGTATCAGCACGATCGCTTCAGCCATAGCCAACGCATCCATCAGCACCGACCCATCGCAGCTGGCCGCCATGATCATGGATCTGTCCAAGAAGAGGAGGGCGGGGAATCGGCCGGAGTCTGGCGGCAGCAGCACGGAGGAACCCACCGATGCTAGAAAGGTGAGGCTACAAACACATTATGGTACTGGGTTTATTTTATTTATTGCTTGATTAGGTGAGCATCTGTAATTGAGCTGAAGCCCAGGTAAGATCTGGATGGTTAGGGTGAATCGTTTTCTTTTACCTTCTAGGCGTTTCCTGATCTGGATCACAGTGCCCGTGTTGGAGACGTTAGTGCCTTTGACATAGAGAAATACCTGAAAAAGGGTGACATGTCTGGCACCAGCGACTCCTCTGAGGGACACACGACCTTTGACCTGAGTGCTTGGGCTGACAGTCAGAGCAGCTCCCAGAGGAACGCTCAGGCGGGATGTTCTGTGAAGCAGGGCAGAGAAACTCAGGAGTTCCCTTCCAGTCCAAGAGCTGAGGAGAAAGACAAAATCAGTGATGTGACAGTCGAAACTCAAGGCTCCTCTGCTGCGCCGGTGTGTAAAACCCTGTCGGCAGCCAAGAGTGGTGTTTTAAAGAGAAGCTCCATTCCTCGTCCATCCCTCAGCTCTGTGGGAAAGCCGGTGGATCCAAGACGTTCTCCCTCTCACAAGTCTCCTGACAAACGGAAGGTAGCTGCTGCTTCTTTTAACAGGACTAGTAGCTCTGCAGGTAGGACCTTCGTAGAAAAGGAAGTCGCGATGGGAGAAGTGGACCTCCTAACATCAAATATGAGTTCTTCTGAATCCACTCCTAACAAGGAACAGAGCTCTTCCAGAACCTCCCCATCATCTCAGAGGATGAGGAATGTAGGTCAGGAGCTCCGGGACAAGCCCAACGAGTCTCCAGAGAACAAACCTCCTGCTCTACCTCATAACCCCACCAACGAGCATTCTGGTATCTCTGGTCAAACTTCTCCTCAAGACCCTTCATCTGGTGAGGAAACGGCCAGAAGGATAACCTCTGAACTGGTGAACATGGATTTAACGTTGAACCTTTCGTTTCTAAGGAGTTCTGAACTGTTTTCCAGAGCTGAATATGGAGCAGTGCAGTTTTAGACCATCCACCTCCCCTCTCACCCACTCCTCCCCCAGTCAGCCTTCCATTCCTGGTGCTGACAGGTACGGGCTTCTGCTAAACTTTACTTCTGTCGCTTGTATGTTTCCACTTTTGACTCCTGCATTTGCTGTCCTCAGCGCGCGTTCACCCTCATCTAAAGCGGGTCTCTCAGACAGACGTCCTGACCTCTCACCTGAGTCTACCTGCTCCAGCCCCAGCCTCAGCAGACTCACTTACATCTCACTGAATGATGGCACCGTGGTGCCCTCATCTGACCGGCACGAGGTACTGCAGACATGTTTCTCAGTAGCCTCCCTCGATGTTGGTGTGACGTGTCTCTCAGCTGTTTTATGCCTTCCTAAGGGCCACGTCCCGTGTGTGTGTGTCAAGGTGTATGTCCCCTTGTCTCTGTTTGTCGTCCTTGGGTCCTGATTTATCCAGTGATGGTTCTGTTGCCCTCTGAGCAGATGACTGGCCCTTTCCCAGTGCGTTCTGTGGTCATGTTGGTTTAGCTGCTCTTGTGTGCCTCCCCGTTTCTTTTTCACATTTGTTGGTGTTGAAAGATCTGCAACGCCGCCAGAGTGGAGCCAGAGCTCGTCATGACCTCCTGTATTTAATCAGGAACGTGCGAATAAGGATGCAGAAAACAGACCAATCTTGGTGTTTTACTTCTCAAACTCACAAAGGTGCTCCTTCTGTCACACAAGCCCTTTGCTCGGATTTTAATCCGGTTTATCTTCCTCCTTTTGCCACCTCTAGGGATGCAACAAACGATTATTTGGATAATCGATGAATCGGATGGGGTCTCGACACGATTAATCGATTAATCGGATTACATTGGGACATTTTTAAAAACTGCTAGGGAAACATTATTTATCTCCTTCCTTCACTTTATTAAACACAACATTATTAGAAAACAGTTCAATAGCAGAAAAACAACATGCCATCACCTAAATTGTCTTATAAGGTGTATAGACAGAGACCCTAAGCTACACCTATCTGTGACCTAAAATGCTTGGTCCAAGTTAAACAGCTTAAAGAGCAAGTCAACCCCTACCAGAGTCTAACTCCACTCCCACTTCATGTTTGAAAAATGCAACACATGCTGTTGCCTGGCAGACCGAGAGGGTGGAGCCGCTAACAAACACACTCAGGCTCACGGCAGCATTGTGACATCATAATGTACCAGTTTACATCATAGCATAGCGGTGGCTGATTTAAATTAAAATACAGTGCAGAGTTTTTACCTGACAACGGCACAACACTGCAATTTTAGGCAGAATATTTAAATTTTAACTAAGATGCACTGAAGTGCCATATTATTGATGACACGTGTCTGCAGCACGATTAGACACTCGTTTATTTAGTTTATCAGCAAAAAAAAGTTTATTTGGGGGTGACTTGCTCTTTAAGGGCAATTCTCATCTGTTTGATCTCATCTGTTGACATTTATTATAATTGGGGATGTCAAACAACTAATTTTTAAATGTAATTAAACATAGGCTGTGAATTAATCAAAATTAATCACTATTTCCAAAAATGACTGAAAAAAAACCCAATGTAAACAAAAGTAAATGAATGCCATCCTCCTTGCGATGATGCCCTGGGCAACTGCCATAAAGTCACATCAAGAAATGCTGCTGATCATTCTAATGATCCCAAATAGACTCACATTAGGCCACATGAAAGCAACTGAACCCAAAAATATATTAACCAGTATATAACTGCACTCTCACACAACACGCCAGCAGCGACAGTTAGGACTCCTCCCTCCCTTTTAAAAGCATTTTCGCTTCTGAGGACATTGTGGTTGTAAAACCACATGCTAGTAGTCTGGCCCCGGTGTGATCAACCAGTTTCTGCGGGAATGTGACGGCGGAACCGGTTCGCAGCAGCGCGAGTCCCCCCGTTTATCTAATAGCATCGCGCTTACGATTTTATAGACGTTTTTTTACGAGCTTAGGGCATGTCTAGCCTGTGTAATAATTCGGGGCTTGGGTGAATCACTTTTGAAAAGTTTTTAACTTACCCGGACACCGAGCTCTCTCCTTCCTCGCTGATGTTTCCGACATGCTTGCGTTTAAGATGCTGCATCATCACTGAAGTACTCCCGTGCCATGCTAAGTCTGACCTACAAACGTTGCAGGTAACGAATGTCGTCGCCTGATTTAACTGAAAATGCTCCCAAACTTTAGAAGTTTTTACTTTTTTGGGTCTCTCTGCTTCTGCCATGTTCCTCTTCCAAACACCTGCCGGCTCTCTCTCTCGCTGAGCTGACTTGCTCCGGTCTGCGCTCAACAGCGGGCAGGAGGGGGGGGCTTTTGGTAGAGTTGTGCGACACAACGAATCGATGACGCAATTCGTTGCCAACGCTTTTAGTAATCGATTTTCATCGAATTTATTCGTTGTTTCAGTGGGAGAACGGTGTTCTATTTTCTGGGTATAATGACAAAAAGGTCTATTCTATTCTATGATGACAGCAGAAGGGTTAGCCTGATCGCACATCCCTGCTCTAAAGAACGAGTATAAAAGGGTGAAAACATCTAATAAAAGCAGCAATAAGAGATGAACACACACACACACACACTAATGAGTTTTTCTGTTTATCGTGGTTTTCATGGTGAGTTCGAGGTGCTGATTGTGTTGTTTCCTACAGCGTGGCTCTTCTGTGAATCTGAGCACCACCATCGTCAGATTCAGTCCCACTCCTCCAGTAGAAGCAGATGGACCGTCGAACCTGGATGTTGTTGGTGCACCCAGGAGCCTCAGTAATGCTCAGCCTGAACACTGTAAAAGTCTAGACCCCCTCCCAGCACGGCGGTGTAAAAGCCCAGAGCTCCCACGCAGCGGCTCCGCTCTGAGCTGCACCTGCAGCCAGAGCGGAGGTTCAGCAGGAAGCAGGAGCCACAGGCCCCTTTCTGACTCCAACGTACGGAAGCTCTCCAAGATGGACTCTGGCTACAGCAGCAATCTGAACATTCAGCAGCCAAGCAGCTCAGCAGCTCCTCCGGGTTCCCAGTGGGGCCTCCGCATGCCTCCGCCGTACTCCGCTGAGGGACTTCATTACGTCCCAGTCCCCAGCTTTAAGCCTCCATGTTCTGGTGTGATTGATCTTCCTCACAAAGAAGATATTCAGTCCCTTCTTAGTAGACGTTCTCTTGTCAACGCCCAAATACCTCTGCAGTATTTGGGTCCTGACGTTCCTCTGCATCCTGGTGCTTTTCATGTGGGTCCTACAGGAAACGGTGTCTACGGTGTGTCCTCAACAGGCAGGTCTTCTTTTAATAAAACTGATTCTTGCCCTGTGGATGTCGTAGAAAACACATCTCTCCTCAAATTTGTTTAACTAGCTCTCCCTCTGGCTTCCTTTTAGGCATCTCAACCAGTGATCTAACTCTACGACACCTTCGCCCCACATCAGGACCCCTGGGGATCCCCGGAGCTGCCGGGTCTCATCCCCTCCCGATACCACATCAGAGTCGGCATGAAATGGGAATGATGGGGAAAGCGTACGGTCACTACGGTGGAGAAGCTCTGGTCACAGGTGGCCTGGAGGACCTGAGAGGTAGCAGTGGTGGTCCTGTTGCTTTGTGGGGCTTCCTCTGTGTCTGAATTAACTGTCGCACTGTTGTCCTCAGGTCAAGTGGTGGTACCTGAAGAGCTTCGGTTCCCTCATGCCTGCTGCGTTGGCATTGCCTCCCAGACGTCCCTCAGCTTGTTCAACCCGTCTGAGAGATGGCAGCAAGTTTCCATCACTGTTGTCAGTCTTGCCATTGATGGAGAGAAGGTCGGTTGTTCTAACAAACATCATTTCTAGGATAAGTTATACCGAGGTGGTTGTGGAAGTTTCAGAAAGAGAAGGAATAGGCTTGTTTCTACCCATCTGCAGGTGGACGGCTTGCTTTATCAGTGGTTGATGGTGAAAAACAAGACTATTATTGGCCCCAAGAGTACAGAGGAGCAGAAAGTGTTGTTCGTCCCTCCTCAGCCTGGAGTCTACCAGTTTATTCTGAGTGTCTGCTCCTGGCCTGCGTCTGCCGAGGCGGAGTTGGCTGCTAGAGCTAATCTGTTTGCTAGAAGAGTGGTTCTCGTTGCTGTTGCAGAGAATCCCGCCTTAGAGGTGAGGGCGTCCAGCTGAAACCCTACAGCTCTGGAGATGTATGAACACATGCACGTTATTTAGGACAAGATCTTCAAGTCTTTTCTTGGTTCTCAGATCCAAGTGAACACATCTGGTTGTTTGGATTTTGGAGACCTGCCAGGAGGTGGCGCTAAGTGTCTTCCCCTGAGAGTGCTGAACAGAAGCCACGTTACAGTACCCATACGACTGGTCATCAGTGCGGTGAGTTGACTGGGTTATGCTCATAGGAACTGTTCCTCTCACTGACACACGCGATGATCCACAGCCGTGCAAGCTGCTGCTGGCTTTTCTGTTTTACACAAAGTGATAAAATCAAGTTCCCTCTTCCAATGCCTCATTTCTCCAGAATGCCACCGCATGGCGATGCTTCACCTTTTCCAAGCAGCCTGTTACCATGACATCTGAGGTGACCCAGCAGGCAGTCACCTCTGCGTCGTCTCCGTCAGTGATGAATCACGTGATGCACGCCAGCTACGGAGAGGTAATGATCACAGACCGCGTGGTTTTTGTTGGATGTACAGCTGCACCAGAATAGTTTTACCACCTCAGTGTTTTATCTACTGTTCTTTTGTTACATTAATGAGCAGCTGTGTTGTGCAGGTCTGTGTAGCAGCATTGGTAAGGGTCAGCTTAATGTCAAATGAACAACTGTTTGTCCCAGAATCCCGAGAGCTTCACGGTCTGGGTTCACTTCAAGGCTCCTCAGAAGTTCGTAGCCTCTTCAGGTAAGCAAGCATGACTGAGTACTTCAGCGTGCCACGGGGAGTTGAGGTCGTATAAAATGATTGGAATTTATTCTTTTTAAAGGGACATTATGGAAGTTTGACAGCCAAAACATGTATAGAAATAATAAATTTCTTCTTCATACATTCTCCTGCAATGCCCTGGTCCTGTAGAATGAGCCCTGGCATTTTTACTGTGATTGTCTGTTTTTCTGTAAAATCACAGAAAAAGAGAGATGCTCGGGTCGAGCAGGCAGCTTCATGCGCGTTCACGCTCAGGCATAGCCCGTAGCATTTGCTATCAGTAGCTTTAGCAGCAGAGTGAGGTAGTGCCAACTCGGCGACTTTGTCGCTGTTCCTAACTCTTAGTGATGAACCTAGCTACATTTCTGAGGACCCTTAGCTACTTTCTTCTAGATATGTCCTGCAAATTAGCAACAAAATAGCCATTTTCGCTCCGAACCGTTCTTTGAACGTTGTTTCAGCTGTAATCAAGGATATAAATGTTACAGATACAAATTACATCACTGACGCTTTAGCTCACCTAGTAAGATGTCGGACTCTCGTGCAGAAGTCCTGGGTTTGATTCTGGATGTGAACATAGTTTATATAGAGTTTATTTTTTACATTAATGGTATATTTTTTTACAGTAAGATGGCCAAATTTTTATTTGAGACTCGCCGAGCAGCATTGAATTCACAGATAAAAAAGATGTGGGTTCAACTTTCATTTTGGAACAATTTTTCAAGCAAGGGAAGGAAATGATCTGAGCATGCAGGAGGACTGACCCATCATAAACCTTTGTCGGCTGTGCTGAAGAGAAAGGTACAGAACCAAATTATTTAATTAATTAGCTGCGCGTTCTCCTGTCCCCCCCACCCACCCACCCACACACACACACACACACGGGACTGTCTCAGCTGTTATTTTCATTAAGGAGTGTGCATGTACAGCATGCACGCCTCGTGCACGAGCCTCCTATTGAAGCTGCCATTACGCTTTTGGCCTGGGGGGCAATCGTGAGCATAAAAATTCAAAACTCCGTAAAGTCCCTTTAAACAAAATGGTTACTTTATGTACATTTCCTGGTGATTTTATCCTGGTGTTTTGCTTCCAGAAGATCTTGGTCCAGCTGATGAGTACAGCGCTCGGGTGGACGTTGAAGTGGACTCTCCCGGTCCGAGTCATGTCATCAGGAGTGTTCCACTCAAGGCCCGGTCTGGGACTGCAAGGGTCCATGCTCCTAAGGACCTGCAGGTAACTAGAGGCGCCATGTAGCTTGGACCGAGGAAATGCTAAGTAGTTCATTTTCTTTCTAAGATGGTAACAAACTCAAAGTAGTTGGCATACATTTGAAAAGAGAAGAGCCTCGTGAGTGTTGATGGGTAAGCTGTTGGATCTGTTCTGTTCTTTTGTACATTTAAGGAAGGTGACGTCTGTTAGTGTATTAACATTTTTCTGTAGTAGGGTTGGTCATGAGACGCTGTGCTTCTTCTGTTTAGACCGTCCACCTCTGTGCCCCAGAGGGGAAACGAAGTGAGCAGACGGTTCCACTAAAGAATGCAGGAAACATTGATGTAGCGCTGAAACTAAAGGTGATTCTCACCCATATTCCTCCTGTTGGATGGAGGCGCGCATGTCCAACATTTACAGCAGGCCATAACATTTAACTGCTCGTGATTCAGTGTATTGTTTGGTCTTCAGCTTCTCATTTCTTCAGTGTAAAAGCAAAAACTTTTAACCGCTGGCTTTTATTCCTTCTGTTTACAGATCAATGGCAACGAGGAGGATTTCTCTGTAACACCCAGTGAACTGTCCCTGAGTGTGGGCGAAGAACGAGGCATTACGGCGTCTTTCAAAGCACAAAGCAACAGGAAACGTAAAGAAAGGTACAAGCTGTGCTTCGGCTGATTGAGTAGGGAAAAGCTCACAGCCAGAGGAAGGATCGTCGCGATTACTCTTTGAGTCCGTGTCCTGTAGCTTCTACAGCTGCGTGATGTATGAACACCTTCGTCTCATTATCATTAGGAGGTGGTTGTTAGTATATCGAGCGGCAGATTTGCACCATTTAGTGGTGATTCAAGCTTGTGAAAATAAGAATCACCAGAACAAAATTAGCCATGTCACACAGACAACCATACAAATGTCTGGTTTCCATCCTGTTTAGAATAAGACTCAGATGTTTTAGATGATGAATAAGACTCACCTGTTGGTGTAGAATGCATCAGTCTGTTAGGAGACGGCGTGGACATCAGGGCTGCTACTGAAGCCCCAATGGTCCGTGTGAACGAAAGTGTTTTAGAAGCTCCGATGCTCTGAACGGCATGGAAAGACCTCTCGGTGGATGCTGCCCCACAGCGTGCGTGGGATAAAGAGGCACATACGGTGTGTTTGGCCCTTGTTCTGCTCTTTTCTTGCCTATTCAGAAGGAGAGGAACTACTGCAGAAAGCAGAGCGTCGTCTTGTTAGCTTTGTTTATTCCATTGTTTTTGTTGTTTGTGATCATTTAGAGCTAACAGTCAAATGCAGATTTAGTTTATTTCATAGCCTCAGGTAGTTTTCACATTTATGCTGCCTAAAACTAACCTGGAAGATCTCTCTGAATCCGTCTTTGTACATGTAAATGTCTCAGAACAGTTGTTGAACTGACACAAACCGTCGCTGTCTCTCAGCCTCCTCACCATCCTGGTGCTCCCGTCAGGACCTCAGTACGAAGTGACGCTGAAGGGAGAAGCAGTCTCTCCTGGCTCCAGGAAACCTGGACCTCCCGCTTTGTCCGGCGACGTCCCACCGATTCTCTCCAACAAGCAGTTTGTGGCCTGGGGAGGAGTCACACTGGGAAGAGCTGTGTAGGCAATTTTTCAGGTTTTCATTAATGTTCCTGCTGCTTGGTAACAACAGGAGCATTACTTTGTTGGTGTTGGTTAACCAAAGTAATCAGTGAAAAAGTCTAGTGTGTAATGTTATTCATGGAAGGGGAGAGAAGCATCTCCGGGGGGGGGTTATTCCTCACAAGCTTTACACCATGATGCACAATCTGCTTGTGTTGGAAAGAACAAGGTAAAGAGCAGCACCGCTAAGCAAAAGTCAGGAAAAAAACTAAACGAAGCTATGTTGGGGGTTATTTAGCCCCCAGAAGCGGTGAGTTCAGTGTGATGGCTGCAGAAGCAGCAGCTGGTGCAGACGGACTCCTGTAACAACTGCTTTTAGCCAACAGAAGCTGGTTCTGAGGAACAACTCCACCAGCAGCACTCAGCAGCTGCGCTTGCTGATTCGTGGTCAAGACCAAGACTGCTTTCAGGTGAATGTTTGGTTTTTCACCCAGAAACTTTACAAACTTGCGGTTTTTGGTTTTAATCTTGGTTTAAGCTGACGAGCAGATCAGGAGCTAACGGTGTTTTCTGACGTGTCGTTTGGGTTCATCTGTTAAATCAGATGGTCTGTTTGAAGGTTTGTGAGTACTCTTTTGTCTCTCAGCTCCAGAGTATGTTCAGCCCTGACGAGTGCCTGACCCGACACGGAGAGCTGTCCATTCGACCCGGGGACGATGTGACGGTCCACCTGCTCTTTGCTCCCACCAGGGTGGCTTGCATGTTGGCCAAGCTGGAGATCAAGCAGTCTGGGGTTCGGCCTTCACAACCAGGAGTCAAATTCATTGTAAGCATGTGTGTTTTTTTTTTCTCAAAGCTTCTGTTCATCCAGCAGAGCGACCCAAACATCCTCACCTCAGCAGAGTTCAACCTTTTGCTTGCTGGGCCTTTTTCTCCCCGTGCTTGTTGATGCTGACAGACGGCTGAAGTCCGTTCTTGTGCATCACAACAATGTACATGTTCACACACCTTCCAGATGTTCTCGAGTCACAACCACAGTGGATATATTTACACACACATTCACTAGGGTTGGGCATCGTTTGATTTTGAACTATTCCGATTCTGATTCCGCGTTTCGAGGACTCGTGCTGCACACACACAGCTGGTGTGATCAGCTCTGAAAAGCATTGATCACAATTTGCAGATCACGTTTATTTTTCACGGAGATCGGCCGCGGATCTATCTTCCGGTCGGCATACGAGGAATCGAAACTAGGAATCGGACGGTTGTACGACCCAACAAGCCAAACGGGGTTCTGGTCGTGATGGTGGCTGTAAAGCTTAACCGTGTCTCTTTAGGTGTCGTTTTCTGCAGGAGCAGCAGGACGTGTGAGTGGAGAGGGCTGATGAATGTAACAGACAGGTTGTTAGGTGTTTACTTCAGACAGCTCCTTTCACTTTGCTTCTGACCCCTGGTATTGTCTTCATCTTTCTTTTTCTGATCAGATGTGTGTAAGTGATGATGTCATTACGCGGCGGCCACAAGTAAAATAAACCAGTAGACAAACTGGTGGTCAGAGAGCGTGACGGTGATCCTGACAGAACGTTTAGCTTCAGCTCTGAGTTTCTGGGTCTTCATTATGTGTCATCTACTTCTGTTCTTTACCAGAATGCTTTTGGCAGCGAGTACGAAGAGCTGCTACATCCTTTTGTGTTCTCGCCCTCAGATCCCTCTCTCTGGCTACGGCGGCACTAGCAACATCATCCTGGAGGACCAGAGGAAATGGGGCGATGGCTATGTGGCAACGCTGACCGATGTCGCTGTCGGTCGTGTCAGCAAAGCGTGTCTGTGTGTGAGGAACACGGGCTCCAGAGCAGCGTTCATCAAAGCTGTGGCCTTCTCGGATGTAGCAACCCGATCCGTTGTTGAGCCCTCCGTCATCAGCCTGGCCCCTTCGCAGTTTGTTCTGAAGGAGAGGACACAAGAGGTGAGGGTAGTCCAACACCGAGGATGGTTCCACCTCACTTGCTGCCTGAGTGTCACCTTTAGATAACCTGATGTTTAGCAGTTATGGAGTCAGCTGTTTTATGTGCCAGCCCACTCGTGGTATGTATGACGCTAAGCGTTGTAGCTCTACTGCTGTCCCGTCCACTTTGTTTCCTGGGTCAGATTCACCTTCTTCAGTGCATCGGTGGTCAGTGCTCCCTCTCTAGGGTTTGTTCATATCTGTTCAGTGGTTGTTGAGGTGTTTGTTTATGTTAGTCTTCTTCCTTTCAGCTGGGAATAAATCAGAGCTGTTGATGATGGGCTGATGTGTGTTTGCAGGTGATCACTGTTCTGATGAAATCCACCCAGCGAGAACGGAGCCTGTGTGAGTCAGCTGAAGCCCCTCTCGCCACAGTCTGCCTGTTCTGTGGAGACGAGGTCTCCAGACAGCAATACAGGAGGTGAGACCTTGTAACACATGCCTCCAGGTGTCAGCTGATGGAGTTTAAAATGAAACGTTTTAACCCTCAGGCTCCAGCTCCGTCCCCTACCCTCTCTAGTCGTTACGGACAAACGTTTACACATATCATCACCACTGTTTTTCCTGGTTTCATCTGATCTCAGGAGATCTCGTCTCTTATCTTGAGAGGCGCTTTATAAAAAAATCTTTCTTCTCTAGTTTGCAAAAGAAAAGCTAACCATGTGATCTGATTATGTAGATGCATTATTAGTTCGGTTTGAAGCTGGTTCTCAAGTCATTTGAGGGAAATCAGGTTCCATTAAGTTTCATTAAACCGACACTTTTTAACCAGATGTTACAAAATATAATCATGCATTCTATGGCGTTTAAACGCCATTTTTATTGTTCCCCACTAAAATCAGCTGTTCCTCCGTTACAGTTGCCTGGCCTGCCAGACTCGTGCTCGGTTTAGTTCTACACAGAGAACTAATCCTTCCCATAAGGAAGCATGGGGCTGTTCTTTTTACTGAGCTCACTAGGCTGCATGCACACTTTCATGTCAGTAAAAACACATCTCCTCTTACTCATCCAGAGGGCTTAAGGCTGGCTGTCTGCCCCAGGGCTGCTGTGGCTATGTACCACCATCAGAATGTGACTGGGTGAATGACTGTAGTGTGAAGCATTAAAAAGGGTTGGCCATTAGTCGTTACACCTGGTTTTGTCCCTAGTATCTAAAGAGGGTAGGAATTTTTAATCCATCTATTCAAAAATTAAATATGATTTCCAAAATTTACCAAGAGGATCTTTGATTGCAGCAACGTAGCAGAGCAATGGGCAGATGAAGAAGTTATCAGAGATAAATGTTAATGACGACGCCTGAGGGTTATATAAAGGTCAACAGGTCTGGGAATCAACCTGGCCAACCCTCAGACAACATAATTACACTCCATCCCCTCTCAGAGCTTGTGTGTGGGTGTGTGTGTGTGTGTGGGTGTGTGGGTGTGGTGGGTGCGTGGGTGTGTGTGCGTGTGCGCACAGGCTGCTTCAGAGTAAACCCGAAGCTGCACAGAAAGCCCTGTCTGAGAACAGTCTGCTGAAAATCATCAAGTTCTACGAAAAGTTCCTGGGAGAGGAAATCATCAAAGAGGGTCAGATTCCATTTTCATATGAAAATCTAAATCTGTCTAAAGGAGGCTCATGAACAGTCTGGTGTCCTTGTTCATCTTCTGTTCAGGTTATTCTGTTGCTTCCTTCAGTTATGTATGTGTTCATGTCCTTCACCTGGTGTGTTTCTGGACACCTGACCTCTCTGCAGACAATGACTTGCCCCTACGGCCGAACGAGGCCCACATCTTCTACAGCAGCATGAGTAAGGTGTTGGTCTCCCTACTGGGACAGAAGAGCACCAGCTGTGATGAGGAGCAGAGCAGCAAGCTGCTGCTGCCCGCTGTTGGGCACGACTCGGAGGCTGAAGGGTCCCATCACCCATCAGATACCAGCAGCTCACTGTAAATGCACCAGCAGCCATTCTACATACAACCGTTGTGGTAGCACACTACCTTTTATAGATCCCTCTTTGTGTTACTGAACACAACCTGCTCTTGATATTTCCCAGTGTGTTACCAAATGGCAGTGTGTCTCTGGATGTGCTGCCCGTGAGAGGTCCACAGGGTCCGGCTCTGAGAGTCTCAGAACCTTCCTCAGAGGTACCCGAACCACTCTTTCACTGATCACGGAAGCTGGTCCACGGATGCATCCATTTCTCTCTGCTCCTGCACAAATGTGCAGATCTGAAGCATCTCCTCTCCTTCGCAGGTTACCCAGTCCGAGTCCTGGACCATCCACCCACAGCAGCTGGTCCTCGCAGCTCCCACCATCAGTGAGTTCAGTCACTCTGAAGTCTGCCTTTGGTCACTTTAGATTGTGAGTGTAGCTGTGTTTGTTTTTAGACGGGCCATCCAGCACCAGCCAGGTCCAGATTCAAAACAATTCTTCCAGAGAGCTGAACTTTGATTTGTCCTGGCCGGCTCACTGTCTCACCGTCACGCCACAGCATGGACGTATCGAGCCTCAGTAAGAATAAACGCACGTCTGTAGAAGTCCCCTGTGCTTTATTTGTTTTTGATGTCACTGATGTGTTCAGGTTAGCGTTGGTCGGTCTGTCTGTGTGTTTCTGAAGACTTTTACCATCAACCAGCCAGTGGCGACAGGTGGAAATCAGCCTTTAAGGCAGGGATTTGTTCCATGGGTGTAATTTTCCTTTCTTTTTGAAAAACCAGGAGCCACCTGCAGATCTTGATCAGCCCCAACCCTTCACTGGCCAGCAGAAGCACCCCGCTGCCCTGGAGTGGACAGATGTATCTCCAGTGTGATGGTCAGCAGAAGGTACGTGTATCTGCTGTGCTCCTTTTTAATCGCGTGTTTCACATGAGCTGCAATGACTGCATCAAACAAGCAGGAACGTCTTACCAGCAATACTAAAGACTGTGTGTGACATGTGGCCATCAGCGTTTACCAGGAAGTTCCCACAACATCTCCGAATGTTTGGAAGGCTTCTCCATTTGAGTTTCAGGGTTTCATCTCTGCTGGAAAGTGCTGCAGGCTCGTTCAGGTGCCGAGTACCTTTCTGGATCCCTACTCTGTTGCATCTCAGTTGGCTTTTGTTTTTTTTGAGACCAAATTACAGGTGGAATGAAAGTAAAATGGGAAAATTTGTGCAGTAGCTGTCATTTGCTCATTGTGGTCTCCTCGTAGATAATTTCAGTCTGATTCCACTTGAAGATTTTGTATTTTCTCAGCATTTTGAGTTTCTAGTTTCCAACAGTCAAAACCGGAGAGACGCTGGTTTAAGCGGTTGGTCTAGTGAGCTTCCTCACAATGTGCAGCGATTAAAGACATGGTACAGTGTAGTGAAGTGCCTTTTTCCTGTGACTCTGGTCTAGTTGATTAAGGTCCAGATACGGCGGGACCTGGCTCTGGACGTGTCTGCGGCCCCGACAGATCCAGCTCTGATGGCCCTGTCTCCTCAGGCTGCTACACCTGTGCTGCCCGTGGCCAGGATTAGCAGCCAGCCCTCGTTTACTCCACAGCCATTTCAGGTGGAAATCGGCAACAAGACCGTCACTTTTCCCACAACCCCTTCAGGAGAAACATCAGGTAGGAGAACGCCGGCCATCACTGGACGGCTGCAGTCTGCAAACCTGAAGGATTACAAACGGGCGAAAGCTAATGTCAGAACCGTAGACGACACAGTCAGGCGTTTAATAACTCAGGATGGCTGCAGGGATGACAGCTGAGACCTGTTGGTGGTTAAAACTCTGTTGTTCTTCAGAGGCCCAGCTGGAGGTGCAGAACGGAGAAGTGGAGGTGAGGTGGTACCTGTCGTCGTTTGCTCCTCCATATGTCAAGGTGATTAGTTTTAGTTTCTCTTTGGCCTCCTTAAAACCGCTCCTAGTGAACACGTGTTTACCATCTTTGTGCTGTCTGAATTAGTGTAATGTGACCTAACCACCGTTAAATCCTGAAGCTGAAACAAGAAAAACATTCGTGTTTTCATTCAATGTTTCTCTGTTTAATGGGATAATTTAGGATTATTTTCGTTTTCCTTTAAAATTAGGTGATCAGACCTGGCTGTGTGTTAGTGAAACAGCGTTGTGCTGATAGTTAGTGTTGTAAAAGTAAACCCTCGCTCTAGTTATTCTGTAGTTGTGTACGAGCTCAAGCTGTGGTTCCTCCTCTTTTCTCAGGGAGTTGATGACACTGAAGATGTTTACCGAGCCACCTACACGGCTTTCAGATGTTCCAGAGTGTCTGGAACTCTGGGCGCCAACCAGAAGATGCAGGTAGGCGCTTGCTTCACCACACCTGTTTTAGCGCAAGCTCGTCATTCCAGGGATTTAGATTTTTACAGCTGTGTGTGAAGTGTTATTGGGTCTTTTTTCTGCTTTGACATTTGCAAACACAATTCTGTTAAGCATTCCCTTTGAGCTGGAGGAGTGTAGATGATGGGTTTTCAGAATAGTTTCACACACAACAGAACGGGTGTGACGGGTGGTAGCAGAGGGTGGGAGACCTTGGCGGTCTGATCCTCAGCTATGGAAGCTGGCTCTTGGCACGTGGGATGTCACCGCTCTGGTGGGGAAGGAGCCTGAGTTGATAAACGAGGTTGAGAGTCTCCGACTAGATGTAGTTGGACTCACCTCAACGCATGGCTCTGGCTCTGGAACCAGTTGCTTTGAGAGGGGTTGGACACGCTTCTACTCTGGAGTTGCTCCCACTGAGAGGTGCCAAGCTGGGGTGGGCATACTAGTTGCCCCCCATCTTGGTGCCTGTTCGTTGGGGTTTTCCCCTGTAGCCTCCCTCGCCTACGTGTAGGGGGACGAGTCCTAACTGTGGTCTGTGCGTATGCACCAAACTACAGATTACCCACCCTTTTTGTAGACCTTGAAGGGGGTGCTGGAGAGAGCTCCTTCCGGTGACTCCCTCGTTCTGCTGGGGGAATTTGAGGCTGATGTGGGCAACGACAGTGAGACCTGGAGAGGTGTGGTGGGGAGGAACGGCCCCCCTGATCAGAATCTGAGCGGTTTCTTGTTATTGGACTTCCGTGCTCGTCATGGATGGTCCATAATGAACACCCATGTTCAAACATAAAGGTGTCCATGTTTGCTCTTGGCACCAGGATACCTTAGGCTGCAGCTTGATGAGTCCGAATGGGCCATGTTTCCTTCTCCCATTTTTGAGGCGGCGTACCAGAGCTGTGGCTGCAGGGTTGTCGCTGCCTGTCGTGGCAGCAACCCCTGAATCCGCTGATGGACACAGACGATTAGGAATTCTGTCGAGCTGAAGAAAGAGTCCTATCAGGTCTTTTTGTCCTGTGGGACCCCAGAGGCAACAACCTGGGTGTGGGAGGAGTTTCGTGAGACCATGGAGCAACACTTCCACAACGCTTCGAGGAGATCCTGGCCCACCATCCAGTGCCTTGGGAGGGGAAAGCAGTGCGCCACCAACACTGTTTACAGTGGGGATGGTGTGCTGCTGACCTCTGCTCGGGACGTTGTGGATCAGAATACTTCAAAGACCTCCTCAAACCCACCGGCACGTCTTCCAGTGAGGAAGCAAAGTCTTGGGACTTTGTATTAGACTCTCCCAAGCTCGGGGGCCAAGGTCACTGAAGTTGCCCAAAAGCTCCTTGTTGGTAAGGCTCTGGGGGTGGATGAGATCCGCCCAGAGAGGAGGGTCCGTTGGATTGTTGAACCTCAGATTCAGGAGGAGCAATGTGGTTTTCCTCCAGGCCGTGGAACACTGGACCAGCTCTATACCCTTAGGGGGATCCTGGAGGGCGCGTGGGAATTTGCCCAACCAGTCTACATGTGTTTTGTGGTTTTGGAGAAGGCATTTGACCGCATCCCTCGGGGGATCCTGTGGGGGATACTCCGGGAGTATGGAGTACCAGGCCCTCTGATACGGGCTGTTAGGTCCCTGTATGACTGGTGTCAGAGCTTGGTCCACATTGCCGGCAGTAAGTCGAGCTCGTTCCCAGTGAGTTGGACTCCACCAAGGCTGCTGTAGGAGAAACTGGCTTGCTCAGCCATATTGTTGCGTTGTGGTTTTATGCTCTTTTATGAAAGAGGAACCATGCTACGTATTAATTCAGAATATTAATTTTTAATAAATCAATAACCAAATTTTATATTGTTAAGAAGACTCAAAGGTTGTTTTCATCGATAAACTGACGATAATATCTGTGTTTCTGTGTTTCAGTTCAATGAACAAACAAGTTTGGGAATTAAAAGTTTTAATTCTTCAAACTAGACTAATGATTTTGAAATTGACAAACATGGGAATAACAATCAACATTGGCAACTTGTGGGACAATCTTTAACAGTTGATATGATCAAATAGACCTTGTGGTGAATTTATGAAGATTGAGAATGTTGTGATATGAATGCGTGTGTGAGTCTGATTTTGCTTCAGGAAGAAACAGGTGTCTGAGTGAAGTGATGGTTTGGATAAACTTAGGTCTTATCAGAGAACTGCATCAAATGCTAAACACCGTGCTCTGTCTCACCGAACTCTTGTGGACCCTCTTTCGGATTCGGGCCGTGGAGGATGGTGGTGGTTCATCCAGATGACACCAGCGGCTGACAGGGGAGACGTAGGTGTCGAACGGAACCGGTCCAGAGTTGCCCTCGGTACACGTTGATGGTTAAGCGTTTTGTCGATGTGCTTTCTTAAGTTAATTCACTCAGAAATCAAAGACTCTGTATGAGTCTGCGTTAGAAGTTGCGATTCAGCTGTCCTGTCTGGCTAACAGGAACAGCGTGAGAGGGGGGGGGGGGGGGGAAACGAGCCAACCGGCTCCCCCCTTTTAGCGTTTATTCAGGTCCTCTCTCTTTCGTTGTCAAGCACGAACTGAAATCAAGACTGAGGCCTAGTCCACACGTAGCCGGTTTTTTTTTAAAACGAATATCCGCCCCTCCAAAAACTTGCATCCACACCACCTCGTTTTAAAAAGAAACTCTGTCCACACGTACCTGGATAAATACGTTGTTAAGGACATGCCAGACCTGTAGGGGGCAGTACTTCCCCCGTTCTTAACCTCGTCCTTCGTCTGTGGTCTTCTGCAAGGAGCAGTAATTCCGCTTGCAAAAACAAACAAGCAAAAAGCGCTTGGACAATTGATAAAGCGAGCGCAGCTCTGAAGGCTTCCATGCTGTCGGCTAGTGTAAACACAGGTCGCACACGTGATGTCAGCATTTTTTTGTCGCGGAAAGTGACGTTGCGGACCTTAAAACTCCGGTTTTGTCAGTCCACACGCAGACACCCAAAACGGAGAAAACGCAGATCTTCACTTTGGCCGGAGTTTTTAAAAAGATCCGTTTTCGTGTGGATGACAGGCCAAAACGTAGGAAAATATCTACGTTTTGGCAGATCCCCGGCTACGTGTGGACAGGGCCTGAAACTTACCAAAAGCTTCCTCTTCTCAAAGCAAACGTGTGCATCAGCAAATGTGTTTGGAGTTTACTGTGAGAATCTGTGTGTGGGTGTGTGTGAGTGTTTGTGTGCTTGAGTGTGTGTGAAGGTCGATAACAAACATCCTCAAACATTATCTAATTAAGTGTGGATTCATTAATCTCTTATAATTACCCAAAGCATAAGAATCATTCATTTGATTAAACACATTTATAATGAGCAAAATGATGATTAAACTTTTAACATTCAAAACAAGAAAAGGAAGTTTTAACTTTATGTTTTGACTTGCTCTGGGTACAACTCATGGAAACACGTCTTCTGGACGCTGCAGGTGGCAGATGTTATGGTTTCCTCCCAGACTCGCTGGCGTTCAGGTCTTAATCTGTGGGTGAAAGTTCTCAGCGACCCAGCTGAGTCCAACACCACCTTTGTGACAGAAAACCCATATTTCCTCACGTTACACTGCCCTTTGTCACCAATTCTGTTCATAACCTTTATGGACAGGATTTCTAGGAGCAGCCAAGGTGTTGAGGGGATCTGTTTTGGTGGACTGAGGATCAGGTCTCTGCTTTTTTCAGATGATGTGGTCCTGTTGGCTTCATCAAAACGTGATCTCCAGCTCTCACTGGAGCGGGTTGCAGCCGAGTGTGAAACAGCTGGGATGAGAATCTGCTCCTCTAAATCTGAGAACGTAGTGTTGAATCAGTAAGAAGAAGAATGCCTTCTCCAGGTCAGGGATGAGGACCTGCCCCAAGTGGAGGAGTTTAAGTATCTCTGGGTCTTGTTCACAAGTGAGGGAAAGATGGAGCGTGAGCTCGATAGGTGGATTGGTACTCTGTCTGCAGTGATGCGAGCGTTGTACAGGTCTGTTGTGGTGAAGAGAGAGCTGAGCCAGAAGGCAAAGCTCTCGATTTACTGATCTATCCACGTTCCTACCCTCACCAATGGTCACGAGCTTTGGGTAGTGACCAAAAGAACGAGATCACAGATACAAGCGGCCAAAATAAGTTTTCTTCGTAGGGTGGCAGGGCTCTCCCTTAGAGATGGGGTGAGAAGCTCGGGCATCCTAGAGGGGCTCGGAGTAGACCCGCTGCTCCTCCACATCGAGAGGAGCCAGTTGAGGTGGCTCGGGCCCGCCTCCCTGGCGAGGCTTTCCTGGCACGTCCAACCGAGAGGAGACCTAAAGAGAGACCTGGAACACGTAAGAACTATGGGTGGTTTTTTTTTATGTCAAGGAACCTCGCCTTGATGTCTTGGTCTCGCCCCGGTTGCCTACGTTATCAGGAATCTCCAAGGCGTGTTCCAATGTTCATGTTCTACCGAGGTGCCTGTTCTGTTTGTTAGCCGTTTAGCTAGCTGAGCAAGGATGCACGGGAGGTGTCTTGTAGCCTAGTTTTGGCCAAAAATTTCCCAGAATGCGGTGCAGTATTTGCTAAAGGATGGCGGATCAGCAGCTGGCAGCTACTTTGAGGGCAAATTTCAAGTTTAAATGTAAGTCAACTAATTGTAGCTATCGGGCTGATATCCAAAATGTTTTTTTTAAATCCAAAGTAGTTATCTATGATTGATTAGTTGCATAGTAGTTGCAGCTTCGGTGGCTAGCGGGTAGTAACCCGCCTACATATTTAATTTAACCCATATATACACAATTCTAAAAGTAAAAGTCTCGTTGTATATTTATATTGAAACGTGTACGTATAAAATATAACGTTATCTCTCATGTCACGTGAAGTTACATGACCGCAAGTCTGTTCCATTTAACCATTTTCTTTGACCAAGGAAGGACGGTGTCCTTGTAAGCAAGGTGCCTGGCCCAGCTAGACCTCACCTTGCTAAGCAGGCCAGGGAACGCCTTGGGGTTCCCCCGGAAGAGCTGGCCCATGTAGCTAGGTAGAGGGAAGTCTGGGCCTCTCGACTTAGGCTGCTGCCCCCGCGACCCGACTCCGGCTAAGCGGAAGAAGATGGTCGGACACAACAGAACCTCAGAATGAATAAATGGCAGATTGACTTGACATTTAGCAGTGAATTCTGCTTTTGGTTCTGGAACGAACACATTTGTCTAGATCCTTTAAACATAAAATATCAGTGATTTAAATGTTCTCCAATGATTTGCTTTCGGGACAGTTTTTCTCAGGCTTTCATGTAGTTGGCTTAAGTGATTATTTCTTTTTTTTTAATGCGTATTTTCTTCAGGTTCCTGTGACCTTCCTCCCCAGAGAGAGAGGCACTTATGTCCAGTTCTGGGACTTGGAGTGCCATCCTGTGTCTGATCCTCAGCAGAAGACCAGGATCCGCTTCCAGCTCTCTGGCACGGTGAGAACTGATTTGTGAAGAATTGGATTCTGCACTTCCTACTAGAGGAAGGGTGTGTTTCCAGGTGGCTCTTTTCCTGTATCTGAGTGTGCCCCAGGTGTTGGTAAGCTACACACAGTGGTTCAGTGGGCAGGTTGCACAGGCCTTCCCACTACATCCTTATTTTGTCCCAGTGTAGCTGCCATACCACGTAGAGAGGCTCTCTGAAAGACCTGAGGATGTCTGCATCCAGATCCTGCCCTCTTTAGTTGTTTTTTGTGGTGTCTGTTACTCTGTTTCTGTTTTCTTTTGCATCAAGTCCAGACCTGAAGCGAACTCTCCCCGTTTATGATCGCGCTTGATCTGTTTTCTGTAGTATTGTGGAACCCAAGAGGCAGGAACATTTCTGGTGCTGATCAGATTGTCTTTGACACTTGGCCTCAGGACACCGTTTATAGTTCAGATTGGTGGAAGAAGACAGAATAATACTTTTATTTTATAGTGAAGATGCAGCTGAAGAATCCGTCTCCCTATCGTGTGTTTGTGGAGGTGGTTGTTTACAGACTAAGTACCGACCAGAGGGCTTGCTCTCAGGAAGCAGAGTTTTATTGTTAAATACAGAGACTTCTTTGGTCTACAGCTCAGCTATGGAAAAGAAAAGGTTTTCTCTTTTGTGCAGAATTGACGCATAAAACATCTGTTAGCCGCTGTTCTTGTGCGTTGTTATGTTATGTATTCATGCACCTTATCATGTTGCAGTGGGAGAACGATGACTTTTGTTTGGTGGAGAAGAAGGTAAAAACTGATCGGGAAAAACACAAACCAGGTGCAGTTACCTGCAGGATTTGACCTCTGAGGTCATGAGGCTGAATTTTGATAGAAATCCTGAAAATATTTTAAATCAAGGTGACGGGCCTCGCCTCCCTCTGAAGCTGAGTCGATTCTGATGTCAAACACTCAAATACCGTCAAACACAAATGTTTAATCAGCTGTCGTGTGTGTGTGTGTGTGTGTGTGTGTGTGTGCGTGTGTGTGTGCGTGTGCGTGTGTGTGTTAGTACTTCCTCTTGTTGCTGACAAGTGACAGATGTGATAAGTGGGTTGTGGATGGGAGGGAGATCCATGCTGCTGATACGCGTCTGCAGGCTTTAGTGTGCGGTGTTGTGACAGATCTAATTAACGTGACTTCACACACACATTCACTAGCATCGATGCTGAGGCTTTTGTTTTCATTTGAAACCTGGTAAAAAGAAAAGTAAGTTATTTTGTTAACAGTCAGCCTTGAATGTTGTGAAGGGATTAAGGTCTGGACCTTTGGAAGGACCCCAGGAAGGAGACTGTTCCCTGGTGAGGACAGAAACCACGGCTAAGAGCAGGAAGAGGGCTGACTCTTCAGCACCCAGAACCAGGTGGGTCCAGCTACTCGTGAGTGTGCTAGTTAGCCCCGCCAGCATTGAGCTGCTTTCTTGGTGAGACACGTGGGTCCATTTGAATGATACCCGAGCTGGCTGTGTGTTCATCTCAGCCAGGAGGAGGCTGTGCGGAGGGGTGTGTATTCCCCCCAGGATCTGTACACCTTCCCAGACACGCATGTGGGCGAGTCCAGCACTCTGAAGGTCAACGTACGCAACAACTCCTCTGACACGCACGAGGTGAGCAAAGAAACAAGTCGCTTGTTTTCCCTGCTAATCACAAAAAGAAACATGGTGTCTGCTTTCATTCTCAGCCAGACGGTTATTGATGTAGAAAGTGACTAACTAGTTTCCTGACTAACTGGACGTGCTTATGCTGAATGAGTGATGTAACAACCTCTGCTCTTTGCCCTGCATGGATTTGAAATCTGATGTGTGGCTTCTCTAATGGAATTGCAGCTGAAATTTGTAAAACCCATGGAGCCCTTCCACATGAAGCATCTGGAATATTCCCTGAGGTGAGAAGCTCTTCCTTCAACATTTTACTGTGTACCTCTCCTTCGTGCACTTATTACGTCTGATAAAAGTATATGGTAGGACTTGGTGCATAGTCAAGCTAACGAGGGGTTTTCTCATCTTGACTGCTCACTGTGGAGGTCCTGCTGCTTTAACACACCTGAGGTCTAAAGGACGGCCAGGTACAGCGGGATGGGATTGTGTTATCGTAGCACTAAGAGTTAAAACAGAGGAACATGTGTGGCACTTTTTGCTTTCATCACTACAGATGAACGTTGCATCATCATGATGTCACGTGGAGCTCCAGGGTGCCATGTGGACGTGATAGTCTTGTTGTTCTCAGCATGTTGTGGCTTCTACTGGGTTTCTGCAGATCTCACCTGGGTTTCCTAGGATCAGGGTCAGTCCTGCTAAGCAGATGACTTTGGCCCACTCTGGCTTGTAAACGGGTTAGGATGCAAAAATAATGAAAACATAAAAAAAAATTTAAACGCAGAAAATTTTCACCTTAAGTATGTTTAGGGTGAAGCTTTGTTCCTCAATTCCTCTGTTTCCTTCAAACTCACGCACGCGCACGCTGGTAATTGTGCATATTAGGTGGTGATGTAATTTTTCGGACAACCAAAACTAGTTTCCTTACTGAGAAATGGTTAAAAAGATCTATTGTCTCTAAAGGAACTGTATCACGTGATTTTAAACCTTTCAGAGTACCCACAGGCCCATATGTGGTGTTAGTGTTATCATTGGCTCTGGGAGGAGGATCTGGATTTGAAACTACCTGGAAGGGGAGGAGCGGGGCATGATGATGCAAACCTGTTCCATCCAGCAGTTTGCAAAAGCTTAGTAGGCCCATCTGGAGCTGCACCTGAGCAGAGTGCGAATTATGACAAGTCTCTAAGCAAAGTAAAATTTCTAGTGCAGAGTGGAGACAACCCATAGAACCACTGATTTGATCTCATTTCAGAGAAAAATAGAACAGGCTAGATGCACCTAATAAATAAAATTACTAACAAACTCAGGAATCTGTTTCTTTGCTTCACTGTTCTGGTGCTGAAAACATCACTAATGTGGGTCAAAGGAGATACACAGATGAATGCACCTCTTATTATTTGGAAATTACATTTACTGCAGCTGGCAGAGGCAGAGATTGTTTCTATTGATACACAGAATTTACAGAATCATTTTAAATTTTAATAGGGGAAGACTGCAGGAGGGGGCGGTAAAATACAGTGGGTCCCCAGCAAAAACAAGAAACTTCACGAGTCTGATGAAACCCACTGGTTTTCCATCAGGCAGTCACGGGGCAGCTCCAACGACCCAGTGGCTGTGCTGGGTCAATGTTATCGAGCTCAGTCCGGTGTCTGTACAAGATCTGCTCTGGTGCAAGATCGGCTTGGGGTCCTTCGACTGCCGATGACGTCAAAGTATGGCAAACCCACTCGGACAAAATACACTGCACATCTATACTGTTGGAAAGAATTTAGCAGTTTCGTTATAAAAATGTTTCTTAAGACGTAAGTTTGTGTTCATAATGGTGTTTGTAAAATAAAACACTATTGTATTCATAATGTTGACCTCCTCTTTGAGCACATCCCTTGAAGGATCATAGGTATTAGCAACACCTGTGAAATTGTATTTGCAGGAAAGAAGTGTGTCCCGTTTATTGAAGTATTTTGTGTTTAGTTTTGACGTCTTGTCAATGCGTAGTTCAGTTACGCTCATAGCTGCTATAGCCAAAACTCTGGAGTTAAAAGTTTTCTGGCTTTACTAAAATACCTGTCTGTACTTATTTGATTGATGGTAGTTTTACTTTCTATTAGACTCCAAATGTAATCATTTGGCACGCTTCTAATTCATAATTTGTAAGAATGTAATCGGTGATATTAGCATTAGCATTCCTATGGGTTTTTCCACGTATATTAGCATTGCGCTAACCACTCGCTGCCAAATTGCAGCCTTTGCGATTAGAAAATCTCCTTTTGTCACCTCGCAATTTAATTGCACATGCAGTAATCATTCTGCCCTAATATACATGCAGCTCTATGCTAAAAGTGTATTTTCAAAGAGGTAATGATGGATTTCTTTGTAAAAGTTGTCCATCTTTCCAACAGAAAGATTTGCCTAGACCAACGTAACGTGATAACAACGTAACATGATTACGTAATTCCGTAAGGTTCATGTTCAGCCAATCAACTACTTTGACGTCATCGGCAGTCGACGGACCCCGAGCCGATCTTGCACCCGAGCAGATCTTGTACCGACACCAGCTCGGCCGTGAACGAGCCGAAGCGACATCCTGCTCTGCTTAAGAAGAGGTGTTATTTTCCCGCTTCAGAAGAAGCTTCCAACGTGTTTTTACGCTTTCTCCGAGACGTGTCACATCGCTAAGTTGTTGGCGCCGAGCGCTAACACGTCAATAGTGCAGCGTAGCCTGCTGGAGGTTTTAAGGGTTCAGATGAAACACTCGACCTCTCAGGCTGCTCACACACTCCTTAAGTTGTCGCTGTTGCGCTCACGCCATAATACAGTATTAGATGTTGTTAAAATCAGACATGAAAAAATAAATTTTACATGAATAAGTGATGCTTAGCCTGGTGAGGGGAGGAGAACTTGGCCTAATAAGCATGGGAAGAAACCCTGTCAAGATTGTCAACACTCGTTTATCTTAATGCTATTGAAACATGTAAACCAAAAAGCATTATATCCACTGCTACCTTTCTAATTTTAAACTCAGTAACTTATGCTGTAACTTCACCTTGCCCTGCCTGCTCCTCCTTGCTGCCCGCCGACTGTGATCACAAGCGACAACATAGTAGTTCCCGCTGCCTCTTCGGGAAACAGCGCAAAAAAAAAAAACACTTGGGATCTTGTAGGCGTGGCGGTGGGATTTCAGCCGTGGCGGCCCGCCATGGCTACGCCTATGTAAGGGAAACCCTGAAGTGGATTTTTCACGATACAGTCCCTTTAATTACAGCTCAACTCTTATTTCTGTCCAATAGAAAAGCATCAATAACCTATTATCAGCTACATTTATAAATCTTGTCCATTCATTTTCTGCTTCTGTTTGTGTGTGTGTGTGTGTAACACAATAGTGTGTTTTATATGAATAAATGTCAAATATTCGCTGAAGTCTAGACATTTATCAGAATATTATTAAATAATCAAAAACACGCCCGCGGTCCCTCATCAGGCTGATGGTGGTCGACTTAGACCAGGGGTCCTCAACTAAGGGCCAGAGTTTTTTCCAGCAGACATGTGAGCGCCAGATACACTTCTAAAATAACCAGATAAATTGCATTTCTTGCAGAAATGCTGTTTGAATGCTGGGTATCTTAAACTGTTAGCTGAATCATTTTAGTAGCTGAACTGAAGCTGAAAGTAAGTAAAACTGTCCAAATGAGCTGAATGTAGTGAAATATGTGAAAGCAAAAAGCACCAACAAGCAAATAAATCACAAAAAGTAAGTGAAGAATAGAGAAAAATAATCCTAAATAGCAAAACTGACATCTGTGAACATTGTATAGAAATCTGGACAGCTAAAATTTCCACAGCTAAAATTTCCAAACACTTGTTATTTCAGCAGGACTAGTTTAACAGTTTAATTTTTACATTTAGCTGATCTGTGAAATTAGCATTATATCCTGAATTCAGAAACTGATTGCTGAAGCTGCTGAATAGCTGAAGTGAAGCTGAAACTAAGCTAAACTATCAAAATGAGCTGAATGTATTTATAGATTTAGAAGCAAAAATACCAACAAATGTAATAAAGCTCAGAATATAGGTGAAGAATGGACAAAAATGCTAAACAGCAGAAAACTTTTTATCTTTGAACATTGATTAAAAACTCGAAATTTGAAATGTTAAACAGCTGGCATTTGAATGAGAATAGTTTAATGGGTACATTTTTACAATTGGCTGACTGTGAATTTAGAAACATTTGGTGATATCTGAAACTGATAGATTAACATATGTTCAGGACTTGATATGTGATGGATAAATGGTTGGATGAATGAAATGACAGAATGGATTGTTGGATGGATGTTAGATGGTTTATTGGATGGATGGATGGATGGATGGATGGATGGATGGATGGATGGATGAATAGAAGCATGTATGGATTTATATGTGAATGGATGGATTCCTTAGGCCAAGCTGATCGATTTGATGTCTCATGTGTGGGTGTGTAATTGTTAGAATGCTGTAAAGCATTGACCTCTCTTAACCATCAGGGAGCTGGGAGGGAGCGGGGCACTTTCCCACTTTCTGAAGGTCAAATTTAACTTGTTTCTAGTTTTAAGTACAGATAGTTCAAAAAGATCAAAAACAGGAGTCTGTTATTGGCTCAATATTCAGCTTTTTATATTCATTCCTATGAGACTTGGTTGAAGTGATTTGTAGTTCCTTGTGTTGCCATGGTAACAGATGACAGGAGTCTGCTTTAATAAAGCAATGTACAATGTCACATGAATACCATTTCTATATTAAAGTATGTTTATACAGTTATGTCTAAAATGTTGTTAAATGTTGTTGCTAAGCATGTTGCCATGGTAACGCAGAGCACAATATCAAGTTAATACAAAACTCCTAGGACCAAGCAGGTTGAATTGATGTATCATATGTGTGGGCGCATATTTCCTTTTAGGCAGAAGACGATTGAAAACTCTCAGCCAATGAGAGAGCAGCGAAGGAGGAGGGGGCGGTTCCTGCCTTCTGATTAGTGTTAAAATGTCAGCTATGCTGCTAGTTTTAAGTGTATAGAGCTCAGAAAGATAAGAAACAGCAGCATGTTATAGGCTCAATATTAGGCTTTTCACATTCATTTCAATGAGACTTGTTTGGGGATATTCTTATGCACTTGTGTTACAATTTAATACAAGATTCCTGAGATCAAGCTGGTCGATTTGATGTATCATATGTGTGGGTGCTCGATCCTGCTTGGACAGAAAATGGTTGAACACTCTCAACCAATCAGAGAGCAGCACTGTTTTCCCGCCTTTTCCCCTGGCTGTTGGAGGCCTGCAGCTGTACTGTTAATGAGAGAAGCCTCTAAATCTGTCCTTCAAAAGTGAAATTGGACCTGTCAAACTTCTCATCACCATTCAAAAAGTACTGCACAGATTTGAAAAATTCAAAAAGCTTGGGCGGCAGAAGGCTTTGGTGGTCATGTGTGTGGAGTCTTGTGTGCCTACCACAAATGTTCTTGAAGATATGAGGAGAACATTTCAGCTGTCTGTCAGCCACAGGTGCCTTTTTTAAAGGGGTTTAAATGGATTAAAGCTGGCACAGTCGTCCTTCTGGAGATTGTAGCACAAAAATGTAGCAAAACTGAAGACAGCACCTTTGAAGCTGTCAAAAAAACCTACCAAGTTTGAGAAAATCATTAGTGTACTATAAAAGATGTGGTCGGTGGAAATTTTTGTTTCAAGATTTCATATATCATGCATTTAACAGAGCTCAGCTGCTCAGATGTCATTTCAGACCTCTGAAACGTCTCATCGCCATTCAAAAACTGCTGCACCTATTGGAAAAATTCAAAACGCTTGAGCGGCAGAAGGCTTTGATGGTCATCTGTGTGAATTTTTATGTACCTACCATGAATTGTCTAGAAGCTATGACGAGAACATTTTAGCTGTCTGAAGCCGATGGGAGGAGAAAATCTCTGTTCCTTTAACATGGGTTTCAATGGGACAGAATCAGGGTCTCTCCTCCTTCTGAAGCTGTAGAAAAAGAAATGTAACACCTAAGGACAAAATGAAACCCATTCTGAAAAGCTGACAAAAATTCCTACTTTTTGAGATATAATTTGTTTCGGTACTCCAAACGGTCTGGGTGTTGCAAAGAGTTGTTTCCAGAAAATGTGAAGGTCAAAAGTTGGTGTGGAATTTTCAGTTTAGAGTGGTGAGAGACATTATTTTTTTATTTTGAATATTGTCAAAGAAATTAACAAAACGACCACAATATTTGGAGTACATTCATGATTTATAGCTCAAAACGAAGATATATCCGTTATCTGCAAGCCAGCGTGCGTCTCATTTTAATCGGACTTACGGTTTTCTCAGGAGAATGCCAGAAATGGAGCAAAGGATGGTCATTGCTCCTATCTCTGTCCATTATAATTTTTGTGATTTTTTTTTTTTCTGAAAATCTCAAGACGTACCTCAACTTCTACCTGTGATTTTAGAAAAACTAATAGTTATCAAAAAGATTTTTTTAACTATTAATAGCTGAAAGTCTTGTGAGTTTGTTGAAACTTGAATGAAGTCTCTAGGTTAAAGTTAACCTATAAGCGTAAGAGTTCAAAAAAGTGATGGGATTTAGCTGAAAATTGAGCAATCCCATTCATTTCAATGGGACCAAAAATCACAAAAAATGCTGAATATCTCAAAGTATAAAATATTTTAATACCAAAAGTCATTGCTGGCATGAGCTGTACGTTTTGATACCAAAATTGTGTAAATAGTTGAAGAATTGTGGAAGTAGTTAAATGCCAAAAAACATACGGAAGCAGTTTTGCTTACTTTCAGCTTCAGTTCAGCTATTAAGCTGATTCAGCTAACAGTTTAAGCTATCCAGCATTCAAACATTTAGTTTTATTCCTGATTTAACCTTATTTTTAATAATAAAAATGAAAGTAAATATTTTTGTTCTTGTGAAGCACATTGTGATTTTTATAAAAAAGGTCATTTCCTTTCATTTGTAAACAATTATTTATGTTTGGGACATGAATTTTGCTGCTGAACTCTATAAAGTCCTTCAACTGGGGGTGCTGGGGCCCAAAGGGTTGAGGTTCCCGGCTTTAGTGGGTCTTAAGGGGGTTTTAATCTCATAACTAGATGCTGGTGACTCCTGCAGAAACCACATCCATGTAACCAGTTAACTAGTGCATGTTTCACACAAGCGTTTCAGAAGCAGACGTGCGTGTGCTTCATCCTCTGAGGACCAAACACAGATGCTTAGCTGTTGTTCTTCTGCCTCCTCTGTTAGGTCACAGCATTACGTGAAGCTGCCCGTCCAGTTCAAGCCCACCACAGCAGGGAGACACACCGGCGTCCTGCTTGTCCAATCAGAAACCAGTGGAAGTCTTGTTGTTCAGCTGAGCGGTGAGGCGCTGCCTTGAGACACGCGGACTGTTGCTGGCTATGAAGAGCTGCTGCCCAGCCCAGCACTGCGGGGCCAGGATAGTTTTTGACATTTTCCTCTGTATTGGGTCTTTGATTCATCCTTCTAGTTGCGTCACAAGGCAGCGTTGTTGCCACAGGCCCGTCCGACAGAAGCAGAACCAGCTCAGATGGGTTTGGGTCCTACAGAAATGCCTTTGTTCCTCGTTTGGTAACAGAGCTGCAGAGATTTTTTGATCTGCTCAATGAAAAAGAAACCCTTTGTCTCCATTATGAATGTAAAACAGCCACTAGAGATTTGGAAGTCTGTTCTGGGTCTGCCCACATTTCCTAAGACTTTTCTGATGGTTTTGTGTTATTGCGATTTCTATGGAGACGACTCTTCCATCGGGCTGAACCCACCTGTACCGTGGTCTTTATCAGCACCGTGTGCTGACGTCCCAGCAGCCTCCGAGTCTCGTTCCAAACCGTCCAGATGCACCTAATTTAGTCCTGATGGGGCAGCTTGCAGCGACGTTGGGATGGCTAGTGGTTGTGATTGCATGCCCAGAGTTCCCCTTTGGGGCTTTCCTACAGTGTCTGCCAGGCCTGCTTGGTGTGGTTTCCATAGCAAACCAACGTTGGTCACTGCTCCAGTGGCAGAACATTCACTCCAAGTTTCCTGTTTTGGCTCTAAGGCAAGTCGCCAGCATGGCTGGAGGGTTCACATGTGTGTGTTCTGGATGAATTGTGTGGAAACGTCATTGAGGATGAGAATCACACCAATGTTCAGCATTATGTACCTGCATGCTAGCAGGTTTTACTATGAAGGGGTCTGTTCTAGGTAGCTCCAGCATCCATCTGGAGACCAGCGGACTCAGTCTGCACTGTTATGTAATATGTATGACACATTTTTAAATAAAGTTTGAGGTTTTTTTCACGCCGTTTTCCTGTATAGGTACTAAGATTTAAGACTGTGAACATCTAGTGCTCAGCATAAATGAGTACACCCCCTTTAAAAAGTATGAATTTAATCAGAAGCTCAAGGAACAAAAGAACAATTAACAGAGTTTAACTAGGCTGGTTTTATTGAGCACATGTTTGACTCATAACATGAAATTAAAGTTAATGTAACATATTATTATCACAAAATCTTCAGTTTTACTAAAACTGGTTGAAGCAAAGATGAAAACACCCCTCAACAAAAACTACTACTTCTAGTATTTAGTACGACCACTGTGAATTTCAAGGACGGCAACAAGTCTTCTAGGCATGGAATGAACAAGTTGGTGACAAATTACATCTATGAAGGCTTCCTTCATGGACGATACCCATGCATGACATTCCTCTGCGGTGTGTGCTGTATGGTGTCACGGGAAACGGTCACTCCAGTCTGGCTTTCTACTGCTTTAGCTGCAGTGAACTTGCATGGTGATGTTCTTCAGCCCTTCTCATCGGAAGACGCTCCTGTCCAGATGTTAACTTCCGTGGATGGCCTGGACGTCTCTAAGATGGTTGCACTTCCGTCTTTTTGAAATGGTTGGGTGACTTTTGCTACAGTATTCTGACTGATATGTAAAGTTCTGCTGATCTTCTTGTAGCCCTCACCTTTCTCAGATGTTGTGACATTTGTCTTCCATGTGGAGATGTTGGTGACAGCATGAAAGAGGAAGAGCTTTTCTTAAAGTAAGGCCTTTCATAGCCACCTGTCTCTTCCATCAATAATAGCTTGTAAGCTAATGGGATTTATTAATACTGCTTGTCATAAAAATTTAAATAATGACCATAATTTAGAAATTACAAATGTTTTAAGGACACCAGCTACAAGAAAATATATCCATTAATACAAAGCCACATTTAAATCTACTTAAGCAGTTAGAATGAAATGTAAACTTTTCTGTGATCAAGGGTTAGGAACCTCATGCTACACCTTTAGCCTCCTAAACCTCGAGCTCAAACTAGATGGAGCAGAAACATCTGGATCAGCATCCTTCAGCACCGGTTCGGGCCATTGGGCTGAGCCCTGGAGCTGCAGTACAGTCAGTGACCTGCAGGTGTCGCCAAAGCGTCGCGCTGTCCGGCTGACAGCAGCGTGTCCCGTACAGTAGGACAGTTGAGCTCCCAGCCTGTCCACCACTGTAGTCCTGTTGGACCTGCCGTCTGACCGCAGCATCACAGACTTTGAACAGACACTCACGGCGGCTCTGCACCTGAGCGACGGCGCGTGCAGGTGAGAAGCCGGTGACATCTCCTTTTTCCAGTTCTAAATGTCTTCTGAAATTGCTGTGGCCGTTGGCGGGTGGGTGGAGTGACGCTCTGGTTAAGCTAGCTGCTGGGGCTAAACGCCCGTGGGCTGTCCGGTGTCGGGTCCGACTTTGGCCCATGCTGTGGAAGTTACCGCGCAGAGCGGGAGCCGCTTTCCAACCTGCGCCAGAGCTAAGCTAGCGGAGCTAAGTTGGCTGTCATCAAGCAGGCTAACCCTGGCTCCCGTCCACCCGCCGGGGGCACTGCACTAGTCCGCTCTGTCTCTGTCCCCAACGGGGACTTTGTTACATTCACCACCCTGAGTTAGGTTCCGCCAGCTGTCTGGTCCTGAGCGTTTAGGATGATGGGAGTGTTGTATGGAGCTGGAGGAGGCTCAAACTTTTCCTGTGCTCAAGAGGAGCGCGGTCGGTGCACCTGGTCGCTTGGCTTCATCCAAGATGCTTTCTAACTCTACAGAGCTGATCCAACACGGTCATCCTCCCTGATCAGTGCTGGAAGGTGATTTATGTCTGGACTCTCCTCCTGAGGTAGACTGGGGCTGGAACTGGTCCTGCAGGGGCTGATCTAGAGAGAGGCAGCAGGGGGTCCCAGCAGGGGCGGATCTAACAGCAGGGGTGGATTTCGAGAAGGGGGAGCAGGGGGTCCCAGGAAGGGACGGATTGGGGGGGGGGGGGGGGGCAGCAGGGGGTCCCACCCACCAGGGGCAAATCTAGAGAGGGAGCAGGGGTCATAGCAAGGGCGGATCTAGAGAGGGGACAGCAGGAGGGGTCCCAGCAAGGGCGGATCTAGAGAGGAGGCAGCAGATGGTCCCTTCTGGGACATATCTAGAGAGAGGGCAGCAGGGGCTGATCTAGAAGGGGGCCAGTAGATGGTCCCAGCAGGAGCGGATCTAGAGAAGGGGCAGCAAGGGCAGATCTAGATAGGAGGCTGCAGATGGTCCCTGCAGGGGCGGAGCGGATCTAGAGAGGAGGCAGCAAATGGTCCTGTGTGTGTGTGAAATTTGTTCTCTGTATTTGACCCATCCCCTGGAGGAGCGGTGAGCTGCGCTCGGGAGCCATTTGGTGGTTTAACCCCCCAATCCAACCCCATAATGCTGAGTGTCAAGCAAGGAGGCATTGGGTCCCATTTTTTCTAAGTCTTTGGTATGACCCGACCAGGAATTGAACCCTGATCTCCCAGTCTCAGGACGGACACTCTACCACTAGGCCACTGAGCTATTACTTTATTGTCTATGAATTATTAAATAAAACAACATATAACTGAATTCTGTTATCCAGCTCTGATTTCCCTTCAGCACTTTGTGATTTATATCTGTGAAAGGCGCTACATAAACAAACTTTTACTTACTTACTTCTGTCCTTGATGCTTTACATCGAAGGTAGTTTATTGGTGTGTGTGTGTGTGTGTGTGTGTGTGTGTGTGTGTGTGTCAATGCAGGAGGTCTTTATCGACTGGAATCACAGGAAGTTGATGTAAATGGTTAATATTTGTAATGTTGGTCCTAGACCTCTGTCGTTCACCCTGACATGTAAGCTGACCTCTGGTCCAAATCCTGAATGATGGAGATCATTTTTCATCATCATTGTTTGGAGTTTCTCAGAATTTCTTGGTTTTTGATTGTCCACAAGTTATTGGTGGGATTAAGGCCCAGGGAGTTTCCTGGACCTGGACCCAACGTGCTGATGTTCTGTGTCTGTTCCACTTGGTTCTGACTTCATCCTTCTGGCCCGATGCTCCGTCAAGGTGGACGAAACATTGTTCATAATCAGCCTGTTGTACCGTTCTTTATTTGTGGCTGTTCTGAGGCTAAACTCTGAGTGAGTCTAGTCTTTTGGCTGAGAAGACCCCCCTACACACACACACACACACACACACACACACACACACACACACACACAGATGAGAGTGCTTAGCCTTTCTTTTTCAGAAAATCCCTTTTCCAAATACTGCTAACAGCCAGAAAAGAGATTCGCCAGAGAAAAGGACTTTTCTCCTCTCCTCAGCAATCGTGTCCCTGGACCTGTAGCAGGATGTCAGTCTGTCTCTGAGGCTTTTCCTCCGTGACAGCCCTAATATCCTTGTTTACATTGTGCATCATTTCTGATGGTGTTAGGACTGCGTACCTGTTGTCCGTGCCCTCATGCTTCAGGTAAAGATGCTTTAGCTCCGTAAGCAGCTCCTGTAAACTCAGATGTATAATTTATTATCCTTGAATGAAGACTGATTTGCCATTAATCCACTGTGGCTACACACTTCCAGACCCTCTCAGGAAGATACGATTAGATGACTTTAAATGAGGAATGTCATTTGGCTAAATGTTAACAAGTAGCTGAGGAGCTTTAACAAATACTCCTGTTGTTTATGGTGATCTCACCAACTCCCACTAGCTTTGTGTCTTAACGACAAGTACCCTTCAGAAACGATGAAGGTCCTAAATAGTTGAGCTGGTCTGATGGAGTTCAAGCTTCAGGACTTTGTGCTGAGCTAGTATCGCTAAGCTTTCCCTCTCTTTCATTTACATTTCAAGGTACAGATTAGAAAAACGTCAGTACAATCATTTAACATGAAACATATTTAGCAGGGCGTTCATTTTCAAGAAGTTAATTCATATCTAAGTGTCCCAAAATACCAGGGTTGTATTTAAAGAGTAACTAAAACCCAAAATAACATATTTTAGCTAATAAATTGTATAATTGGGTCTTTGCAAATGCAATCTTTCTGTTTCTGTGCATTTTTTGACATGTTTGTGTAAACTTGATTAAATCTAGAATCTAGGTCTAAAAATGTCTTAGTGCTGCCCCCTGTGGCAGAACTGCGGCTACTGCACTTTAAACTCGTGATTGGCTGGGGCTGGAACAATTTCACGTCATCGGTACAGTGTCCCCCCCCTCCCAGGATGGAAATTCCTGCACTTGGCCATGCCACTATGTGCCTCCTGGCCACGCCCACTTTCATGGCATTTTTCAAATGTTGACTAGGGGTGGAGTTACATTTTCTGATTGTGTGCAGTCCCTCTTTAAATCAGACGTTGCGTGGCAACAGTGTTCCCCCCCCCAGACACTTTTCATGGGGGGGTGGGGCAAATTGGTCCTTGTGGTGGTGCTGTTTGTTGGCTACAGAAGCACATTTATAAACAAGAAAAGTGAAGTCGTCATCTTAAACAAACAGAGCGACAGACTCTTTGTGTGATATGCTTGCCAGCCGCTAGCTGGTGCCATCGGATAAGAGAAATACTCTGAAAAGTGACTTTAAAAGAACTACGTTATGTAAAAGTCGGCCTTTGTGCTGCCGCTTGGGTCTCTGCTGCCAACCAAACATGAACAAAACCGTCTCTGGTTTTAGGAATTATCTGCCTGCAACAAGCTGTTTAGAAAAGTCTCTGTTTGTGACATCACACACTACGTCAGTTACACATTTAAGTTTCAAGTTTATTTCAAGTCCATTTATATAGCGCCAAATCACGACAAGCGTCGTCTCAAGGCACTTCACATAATAAACATTCCAATACAGGTCTATTCATTAAGCCAATCAAAGTTTCCTATATAAGGAACCCAGCTAATTGCATCGAGTCACTGACTAGTGTCAGTGACTTTACAGCAATCCTCATACTAAGCAAGCATGCAGCGACAGTGGAGAGGAAAACTCCCTATTAATGGGAAGAAACCTCCAGAGGATCCTGGCTCAGTACAAGCAGCCATCCACCATGACACACTGGGGATGGAGAAGACGGAGCAGAGCAGAGCAGAGCAGAAAACACACACACACACACACACACACACACACACACACACACACACACACACACACACACACACACACACACACACACACACACACACACACACCCACCACATGGTGTTTCTATGGTTACATTGTGATTTCTTGGTAAATATTCTATTTGGTGAAAGATAAACTTTATTGTATTTATCCTAGTGAATCTATAATTAAACGGGTAAACTAGTTGTAGCACATTCAATGTCATAGAAAGTAAAGTGTCATCTTCAGGAGAGGGAGAATGTTTAAATGTTTAGCAACAGTGTTCAAGACGATGGCCCCCTCCATGAGGCTACCACAGCTCAGCAGAACACCATTGTAGCTTCTTCTGGGGAGAAAAACACTTAGAGAAAAAATAAAGTTATCAGCTGAAATAGCAGGAAATAATACAGTTAAAGAGCAGATTGTAGAAGAAATTAGTCGAGTGTACACAGATAAATGCACCTCTTATTTATTATTTGGAGACTACATTTACTGCAGAGGCAGAGATTTTTTCTATTGCTACACGGAATTTACAGAATCATTTAAAATTTTAATAGGAGAAGACTGCAGGAGGGAGCAGTAAAATACAGGGGCTCCCCAGCAAAAACAAGAAACTTTACGAGTCTGATGAAACCCGCTGGTTTTCCATCAGGCAGTCACGGGGCAGCTCCAACGACCCAGTGGCTGTGCTGGGTCAATGTTATCGAGCTCAGTCCGGCTCGGCCGTGAACGAGCCAAGGCGACGTCGTGGTCTACTTAAGAAGAAGTGTTATTTTCCCGCTTCAGAAGAAGCCTCCAATGTGTTTTTACGCTTTCTCCGAGACATGTCACGTCGCTAAGTTGTTAGCGCTGCGCGCTAACACGTCAATAGTGCAGCGTAGCCTGCTGGAGGTTTTAAGGGTTCAGATGAAAACACTCAACCTCTCAGGCTGCTCACACATCGATCTTAAGTTGTCGCTGTTGCGCTCACGCCGTAATACAGTATTAGATGTTGTTAAAGTCAGACATGAAATTTTTTTTTTACATGAATAAGTGATGCTTAGCCTGGTGGGGGGAGGAGAACCTGGCCTAATAAGCACTGGAGGAAACCCTGTCAAGATCGTCAACACTCGTTTATCTTAATGCTACTGAAACATGTAAACCAAAAAGCATTATATCCACTGCTACCTTTCTAATTTTAAACTCGGTAACTTATGCAGTAACTTCACC